AATGTATCAAAGGATAACCGAACTCTGAAACGATAAAAAAAAGAATCAAACGAAAAGAATTTATTTTTTTTCAATATTCTGTGATCTCCAAAAATCGTGTTCTCTCTTGGGGGAATTGATAAATGGAAAGAAATTTCCAATCGCCCCGAGTCGAGGAATTTTTATCTGTATTTTCATCAAGCATACAGGCACCGATTGATATGCAACGAAAATGAAATTACAATCGGTATGAATAAAATAAATTACAAAGACACACGATCGAACATAATTACATTTTATACAAAACTGAAGGGACTTGTAATTACACTAGCACTGCCTTAATGTAGTCAAACAAAAGGACGAGTAAAAACTTGAGAACAATTAAAAGTTCGCCGATAAAAGAAGAAGTTCGGTATTTAATCAGCCGCTAGAAAAGTCAGTTCGAGAATAATTTAAAAAGAAAATAAAGAAAATTATATAGTTGAAGAATTTTTTTATTCTCTTGTTCGAATTTTATTTCTGAAGGCGTAAATCGTAATAATGAATGAGTTGTGAATTGAATTAAATGCAAATAAGACAGCACATTATTTCATCAAAGAAATGAATGAATTACTTATTTCGTGAGCTTCTTTCTCTTTAGCCAATTAAGTTAATTACACTGCATTCAAAGTAAGCTAAATTTGATCGGATAGACTTACGTTTATTTCATGAAAGATGTAGTCTCATTATATTTCTTGTAAGTAATTCAACGCAGTAGCGGATCAAGGGAAGAACCGTGTTTACCCTCGGTTGAAAACGAACTCAACATCGCATCGGGAACATAATGAATCATTATTAAGGGTTTTACAGGGTTTTTAATTAATAAATCAACAACTAAGCCTTAATGAGCATTTTGATATAGGAAAGAATTATTCAAAATCACCCTAGCCACTACCCTTTTAAAGGATTTTTTTGACTTTGCCTTTTTCTTAGGATCCTTAGAATCGCGATAGATTAACCAGCTGTGAAAATGTTAATTAAATTAATTTTCTTCGGCATGTTACTATTGTAATTAATTAAATTAATTTCTCATTTAAAACGATGATTTTTATTCGTTTTCAGCTGGCAGCTACGAAGTGCCAACTATGATTCTCGTTGTTCTAAGCATCTTATACGGAAGTATATCCTTTCTGGCAGTGGTAGGAAATTCTCTGGTCATGTGGATCGTGGCCACATCCAGACGTATGCAGAACGTAACAAACTTTTTCATTGCGAATTTAGCACTGGCTGATATTGTCATAGGTTTGTTCACGATTCCGTTTCAGGTAAGGCATTTTATTTTTTGGTATTCAAATCGAATGCCAATGTACATTAACTACAATATAAAAATTGTGCTCATCTTATTTTCAAGTTCCAAGCAGCCCTACTTCAAAGATGGAATCTCCCATATTTTATGTGCGCCTTTTGCCCTTTCGTACAAGTTCTCTCAGTCAATGTCTCGGTTTTCACACTGACTGCGATCGCAATTGATCGACATCGAGCGATTCTAAAACCCCTTAGGTGAGTTCAATCAAATTTACATACACCACACTGATCATTTTCTCTAATCCTCTTGTGTATTATAATTAATTATCTCATTCGAAATTGATTCATATTCAAACATATACATTCGATAATATACCGTGTAAATAATTAACACAGGAATCGTTATAATTTCAGAAATAAAATTTTTTAAAAACTTTTTATATTACTGTATATTCCCTTTTAATTTTCTAGTTTAATTACTGACTTTACTGCTTCTAGAACCTACCTAATAATAATTAAATGTTTGAAACGAGTTTCGTTGAGTCAAAAAATTGCACCAATGATAAATGAAAAATCCTTTTCCTTCAGCACAGAAATGGAAAAATTAATAAAATTTGTAAAGGAATCAAACACCTTTGGATTTTATTTCACTCGAATAAGATACTCTGTTCTATCTTTATCAAATATGAAATTTTTTTTTCTATGATAGCGCTAAACCAAGCAAATTGACTGCTAAAATTATCATCGCTGGAATTTGGTTCCTTGCCGGAAGTTTGGCCACACCGATGGCGATTGCACGTAGAGTCGTGATGGAACCAGAAGATTATACCGGTAAATTTCATCACCGATCAATACATCCTGTCTCAAAATTCAATTTTCAAAAATTTCCATTCTTCCCACCGGTCTAGATCATTACAAACCTTTCTGCAAAGAGGTGAATCTATCCGATCGATCGATGTTAATTTACTCCGGTTTATTGGTCTTCCTGCAATATTTAACGCCCCTTTCAATCATTTCCTGCGTTTATGCAAGAATGGGGTTGAAATTATGGGGAAATAAAGCGCCAGGAAATGCTGAAGATTCCCGAGATGCGAATTTATTGAGGAACAAAATGAGGGTAGATAAACATGAGAATTTGTAAATTGAATTTTCAACGTGTTTACTGCTTTTTAATTGATTCATTATGTTTCCAGGTAATTAAAATGTTAATTATAGTCGTGGCTCTGTTTGCGATATGTTGGCTACCTTTACAAACGTACAATGTTTTTCGGTATTTTCATCCAAAGATCAACAAGTAAGTAATCAAAATGGAAATAAAAGAGATAAATATTATAAAAATTAAAATTGCAGCTATGAATACATCCATTACATATGGTTTTTTTGCGACTGGCTGGCCATGTCGAATAGTTGCTACAACCCATTCATCTATGGAATATACAATGTAAGTATATTAATCAATTTTAATCTTCCTTGCAACTGACAAAACACTTTTCCGCATCAGGAAAAGTTCAGAAGAGAATTTCAACAAAGGTGTCCATTTAAATCAAGGAAATGGTTGAACAATCCACCAATGGATAATATCGAAATGGATAAGACGCAAAGTACCCGTACTTCTGTTAGGTATACTTTTCAGAATTTATATAACAAAGTGCAAAAATTTCAACTCTATCAATCCTCCAGCTCACTTATATAAATCAAATAAAGAATTATTTAAATTCATAAATTTAAGAATTTAAATCCTTATTTTAATTATTCAAATTATTGAAATAAAATAACGCTATATACTCGAAAAAAATGAAATCTGTTCTGAGCCACTTTGAACATTCTGTTCGATTTGTTTAATTTTAAAATGTATATTTGTTAAAACGAACGTATCTGCTATTTTCAATATTCCCTTTATTAAAAATGATTAATAAAAAATTTTATCGAACACATATTGAAACATTTCGTCGAAGAACGAAAGGAATGCAATAAATTCAATCTTGTACACTCTGCAACCTACTCGTATTGCAGGTATGAATGGAAACGAACAATTTCTGGTAGTTACCCCCTTGTTTCATCGTTTTACAAAGGTGTAACAGGAAGAGAATCAACGCAGTCGTTCATCGATGAACATCAAAGGAACGCACGAAATAAAAAAGGTATCGGTTATTCGACAGCGTCGAACAGAAGCGAAGAATTATATGTTTTTTCATCCGGGAAACATAAACACGCTCAAGACCCAGATATAGAAGAATTATGCTTGTAACGTTAGGAATTAAAACCAGTTAATTATTTATTCGAGTAACGTAGGGAAATCTACTCCGCTCGCCGAGTAATCGTAATTCATTTGCATATGTTTTATGCACATCAAGCGACGATACATCTTTCGCACAGCGAAAGAAATTTTTATCCTTTCGGTACCGCACATTTGAATATTGTAATTCATTGCGAATATTAATCTTAATGTCTATGGAATTTTTTAAATAGATAAGAACTGATATAAACCATCCACGATTTTGCTGTATCTGTGCAGTTCTAAAACAGCAGGAAATAGAAAAAGATTCGATGATTCGATGGGTGAATGGACACCGGAAGTGGAAGAATGGCAAGCATAACCGATGTAATTACAGCTAGTTAAAGAATGTTATTTTCTTTCCTAATTTTTTTAATCATTGCTCAAACTACTTAACGATATTTGATCTAATTATGGGAGAAAACAATCGTCTGGAATTTATTATACTGATGGTACCTTTTCAACTGATCTCTTTACATTTAGTAGCTAGATCGGTGATGTTGGATAAATAAGGAACTTTTAATTGAAAAAATGATGTACGAAAATAATTGAGTTAATTAGAGTTACAATTTATCAGATGGAACAATTGATTTTCTTTGTTGAGAAACTTTTACAGATATACTGAGAGTACAGTTATCGAACTGGATTTTGAACGTCCAGTAAATAAGTATGGCTGTGAAACTTTTATTAAAATAATGTCTTTCAATTCGTGTGAATTTTTTGTACATGTTAATTGTTGTATGTTTGAAATGTTTCCTGTGTAAAGAGGCTTTATTTTGAAACAAATGGAACAGATCCTTATGAAATTATAAAAACTAGTTTTAAAATTCTATAATATTGATTTAGAAAATTTTTGTAAATATATTTCTTTTTTATTGACAAATTGTATTTAATTAGTTATAGGTATAGATGAACTATTTCATACAGCACATAGCTCAAGAAATTATCGAAATTTTGTTGTATAATAAGCAAAGTTATACATTTCTGCTACAATATATCACATATATCCATCATTGTACTACTGTTAATCATGTCTATACTATATCTTGAAATTAAAATAACAAACAGGGTAACTGGAATTTCAAATGATTAGAAATACGAAAAAAGGTATAATAGATCATTGTCAAGAAATCACTAATTATTAATATATTAAGAAGAAGAAATATTTCTAGTCAATAAGAAAGTCTTTGTTCAAATATAAAAAAATTATAACAAACTTAATTTTCTGCTAAATGGCAATTATGAAACTGTGCATGAATGTCTTATATGCAATTTTATTCCTTAATATGAACAATTTCTATTAAACAAAGATAGTAACATATGAATTATTAAAAATTATTGGAAAATTAAATTTTGTATGTTAATAGTTACTTTCTAGTAAAAATTAAAATACAAATACAGTATCAAATACTTTATTATAAACATATACAAAACTACACTATTTACTTAATATAATTATTTCAGTTGATTAAAATAATATAATACTAGTTGTAAAGATCATCAAAGATGATTTGATAAGTGAATATAAAAAATAAAGCTTTCTCATTTTGATTATTAGCTATGATTAGTCCAATTAGTTTTTGTACTAATCAAAATTCATGTTATTACGTCGTTCTATGTCTTTAATTTCTAACATATCTGTCTTAAGACGTAGTTTCATAATCTCCCGCCAAATATCCATTCTGTGTTGTTCATTGTCAATTCCAAGCCTCAATAAAATATTTTCATTTATTCTTAGCAACACTCTTCCTGTGATATCATGCTTAAATAAACATCAGTAATATTGATCATGTGTTATAATGTCAGAAGTACAACAGTGCAACTGAAGCACAGTACCGTTAATCCTCATTTAATAAAATACTTACATATAAAAACTTTTCATGGTATAATTGATAATAATCACTACAATGTCTCCTTAACCATTTTTGTACATCTAATACATTCCACAAATAAACTGGACGAGGTCGTGTAGTTTTATTCTACAATTTTGTATGTTCTTTGTTAATATAATATTAACCTACTACAGTTACTGTCTTAACATACCTTTGGTTTATTAGTAGAATTTACTACTTCCTCTACCATTATGTTTATAGTTTAAAATACAAAAAAGTTTTAAACTCTTTAAAATCATTAAATGTACAGGTTACAATTATTGTAACATTGTGAATTTGATAATTTGTATAAAATATTGAAACTTTTATCTTTGAAATACAATAAGTATGTCATAAAAATTCAATGTACAAAAATGGAATAAAGATAATTCAAGATATATGTACTTTTTTCTATAAAATTAATATCTTTTTCCTACATGGCATTTGATCAAAATGGCGCCATTTTATTACCACACAGTGCATGTATCACAGAATGGAATAGTATTACTAAAATTTGAAAACTGCACAGAATTAATAAAAAAAATTGATGCTTTCAATAATTTTATGATTGTTCCTAATTCTGCAGAGAGCAATTACTTCTCAATATTCATTGTTAATAAATAATTTTGTCCAATAAGTAAATTCACGATCCAATCATTACCCACTATGACAACGAAATTTAATTTACGATTTCTAGTCTTGAATACCTTATTTTAATTCGAATATGCATTATAAATTACGTATGTGCGTATATTTAATGTATATAATACGTATAATACCAAGAAAATTGTAATGTAAGAAATACTTCAAATCTTCTGTTTGAAGGATATGCCGCTCTTATACCAAACGCAAATATGGCGTAATATTAATATCTTACCTTGAAATAACAGCCGTTATTAGTAGATTTCTACGGTAGGTTTGAAGATCTTCTATTTTGAGGCCTAATCACTATCACACACAGGAAATTAATAAAGATTACACCCGCGCGAAAGACGCACTTCGAGCAGAATTTGAAACTCGACTAGTTCGTAAAGAAGCCGGAAGTAGACTGATTTGACTCACCAACTTCACATGTTACCCGTCAATCGCTGTTTCCGCTCCTTCTTCTGTGGCTAACGGAACAAAATGGTAACTATTTCTTATTTATCATTTAGAAATTTCTGTAATTTTATTATATTGTGCATAGTACAATCCTATGATTGACGTATTTGTTGAATAAATAATACTAATCTTATTCTTAAATGATGTATTCGATATAAACAATGACATGTTTGTGAAACATTGAGCTATTAGACGAATACGAACCATGTGGTTGACACAATCTGCAATCATATAATATTTGTATTTGTAATAATAATAAATAAATTCTGGAAATAGAATACATAAAATGTCTGAAATTTAAAATGTGAGCATTGTGTTTTAAATGTTGCTAGAATAATATACTTAACCTCAATGTATAAAACCGGTAGTACTAGTATAACATGTTATGAGTTTTTGATAACTTGGTACTGTCCAGATGAGTGATGATCTGTAATTTAATGCCATTGTTAATCGTTAATTTCTTCTTTTATATTTTAGACTTGCAAACGCAGGAACGGTGGACGCGCTAAACACGGCCGTGGTCATGTAAACCCTGTTCGCTGTACCAATTGTGCCCGATGTGTACCAAAGGATAAAGCAATTAAGAAGTTTGTTATCCGAAACATTGTAGAAGCAGCTGCTGTCAGAGATATAACAGAAGCTAGCTTTTATTCTGCATACCAGCTTCCAAAATTGTATGCCAAGCTACACTACTGCGTATCTTGTGCTATCCACTCTAAAGTAGTTCGTAACAGATCTAAAGCAAACCGTCGTATCAGAACTCCGCCAGTCCGTAATTTCCCCAGGGTAATTATCTGAAACATATAAAGTTACATTCAATGTTAATATTATTTCACATTTTTTATTTTACTGCTTGTGTTTGTTTAGGATCTGCGCCAGGGACAACAAAACAGAAAATAATGTATTATATAAATTTTAAAGGAAAATAAATAATAAAATTGATATCAGATGATATTTATTTATATTATACACTTCATAAGTTACAAGATAAATTATTCTATAACTTCCCTATGATCTTGAAAAGAATTACTTTTCACTTCATTATTATTTAATTTAAAGTCAACACAATGATAATGAACAATGTAAAAATTATGTGATACAATTTTATTACACGTACGTACGTTCGCATGATTTACACAATGAAATGGTATATTTCAAGTGTGGTCTCAATATTAGCTACAATTACCAAGTAGTTAATATTCAGTCAATTTACAAAAATGTGACGTTTAATATGAAACGGAACTTCGTATCTAGATTCTACCAATAAATTGCATAAAATTGATCAAAATATTCTGCATATAATTATACAATCAAGGATCACGCTATTAATTGTTGCATCTCATTAAAATTAATATACAAATAACAATAATTCCCAAATATAGGAAGAAAGAAATCATTTATTTGCTTCTTCCATCGCCTTTTTCAGTGTTTTTTCAAAGATCTTTTTGGAATCACAAAATCCTTGCTTTGTTTTACCAAATGAATTTGGTCCTGCTGAGGTTGGCGTTTCACGGCCGATATTTCTCATCCTCATCCTTGCTTCTGCTGGCATTTCTTCAGGTTCTTCTTCTTCATCTGTATTGAACACAGATGCTACTGTTGGCCTCTGTACCGGTGTTGCTTTCACAGTGGGTTTCTATAAAATTGTTTCATAAGTAACAATATATTTCAATTTAGATTTTAGTGTATATATCATCTACATACCGATGTTGATCCTAATTTTATTTGAATGCCCTTCTTTTGCTGTTCCATTCCACCTTTCTTTCCAAATGCAAATGTCAGCTTCTGCTTCTTTGCATCGGTTTGACTGTAATTGGTTGCCTCACAACGATCATCCGATCTAAGTGGAGAGCGATCCCTTCCTCTGTCATCACCTCTGGAGTCCTCTGCTCTGTACACACTTGACCCTGACAACGTCAAACACTGGCAAAGTTCAGATCAAGTTAAACAACATTATATCTTTAACCGGAAATCATTTAAGCAACATGCTCAGTACAACTTTCTTGTAACTTTAAATTTAATTTAAAACAAAAGAAGTTAACAAATAATGACAAACAAGTTTGAATGTAATATAGATTTCCTCAAGTTATTTATAACAATAGAGATAACTGTATATATTTACTTGATAATTTTATTACATAAGGTTAACATTCATTCCGTTTTTATTAATATGTTATATCCTTTGGCACATGGTTGTAGGATGCGCACACCCGAAAATGGTACATGAAAAGTAAGAAACAAGTTTTAGATGATGAAATACGATTCAAAAGACTTTGCTTCCTCTTATAACCGTTTCACAATCAATTTTGTAAACTATATATGTTTAAAATTGTCTGTTCCCATAATCAGACTCTGTAGACATGAAATCAATAACGAAAACAAATCAAGAAGAGAGTACTGTACACGTTCTGTTACGGCACGAAGTAAATGTTAATTTTTACCTAATGTAATTGATACGATTATAAATAAAATGAATAAAACCTTTTCTATATTCGTCCCCTGGATTCCTCTTCGACATTCTTTCTGATTTTCTTTAGGACGTAATGCGAAATCCACTGAACTGGAGCAGTTTAACGCCAGTAAATGCCAGTAACTGTAGTTTACTTCACTCTGGTAACTATATCTTCTTTCAATAGGGATATTTCAAAAAGTATATCCTGCTCATTTTCCCCTATATTGCAACGACTTGCATAGTTATATTTAACTTCACAGTATACCGAATGAAATTTAAATTTAGTTCCTCAACGTTCATAAATGTCAGGTAAAATGTAATGTATTAAATTTATTATTATTTAAACATAAAAATGATCAAATATTAATCATTCCATACTCCATTTATAATATCTAACTTCTATTATCATTATCTATACATAAATACATTTACAACGAGTACTGTAACCAGCAAGTGTTCTTCTTTAAAACAATTGCTTGAGAAAGAATAACCGTCGATAGAATTTCAAACTATGGAAGGAAGTAGGGAATCATTTTCATTGTATTTATCTATTTAATAAGAATGATTCGCAGTTAACGATTTATTCAGAGGAAAGATAACGAAAGTAACAATGAAGTTCTCGTTATCTACACGTGTGATGAAACAAAAAACAGATTCGAAGATATTACTTAACGGAATATTCTTGATGGTAAGATTATTATTATCTATGTATTATTCATTTAAATGATGAATTTGTTATTTTCTTTTAACACAATATTATCATTTCCGTTTTTCTATCGCTCTCTACGATTATTCTCAACGTTACAATATTTTTACCTAATAAACTAACAATACGTATTTATAGAATTCATCGATAAGATTAGATGGCTCCCTGTGTTTATCATTCCGATTTATTCCCAAATCAAAAATTTATGTTATTTTCGATAATCCAGTGAGCAGCCGTCAAAAATAGAAATAAGAGAATCGAGCCATTGAAATGTCTGCTGTGGTATTTTGGTTTATTCTTCTAATGGTAATCTGAATATTTTTTAAATAAATAAGATTCGCACATATCACCGTTATCTTTTCGTAATTTTTATTCAACGTAGTAATAAACATACTGAATTTTTTTACATTATTTACTATCGTTTTGACATTGACATTTTTTCCAGCTGATTTTCGAAACACGTGGTAAACCTTTCGAATCCTCAAGCGAACCAAAGGTATCAATTTCGCAAGGTATCGTTTAAATGATTTTCCCAGACATCAACGTCTAAATTTTATTTTGACTTTTATGCTTATTATTGTTTTTTTAAAGAATATTGCATAATTTTTTAGTCAAGGCAGCTCCGATATGCAAAAACACGACTTATTGCGAAATTACCCCGCATTATCCAACAGAGGTAGTGTTCAATGCACTGCAGGAGAATCCTCACCTACGTAATTATGAAAACATCGATGAGGTTCGTAAGTGGTCTCAGCGGAATTTTATTAGCCTAATATTATATAATATTATATATAAAATGAACGAACTTGGGCCGGCCCTGAGAAAAAGGGCCCCTTCACATATATGACATAAAAGAAAGTAGCTCAAATAAAATTTATAAAATTAACATTAAAGCTTGTATAACTAATTTAGATTTGCATTTACATCGATTAATATACAAGTAAACATTACTCTTCTTGCATACTTAGACACAAAATCGTCTTATGGGGGCCCTAGGTGGCCTTCTAGTCTGCCTAGGCCCAGGGCCGGCCCTAGTTTCTACTGTAATTAATGAATAATTTATTTACCGTTAAAAGTCGAATTTATATACATACCGGAAGAATCTTCAAAATGTGAAGAGAAAGTTTGCGAAATTTAAAACTTGCTAGAAATTTTTATTTATTTCCTTGGAGTTATCGACCGGGTACATTTTGTAATTTTTTTGCATTAATAATGAAGACTAAAATAAGTAATTTTCAAAAATGGGCCTCATTTGTGATGAACGCGGAAACATAATTCATGACACCAGATAATTAAATGTTAATGAAGTTACCAAGCGTTAAAAATCAATGCCTACACTCGCGTAACTTTTACAAAGTGTTAATTACATCTTACTTTAATCACTACATACTTTAATACTACATATCTAAACTTCGTATTTGTTCATTTGCATTCTTTTTAACAGATGGACGTACATGAACAAGATGAAGACATACCCGAAGAGGAACCACTTTGTGTATCAACGGTAAATTAAACTGAAGGAGCACACATCCTGTTGTACTTGAAATAATATTAAACCCTAATAGAAGCACGAGTGTGATACTTTCGCTATTGTTTCAGGAGCAAGTAGTGTTTCCAAAATCTGCTGAAACTAAAAGTTCTGAATGGCAATACATTGTGAATCAGGAGGATTTCAGGCAGAGTGTACGCATTGAAAAATGCCGGTAAGCATAGCTAACGTACAGGGGCAGTCTCAAGCTTCGTGAAATCATCAATTTCATAATTTTCTAGGGAAGAAGGCCAACAATGTAGAGTGATCGACGATTTCGCTGAGGGCTACTACACAAAATGCAAACAAAAATACATATATCGTCAACTATTGGCTGTTTCAGCGAACGGTTCGATATATCACGAATCGTTCCGATTTCCAGCTAGCTGTTGCTGTCATATCGAATTCAGAGCCGATATATTTTTGAAATCGTTTAAACACAAAGTTTGACGATATAAAATATACTAAGCGTACAAATTAATTATGTAATTTTTCTATTTTTTAATTGCACATTTACTTTCATAAAGTTATGCTAACTCCAGTTTTTAAAGTAATTTTTATTGTTATTGTATTCTGGCGCCAGTTTTCAAATACACTGAAGCGCGGAAAAATATTCAAATTTCAATGTTGAAGGTACCGAATTAATTTGTACACCTAATAGAAATGTAGTACTGGTTATGTATAATACATAGTAGTTTTCTTAAAATGAAAATAACGTGATTTAAATAAACGAGTTACTTATTGCCCGACTACGATTAATATAACTTGTTCTTTCGTGTTCCAGGTACGACATAGCGTAATAATGAATGCTTATCGTTTGGAGTGTAAAGATGTTTTTTATCAGTCTACGCTGGACAGTCTACTTATCAGTAATAAGGTGTTCAGCTTTCTATATCAAGGAATATAATTAGTTTTTATTATATTCTACTTTCAATTTAGTAGACGGTATACGCGTTACAGTTTTCACTGAAGTCTTTATTTTTTATCGAGTGTAAATATCGTTCTAAAACTGCGCCTTTCACATACCTTCTTATTCTTCCTCGTTTCGACTTGAACCCATACTGCTGTATCATCGTGTAGCGATTTCTCTCGCTTAAAAACAATTTGTTTCCTGTCAATGTATTACATGTTGCTACTTTTCATTTAAAAATTGAGAAACAATTAAATGAAATAAGGTGATTAATAGTCTATAAACTTTTATATCGCACAGGCAACGTGTTTAGTAGAAAAAAATCTTGTCTCTATCAGACACACGATATGCTTTTCATGTTGCAGACACAACTTCCTGTAATTATTCGCAAGTTTCTTTCATTTTCTTGGACAAGTGATCGTTCCCTTAATATCTTACGTAAATGTAATAACGATCAAATTGACCAGTCTGCTAAGATATACATAGTACAATAGCGAAATTAAATAAGGAGACAGTCAGGAAACGAATATCAAATTTGTGAGAACTTGTTACAACGGATACATTCAGTATAATCACCCTGCTGCCATTGTTGATGATTTTTCTTCTCTGTCCACGTAAGAATGTTCATTTATCCTGATTATACAGCCGGATACAAATAATAATAGTTGATGCATGATTTGCTCGCTTTCCATTCGAACTATTCGGAACGTAAGGTTTCTGAATTGAACTAATGATTTTACCATGCATTTTACTTGATCGCTATTTTTAAAGATCAATTTTCTTTTTATTTCCCTAACACGATAATCACCACTTCCTTTTTATGCCCAATTGTAGGAGATAAGGACATACAATTCCTGACGACATTTAACACATACTCAAGACGAGCTTACTCAGGGCAAGAGTCATCATCAGAAACAGAGATCATTGAAATCATCAAGGAATTTCCATCTAAACCAGGGATGAGCAACCTTTTTTTACAACGGGCCGGTTATAAATTTAAAAATGTTATGCGGGCCACGTGTAAGAAACTTATGATAATACAAACACTGAATGATGAACTCATATTATCTGTTTATTAATAAAATAAGCATAATTTTTGGAAATGATGACATCAGTGCCTATCTATGATGTCGGCATCATTTCCAAAAATTAAATTAACACGCCTAGGGTACAATGAGGCTGCAGAACATTAAGAATTTTTAAAAGTCAAAATGTAAAATCTTTGAAGAGCCGCACGAGAAAGTGGCATGCGGGTTGCTCATCCCTGATCTAAACAAAACTTATTAACCGCAAGATTTTCCACAAAACATGGATAAATTAAAATGGGACACTCCGTATAAATAGATTTCCAGATAGGAAAAGTGTGAGTCTTTCGCAATCGCACTTCGTTCTACATTCGTTTTTACTCAATTTGCACGAATCGTTACCAGTTTTCCATTCGAACTGGCAAGCCTAACGAGCCTTAAGTTATGTCATTAAATGAAATGTCTATAATTATGCTGTCCACGTTCGGTTAAACGGGAATAGGGAAAATATGAAAACAATCGAGCACGATTTTTATCGAGCAGACCTGGCTATTCATTATTCCAATGGATACGATTGCATTTCACTGGAATGAGTGCTTTCATTAGCCTGCTTCGACTTAAGAGCACGTGGATAAAACGACACGTTCTTGTTCCTCTCTTGCAGAGTATTTTGGTATAAAACAACGTATGAATTTCGGTCGCGTTTTACTCGTCTGCCTTTTGTGAGGGCAACCGAGGAAAGTGAGTCAACGATATGATTGGCAATTTTCCAGGATGTACAGTGAATTTTAAAACATGGGACAGGAAAATGAAGAATAGACGTCTTCGTTAATATTTGATGAATTTTTGTAAGTTTAAAGGTAACTGTACTATTATATACAATTTTCTAGCTTATATTGTTACTATGCTATTTAATTATTTTCTTATTTTAGAACGAAGAATCACTGTTGAATTTTGGAGAAATATAATAACGAAGCGGTCAACGTTCTCCCGTAAAGGTAAAAAGGTGGGAGTCGGTATAAAGAGAGGAAATACTCGATGGCGATGGCCAGTGAGTTCAGTGAGAGTGCCGTGATCCTTTTACCGATCTACCGTGAAAGTCAACCATGAAGGTACTCCATCGCAACATCATTGTGTATCAAATACATTTTTATCCATGTGTGAAGTGTGATTTTTTTGAAATTATCTGTTCTTTTTATAGATCAATTCTTATTTATTCAACCGAGCAGTTTTGTACGAAGGTGTCTAATAAGATTGTGATGTGAGATTCGAAAGAGAAGTTGCATCTGTAGGATTCATCTGGTGGTATAATTGAAAGTGGATGGCGTCGCGGTTAACACCCACGTGAAAGTAAAACTCGTTCTTCTCAACAATGGGGAAAATAAGTTCTTCGCTTCTGTTTCATTCTGAACGTAAAAGTGTGGACGAAGATAATTGCCATTAGCGAGAGATCGTTTATCCGCAACTAAATTGCGTTTCTGTCGTTTCCGGTGCTTAACATTTGGAATATCATCGGGGTCACCGACCACTTTTCCTTTTTTTTCAAATTTGATAACATAACATTTTTCAAGAAGTCACAAATCTTTAAATCAGTCAACGGTAAAAGTATTTCTGTTACCCAGGTAGTCAACAGGTACAGGATTTCTTTACTTGGAAATTTGTTCTTCTAATAAAAAACAGCTTCCGTGAAAGTAGAATCAACTCGCATGAAATGCAGATTCGACGAATTCCAATGAACGTTTTAGAGAGGAAAAGAAATTGATTTATCGTTGGTACTGGAATTTGAGTGAGTAACAAATGGATACAGTAACCGGAAACGATGAAAGGATACCTTTCTTTTGAAAGGACGTTCTTCGCTCCAGGTGATACTTGTATATACAAGGCGATATTATGCCGGTTTGCTTGCCGCTTTTTAGAAATCGTAGCTCATGAGTCTGAATAAGAGCGTATGGTAAACTGGGTCGAGCGTTGACACTATATCAAGTCCAAGAGCAAGGACGCTTCGAACACTTTCGTCCGACCGTGAATATTCATTGTTCTCGAGATGGTCATTTGGAAACGTGGAAAAAATTAGGAATTTCTTACTAAACACTTTATTGTATTCCATGGAAAATGATTTGAGAAATGTTGACTTAGCTAATAATTCTTTAGTGATATAAATAGAACAGGTTTCAATGTAAGCTATAATCAATTCATTAGTATTATTTTGTAATTAATATGTTTGTGTGAAAGTGTGGATTGTAGATTATTAGAAATTTCTACATAGAAATAGGCGTAGACTTTCGATGTTGGTTTATTTTTTGGTCCTTTTACCGGTCGTTTCTCGTCAATGTCTTCTTTCTTCTTTCCTTCTATATGAAACCAATAATTCTGTCAAGATCAATGTTTGTCACGGTCACATATATGAACATCTTCTAAAGCAAAGCTATGACTTTCACCAAGAACCGTTCCACTTGCTACATTCGCGTTCTAATAATCCATGCTTGACTGATTCATAAATTTGCAATCTTGTTAGAATTTTTGGAAACGTTGATAATGACATTATCACTTGTAATACTTATTAATCTCCTTGCAGACAGTTCAAAATTCTAAATCCACGTATTTTTCAGATCCTGCCACTGGTCGTCCTCTGCTGTTGTTCCATCCTCGTCCTCTCGGAGAGCAGAGAATCCAGCAAAGAAGATTTATTATCTCGAGCCTCGGCTCAGCTGGAACGCCTGGCACCGTATAGAAGGACCTCGACAGAACAGAAAGCATCCAACGAACAGTGGCAATTGCTGGACAATGCCTCCAAGGATGCGAATAGAATATTGAGAGAACAACGTACAGCCTTTGAAATTTACAAACTTCTCCCGGAGAAAATGCAGATTGATATCGCGAAGAGGATCGGCGCTGATCGAGCTACCATCGAGCTCCTAGGTGATCCAAAATACATTGAGATGATGCAGGATAGGATCAAGAGATCAGGATCCAAACGCGATTATAGCGGACCCGAGGAATACGATCATCCTCCGGACGGGTATCATTACGGAGGATACGATACTGATCATGGAGAACATCACGAATCTTCAGGATCCGATTCTGGAGGTATCCTGAAAGGATCCGGGAGCTTGATCGGCGGTATAGCCAATGGTATAATCGGTGGTCTTGTCAGCGCCTCCAGCAGCGCGTCGAAAGGATCATCCTCGGTCTCTGCTTCGAGTGCATCGTCCAGCTCTTCCTCGAGCTCGGATTCGGGCCATAAAAAACCGGAATACGGGCATACCTATTCGGTAACTATGTAGCCATTCGAATGTTATTTTCCGGGTTCGAGACACGTTCGCTTTTGGCTAGAATCAGAGAGAAAAGAAGGGGAATTCCATCACTTGTCTTCACTTTATGAGAAAACACTAACTTAAAATCTTCTTCCTTTACAAATAAAGAATATGGACAAACATGGCAGGTGGTGGGACACTCCTCTCTCTACGCTTCCTTTTAACTAAGCAAACCCTATGTCGCAAGCAACCATTCATGAAATAACCCATGATCTTGATGTAAGATCAAGGACCAAATATTTTTCGCGAGTGAAAGCGAAGAAAGTTCATATATATTGAAATAACGCAAGAATACTTTCACAAAAAAAGGTCAAGGCGAACGAGATGATTGTAAAAACATTCAATTTCGATCCTGTAAACGAACCCGCCACGAAATTCAACTGTATTCGCCCTCCGATAGCGATACATTAGAGTAGAAACGATAGATCAATGTATTAGCTGCACGAAAGGAAATAATTATCTGGGTCGTCAAGGTTGCAATTAAGGAGGGAAATCTTAGCTGGTTCTCGTCTTCTTCGAACGCCTCTATGAAATCATAGAATCTTTCAAACAAGTATTTCACGGTAAAAATTTACAAACGTCATTGTTTCTTTTTTTGAAGTAAAAGTATAACTTTTACTCTTGTAGGATCCGGACGAACTGGTCCGTTGATACAGATTTTTCGAAACGATTATTCGCTTCACGAATACCCCCTGCTGGAATTTGTAATTTGCGAATCATAATTATTCCGTAGTCATCGATACGAAACAGGTCGACCGTGATATGTTATCATCAATGGGTCGAACTTGTCGCCGACTGAATTTTGCTTTGCGTACGACAGAGTGACCCACCAATGGGTCACTGGATGCTACGTCGACGTGGCCCACTGATGATGGGTCTTTAGTATATTAAATCTGAAAAATTATTAAACAAATTCTTTATGATTCTCTTTCACTATTGTTGCTGTTCTACACATGTCGTTATTATCAACGCAAGAATGATAATTAAAGAAAATATTTCATGGGCGTTAATGATCAACTAAGTACCAGCTAGATAAGTACCAAAAGCACTTACAAAGATTACACTTAAGATACAAGTAGTGTTAACGTTAGAATAAATAGAAGCAGCTTGTACCAAACAATCTTTGAATATTCAATAAAGTATAAATGAAATTTCATTGCAATCCGAATCTTTTATGTTAATTGAATTTTTCTATGATAGTACGACGATGACTCGTTCGGCGCGTGGGACATCAAAAAGGTGATCATTAGCACGTTAATGCAAGCGGTGAAAGCGATAAGCGGAGGTGTGATCGCATTGAAAGGTCAGATACTGAAAGGAAGCGGTTATCTTGTCTCTACCAAGGGCAAAATGATTACTAAAACAGGGGAAGCGATCACAACATTAGGTCGAAATATCGTGAAGAACGTTGCCCATCATCCACAACCGGAGTATCATCATCATCATAGTTATCCCTACGAAAATGGTGAGACATTAAACATCGCAGTTCAATTTTTCTAAATATTTTAGTTTGATTAAATTCAAATGATTCGTTTACCTTATAAAACAATAGGTCACGACCATGAAGAAACTTACGATGGACCACCACCCAGTATCGAGGAATTTGCGGAGCAAAACCACGATTACCATGCAAACTTGAACGACGAATCATCCTCGGACGGTAAGACTTTCAAGTCAATTACCGTCGTATGCTGTTTAATCTCAGAAATCTGATGCCTAGAATGCAGTAATTACGTGGTTGGCGTGAAATGCATGCGAAGTGGTTACTACTTATCTAGTTTTTGTTTAAAACATATTAGTACAATTGATGCATCGAGAGTACCTGCTTGGTAAAAATTCAGTGAGAGGCGCAGTGTTCCGGTGGAGGTTGTTGCACGTTTTGAAATAAGGAAAGTAAGAGCGATCTTCACTTTCGAACCAGATACTATTCTCCAGAACTTTCCTTGAACGCGGTACAAGAGGCTCGGTATTCTCATAATGACATTGAGAATTCTTCGGTACTTTGAACTTCGTCGAGGCCTATGTGAACTTCTCTCTATTCACATTACTGCTTCTTTCCTGAATTTCACGTCTCAAGGATGAATAATACTTTCTTCGTCCTTTGCAAATTACACGTTTCCGTGAGACATCTTTTCTTAAGCGATTTTCAAAATTCAGAGCTAATATATTTCCGCTTGTGTTTAACTTAATCAGGTCATCATACCTGTATGTAATCCATTTTCTTATAATTTTCATTTCATTTTAATTTCTTCACTGATATTCACTCTTTATAAAAATCTCAATCTTCTTCTTTTTAATAATGACAATAAATTTAACGTTTCGTTTCATGAACAGAAATTAAAGTACCTTGGAAGAAACAATATTATTTAATAAAAAGTAAATGTTAATAATTCCATGAAACGAAATGTTGATATTCAGACCCGACTGACAGACGTCACGTTTACAGTCGATGACCAAGCGGGCCTTCTGATCATGAAACCGACGAAACCGGACGGACACGATCATCACCTCCTGGACACGGACTTTAAGAAACCTTCTCTGACCCAACATGAAGAGAATTACAACGGGCCACCGTCTGGATTGCCCGAGAAACACGTGGAGAATCAAGAGAATCATTTGGTCATGGATTCTGGTCATCCTGATCGTCCACCGTCCAGTTACGATGTTCCAATTCAGCATTCATTAGACGAGCCCGCAAAGACTCAAGCTTATCCTCTTTACCCTCCTCTGAATAATGGTTTCAATCTTAATAATCCATTTTCCATTCAGCAAAGCGTAGAATATCCACCGATACATATTCAATATTCCTTACCCAACAAAGGAATTGATTTGCCTAATATAGATACTTCAAGCAACGATTTGTCCGTGTACTCCAGTCTATCTATTGATGTAGATCCCAAGATACAGACTGTCAAACTATCTCCACTGAAACATGGAAATACTTTTGACCTGTCCAAGTTGCAACCTAATGGAAACTTTCAAAGTTTACCTTTGCTTCCTAATTATTCTACATTTCAAGAACCTTTGAAGATACCCTTGTTGAAACCATTGACACCTTACTGGCAGAGTCAAGGACTGCTTCAACCATTTGGTAATCTTCATGCGAATCCTTGGTATAGAAGAAGAAGTAGTGCTCAGAGAAGGAGATCAGTGAATGAGATGCATCGTATGAGACAACACCATGGGTAGAGTGTATCACTGTAGCCACAGGTAATTGGAATTGATGCGATTGTTGGTTTTTCTATAAATATTACTGTTTTTCTTTCACTTCTGGCAAAGTAGGATTAAGAGAAATTGTGATGATAATGGTAACCAAGTTATCAACTATGGAAAAGGTGTTATACCATTATTATAGAGATTGAATTGAGATTAGACTCTTTGCTTTCCAGGCGAAACGCAAAGCCATCACAGCTTCCTGTAATTTGTAAGCTTCTCCTCGTTGCTTTCTGTAACTAAACTGCTGAAAAATGCTTTGAAGCAAGCTAATAAAATTTCTCTTAAATTTTTCCATTCATCTTGAATTAATATCTGTTACAGTGATCTACTCTTATGGGTCCTACCCCTACCCAAGTGGGTTCAGAATACATCATGGATATTGACCAGCAGCAGTGTTTAACACGTTCCATCCAGCATGGGTTTATCTACCCACAGCAGACTACAGTAATAGAATCGCGGCTGTTACCTTCGGTACGAACGTGTTAAACAGAAATCCAAGACTGTAATGGAAGTTTCGCACGAGGAGCTGAATTGAAAGCTGAAGAACATTTACCTATCTGTGCGTGCGTGTGTCTCGGCTTTCGCCTGATGGAAAAAAGAAAGACCATAAACCATCGCAGATCGTCCCTGGTGGGAGTTACCACTGGATGAGATATTCCTGAAATTATTCTGGAAAAGAAAGCGGTCCGAAATGCAAATTAAGGACCGATGGACGTTGAACAGTTACAAGCATGTTATGCTAGTGTAGAGAATATATTTTTTATATATTCTCCCTCAAATCTGCCTTGTGATACGTCCTGAATACCTTTTGTATCATATACTTTTGTATAATTTTAATCTAAGGTATGACTCTTGTTCCTTGGCTGTTGTCACTGATGGGAGGATTATTTGATTAACGATTGATGATTACGATGGATGGAAGTGTATTATAATTCACCGTGTATAAATCCAATTAATATTTAGAAATGTTAAGTTGATCTTAAATGCAACCAAGAAGGCCATAATAATAAGAATAACTTTATTTTTCTCTAATTATTCTGTCGCTAGTAGGAATTTGTAATTATAGATTCTTTAATGTTATCCTTATTAAGATACCGCGGTATGTAAGTTATTCTGCTAGTGGAATGATTATTAATAATTCAATTTTTGTTACTCCTATGGAAGAATCGAATAAATTGTTTTGTCTATTGTTACAGGAACTACATATTATTTCTTTATTTTATTTTACCGAGGAAACGATTGAAACTATAATTTATTTGCTGACACAGGAGTGGAAGAAAGTTCGCATCATCATTATTTAAAATGATGTGAATGGTGAAAATTGAAGGTGCAATGAACGATATACACGAAATAAAACGTCTGGAGCAAGATTCAACCTCGATCTCCTTTCATCAAATTCCACTGAGGGTGCAATGAACTTCCAAACCCAAATGACAAAGTATATTCCATAAATTCCTGGAAAGTGGTATCCAATTTTCCATTATCCAATCAATAGCTCCATCAGATTTAATAGGTATTACTTTTCCACTTATACTTGAACAATTATAAAATTCCAAATTTACTGTTTCTTTTTTATATCTACGTAACTTATTTTATATTAAAAAGTAAATAATGAAATGCTTAAACATTTTCTGCAGACTGTGAAATTTTGAAGATCCAATTTACTTGTCTTTCAAGCAATTCTACTGAAATTGGCAAAAAACAATGTACAAAGTATCCCATTTGGGAGAAGATTGAATGGAGGGACGCATAATTTTAGTCATAAACTCACGTAGCACCGATGTATATAGTGGGTCACTGGATCACACACGTTGGTCCGTGTAACCACGCACACAGGTGTAATTCTCACGAGGGAATCCAGTAGCAGGATATGGAGAGAAACGGCGTTTGACCGGTCTTCGATCGAATCCATCCGTCTGTCCACCTGCAAATACCGTGATACAATCAGAAATCAACTTTTCAATCATCGAATTCTTTTCTCGTAACAAGAAGATTGGAACGAGCTGTTTGATCTTTTCAGATAATGGATATATTGATAAACAGAAACAAAAAGTAACAAAGATTGTTCATTATTTAATACTAGAGGAATTAAATTCATCAAAATAATTTTTTATTTTTCATTTTAATATATTTCGACACCCAAGAGTCATAGGATATATATTTAATTATTATTAATAAAAGTAGAAAAATACACTAATTACAAAATATAAGAAAAGACAGGAATAGAGAAATAAAAAATAATTGTTTCATGTATTATTTGCAGAAGAAAATCGGGAATCCTGGGATTCTATCTTGATGACCGAATAACACATGGAATTGGGAATTCCTGTTAATTTCATGGAACCCATGACTTTTCCCGATTACGTTCCTTGTTTCGTACCAGCTGTTATCCATCGGAACAAGGTAGGAGGCAACGTTTCGGCCTTCGATGATACGTTCGCCGGTTGCGAGTATAAATGAAGGACAATGACCTAATTGTGTGCAGAACACGCAGTGCTTCCTCAACGTCCAATCACCGCGTGCGTTCACTCGTCTTCGTTTATTTGTGATCTAACTTCCGGGTATATTTGATTTTTTCTAATTTGTTTCTTTTTACTATCAGCGAAGACGTTTATCATCGGTGAAAGATAAATATTTATTCATCGAGGAGACCCGTTAGTTGGAGAACAACGACACGATGAAGGTGAGTAACAATTTCAAGTTCATTGAATTATTATCGGTTCGCAGGTGTCTCGATGAATTATTAATTCTTAAATAATCTTTGAAGATTGTTCGTAAATTAATTTCATTTACTGTAACGGCTTTGTTGAGGGAGGATCTTTGTCAGTTCGAAAGCAAACGCAGTTGCAATGATATTTCAAATCGATACGAGCTAAAATGAGTTAGCTTAATCGCTAATCGTATCCTAATTTTACAACGGTGACCCGTTACAGTATAAACAACAATCACACGATTCACGACAAGTAAGTATACACTACTCGTGTAGTTACGATTGAAAAATCAAGTTAATAGCTCCGTCTATCCAATGTAGAAACTAGTTCCGTTATATGACAAAAAAAAAAAAAAAAAGGATAGTCGGTCGATGGTTGATTATTATCATTAACGAGAGAAGCTGTTCCTTCGTCTGTCCTCCGATAAAAAGAAGTTTCCCAAGGAATTAATAAATAGTATTTTTCATATGATTAGTATCGAACTAACTATTAGTCACATTGTTAACTTTCCATTAAATTAATTTCATTGTTATTTTACAGAAATTGTCATAGAAAATCGAAGCTCAACTTTCGAAAGATTCAAATGTCTCGTTAGTCGGCTTTCGAAACGTGAAATAGCTCGTTGAAAACGGAAGTCGAGCGAGAAGGAAGGTCAATGCAACAGGTTGCATTCACGGTCAATCGTACAAGCTTGCCCATCATTTTCCACGCTCGGCTATTTTCTTTCCGACCTCGACTCCTTTCTGCCTTCTTCTTACTACCCTCGCTTTTCCTACCTCGATGTGGAACAACGTCCCACTTTGCCCGCTAACAACTCGAAACGCTTCTCTCTTCGGTTTCATCGCATGTGCCAGAGTTTCTCAAACGACCACGTAATGATCTGGGCATCATTGTCATGGTCATTTTTCCTATTACCTTTCAATATGATGGAACGGCACGGAATACGAAAATACATAGCAGGTTCAATTTGTATGCGAACAACGAAGTTCCATTATTTTCGGTTTCAATAGGTAGAGAATGTTTCTTTTACTCGTTTAAATTTCCCTTTTCTTTTCATTCAATTTTCAATGAATTTTTATTCAACTTGGGAAATCCTTCGAAAATAGATTGAGAATCGCTGACCTTGTTATGCAGCATCGATTTTACACATACATAATAGCTGCAAAGTGCACGTGTTGATATGCGAATACCGTAAGCAGGAGGACTAGATTTCCGGTTTTGGTGTGTCCGCTTTTTCATTGCATATTTTATCAATCTCTGTATCTAGAAAAATTTGAAATATCAATTGAATATCCACTGATCATTCTATTAATTAAATTTCAGACGACAAATTGGATCTGTTTGTTGGTCGCATGCGTGTGCCTCGTCGAAGCCAGGTACAAGATCCGAAGACCACCATTGCCCCCTCTCCAACCGGCAAAATTAATGTACAAAAAAGCCTGGCCAATGACCCACAGAATCTCCACAGGGAATATGATGCATATCAATGGGAACGTGCCAAAAAGAATGGTTCCAAAACTTCCAAATTACAGGTGAAGATTCTATAAAATTTCACAGTTTTTTTTATTTATCTTCTTCGGCAACGATGATTCATTAGCCAACCCGTATCTAAGATTGAAAATCTAAAGAAGTAGACTTTCTGTCATTTTTATACAGGCCAAACGGTAAGAGTTATTGAAAAAATTCTTGCGCCATTGTGTTTAGTAGGTCAAAATCTCAACGAATTTCTTTTTTTTCCGGTCTGACCGGAAATGGCCGAAGAAGGGTTGGCTCCAGAGCGTATATCTCGCTCCAGTTCACTTTAGCTTGTTGGATTTATGTTTTCAGAATTCGTCGACCACCCATGTTCAGTATGCCTCCCGTTATTTGGAAGCAACAAATGCCAATGAGAGCCCCTTTGAACAACCACGCGGTTCTTCCGCAGCGTCCACCAGTGAAGGAGTTTCATTCGGTGAATAAAATGCCGGAGTACAGTCCAGAGTACAGGCCGGAAGCCGCTGTCTTACCACCGACTCATAGAGGCAGCGTTGACGATGACAAAGGACCCATTCATACAATTCCTGCGCCGAATCTTAGTCCTATGGACAAGCCTTTTAACGGTGAAATGAATGCCGAAGAAATGGCTCAACGTCAGCAGACGACCGACGCTGCTTACAAAATTAATGCTCATGGTAAATTGACAAATAACACGTTCAGTGATCACGAATGCCAATGACCCAGACTTATGACCTGAAATTTCCTGTTTCTATGTAGTAGGTTCCATACTGCAAAACTTTGACCTTGCCACCATTGGCACCAGCTTGGCACCTCAGAAACCGGTGACCAGTCCTACGCCGACTCAGCATCAATACGAAGTTACCGAAACCAATGGTGTCAGTCAGAAAGAATATCAAACGGTTCTACCAACGTTCATACCACCGGAATACGCAACGCTCTCTACGTTAATTAATCCCGATTTCCAGTCTAACGATGTCTTCTTGAATAACCATCCGGCGTCTAATATCGGTCTCATTGGAACCAACATTCAACTTGGACAACCTAATCTACCAATGCAAACGAATCTTCACAGTTCCCTGCACGTTGGATTCCCGGGTACCGCTGGCCAAACGCCATACATTATAAATCAACAGATACCCGATTTACACGTGGGTCATCCGGCACCAGCTGGTCCCCCACTTTCGGCTACTCAACTTTATGATCTTCTAAACAGTTTCCCTCAAAAGATACCTGAACAATATCAAGCAGGTTAGTTGTACTTTCATTGATACTTTGACTGCCACGCTAGGACCATTTATCTTCACAAATCTTATGTACATTATACTTTTATCCATAATCTCAAGTATCTAATACAAGTATTTCCAATTAAGTAAGTTAGAGAATTCCTAATGATTAATGATAATGACCCATATATGGGTGACGTGGTGCTCAAAGTGTTAAGTGACCTACTTTATGGACGCATACCAAGTAAGCATTCAGCTGTATTTTAATTCATGGCATGTCTGGTATTAGAATATAGCCAGAGAAAGTGGTTCGACTTTTTTTTCCAGAACATAAGATAAGGATATCTAATTAGTAGCTTTTCTTATCAATGTGGATCATCAATTGAATAAACCTTTTGATTCCAGGTCAACAACCACAGCTTCAACAACATATTCTTCAGCAACAACTCGGTCAATTCTTCCAACCTACCGGAGTAACAGGTTTCTCCCAGCCCCAGATGCAATCGTTCAATTACGACGAGCAGGATAACAAGGAACAACAGCAACAACAACAACAGCAGCAGCAGCAGCAGCAGATTTTATTCAATCCAGAATACGTCGCTGAAAGAGTGAACACTAATTATAACGTTGAACAAGAAGTTTCTATAGACGATCAGGAGAATAATAATCTACGTCAAGATGATGAGCTTGCTTATATTAACGAAGGGGCCGAGCAATTAGAGAATAACATCGACTATGAAGATACTAATACTCAGAAAGGTCAAACAACATATTTCAACAAAGTATCAAACAACAATGGTATATCTTCACAATTTTATACAACGCTACCGAATCGCGAAGCAGCTGAAAAATTAGCTGCTCTGGCTGCGGCTGGTAATGTTAACAGTCAACTGATCGGACAACTTAGGAAACAACAGCAACAACATGAAAATATGCAGAACGAGGAGGCTATGCCTCCGAATCACAAGAATGAAGATTACGATCAGACTTATCAAGACAGGACGCATAACAGACAGAAACATAGACAAAGTCAACAGGAACAGGAACAACAATTGCAGAAGTACGAAGAACAACAGAAGGAATACGAAAGACAACAGGAACAACATCGTCAAAGACAGAGCGCCGTGTACAGTAATAAACGACCCCTGAGAATCATGGTACCAGATGAGAATGATTATAATAACGAATCTCAGAATAATCAGTCGAAGGAGAACACTGAAGTTGAATATGAATATGAAAATGATGAAGCTGATGCTTTGAATTCGCAATCTAATTCGTCGTATGATGGGAGAAATTACGAACAATCAAACGCGGAATTTGGCTCGCGTTTGAGTCCAAAGAATGGAGCATAATTATTGGCTGAAGAGTATCTTGTACATAACGTTGAACGCGAATATTTATTGCAATTTTAATTTTTCGATTAGTTTTGTTCAAGGGTTCTTATGTAATTTCCTCGATACTTTGATTAGGTTGTTTCTTCGAATTGGAAAACTTGTATGCTGTTTCTGCATGATACATCCAACGATACGTGTAATGAAATTTCATTTAAACAACGTTTCGTCGATGATACATCGAAGACAGCTACGCTATGGGGTATAGTGATTTATTTAAGATTATTTATTGTTAAAAAAAAACGTGGATGGATATTGCCACTGATTCATAGAATTCATTTTTTATTTCAATCATTACGCATCACCGATTTGAATTACATTTATATATATGTACATATGTTATCATCCAAGTGATCTATCTATATGATACAGGAGCCGGGTACAAACAAAAATTTAACGAGATTCTATTTTTCAAAGATCGCTTTCGCCTCGGTCTTTTAAAAAATTAGCCAATCGAATAAGCCGTACGGTGAAAATTATTTTACAGAAGAGAATCGGAGTTACCAGTATTACTATATCGCTCGCCAGAGAAGAGAATTTCAATCCTGGAAAAAAAGTAATCTCGCCCGAAAGTAAAGAAAGGGGTATAGTGCATATATATCCACAAAATTTTAAATGATTAAGTCTGACAATGATACCCATAGAAATACTACTATGTACGATCCATGAACCACGGTTTCCCATCGTTTGTCAGCCGTTTTGTAAGAATATCACAACCAGTTTCGTTAACCAACAACGTATGCTCAAATTGTGCAGACCATTGACCATCAGCGGTGACCGCCGTCCAAGTGTCCGGCCACATTTCATCTCTCCACGTACCTTGAGATATCATTGGTTCTATGGTAAAGCAATGTCCTGGTTTCATAACACCCACAGCCTTATTTTCTACAAATAAAATAAGCGTTGTGTTATACTAATCGATACTGACAATCCAGTTACAGATAAGATATTTACTGGCATAGTGAGGAACACTGGGTGCAGTGTGAAATAAACGATGAATTCCGTGACCGCAGTAACTGCGTACCACGCTAAAACCATGTGCTTGTGCATGTTTCTGAATCACGTTCCCAATCTCTCGGTATTTTTCACCGGGTCGTACAATGTCTATGGCTTTCGATAAACATTCGTACGTAACTTCGACTAATTTTCTAACTTCCGGTTTAACATTGCCGACTAGAAACGTTTCGTTTAAGTCACCGTGAAAACCGTTATGATATACAGTCACATCAACTGCGAAAGAAAGAAAAGGATTATAAAATTAGTGTATTAACGATAGATTTATTAAGATACAAAATGTACCATTGCAGATATCTCCATTTTGGAGGGGCCTAGTATCAGGAATTCCATGACAAATCACTTCGTTAACAGAAGTACAGCAACTAGCTGGAAACTGATAATAATTCAGCGGAGACGGATAACAGTCTCTCTCGACGCATGCCTCGTGAACCGCTTTATCAATCTCGGCTGTCGTGACACCTACGTCGCATGTACGCGCAGCTTCGTCCAAAACTTCTCGCCCGAGCTGAGATTAATAATTCTGATTTATGTTTCCCTTCTTTATTAAAAAAACAAATACTCAAAGGTAATAGAATGATAAATATATTGTACAAATAATTGTTATACCTTACAAGCTACTCTCATGCCCTCAATTTCTTCATCATCAAGAACCTTTATTTGGGCAGAGCCTCTTACCGCTTGTTCACTTATTGATACCCCTGTAGAATGCGTAGCATAGTCTGGCCGTTTAATTTCTTCAGGTACTTCTCTGCGAGGTTCCCTTTTGTAAGGACGTAATTTGCCAGTGTAATGATAAAACGGCCATGGATTGTATTCATTGGATGTTTTATCACCTCCTGTTCCTTCTAATAATAACAAGATTATTACAAATTATCTTATAAAAACATTTTCTAAGCACATTTTTACCAAATTATTTTTACCACTACATTTCATATAATTCTGGACTATTAAACTCACTAGCTAACTGATGAATAACTTTATGAGTTTTCCAGCTCCGTTTGAAACAATCCTGAAATGAAAATGAATGTCAGTTAAATAGTCAACATAAAAACAATAAAATAGTTTTAAAAAGATCTTTGTTAATCTTCAATGAATGCTGCACATGTAACATTCCTGTATGCCATAACAATGACTGTTGACAATCATACATTTCAATCGCTTTAAGAATAAAGTGAACAATGTAATTAGAACCCAACATTCTTGTTGTTATTATTCACTGACAGAAGATAGAAATTTAAATAATCAGTTATCTTATGAGCTAACCTAGAAATATTTAAGATGGTGCATACCTGAGTGCAAAAGTATGAACCCTGTATGCCTATTTTCAAACAAGTTGGACATTGAAGGCTGGCCATAGTTTTACAACCAGGAGTTTCGCACATACCGAAAGTGAGTGCCATTTTTTATTGAATTTTTTTAAAAAATGTTTTTATGACGTGACTCGATGAACGAGGCACGAACGAGAACAAGCCAGGCCCTCGAAACGAAACTCTACTCTGGTAAATTTAATGCGGATTTTATAATACTTCCAGCAACTACAGATGTAGAAGACTAGACATGCCTTTGTATTCGAGGGTTACGACTTAGGGGGTCACAAACACCCCCAGATGATCAGCATGCAGAGACCGGAAGGAATAATAAAATGTGATTATTTTTAATTTTTCTTAGTGTATTCCTTACATCCCAGCAACCCTTAGATCTCAGTATTCCTAACATCTCAGCATCTCTTACATCTCTGCATTCTTTCCACCCCTACATTCTTTTCATCCCAACATTCTTTTCTTCTCTCCATTCTTTTCATCCCTACATTCTCTTCAGCCCTACATTCTTTTCATCCCCACATTCCTTTTATACCTACATTCCTTACTTCGGTTCATCCCTTATATCCCTACATTCCTTACATCTCTTCATTCCTTACATCCCTGCATTCTTTTCATCCCTACATTCCTTACATCTTTTGATCCCTTATATCCCTGCATTCCTCACATCTCTACATTCCTTACATCTCTACATTCCTTACATCTCTACATTCCTTACATCTCTACATTCCTCACATTCCTGCCTTCTTTATATCCCAACATCCCTTACATCCCTGCATCCCTTGCCTGTATCCTTTACATCCTTGTATCACTTATATTCCTGCATTCCATACATCCCAGTACCGCTCTGAAATTAAGTTGAAATTTTTGCGGCTATAAGGCCTGAGATTTTATACAAATTTAGTTCTTTTTTTCGCCACCAGAGGGCGCTGATTCGACATCAAAATTTTAGTTCACATTTTTGCCGCCAGAGGGCCAGAAATTGAGCATGATTTAGTTCCTTTTTTCAAAACCAGATGGCGCTGATTCGACACCGAAATTTTAGTTCGAATTTTTGCCGCCAGAGGGCCAGAAATTGAGCATGATTTAGTTCCTTTTTTCAAAACCAGATGGCGCTGATTCAACACCGAAATTTTAGTTCGAATTTTTGCCGCTAGGGGGCGCTATTTTTAAAAGAATATCGCGAAAATTTCGAAAAATAGCGCCCCCTAGCGGCAAAAATTCGAACTAAAATTTCAATACCGAATCAGCGCCCTCTGGTGGCGGAAAAAGGAACTAACTTACCTTTACTTACCTGTACTCGAAGCAGTTTTTATAATATATTTATTATAAGGGATGCAGAGATGTAAGAAATGTAGGGGTGGAAAGAATGTAGGGATGGAAAGAATGTAGGGATGAAAGGAATATAGGGATGAAAGGGATACTGAGATGGCCTTGGCCTATAATAAGGGATAAAATTATATAAATAACTGGAAAAAGTAAAATAAATGTGGTCCTCGCCTGAGATCCAGAAGAGGGATATAATTATAAATGTTATTCCCCTTTGATGAGCTTATTTAATAAGCAAAAAAAAATAAACGAAGTAAATTAAATAAATTCTGAAAAAAAATTGTACTTGTTGTGCCCTCTTCATACGGACCTGATATTATCAAGGGGTGTTAGGAACCGCTTTGCCCCAATGGCACCCTCTGCGTACCGACCTAATATCATATTGGGGTATTAAGGACCCCTAAACGTCGTTGACTACTTTTGCATACCAATAATATAGCATACGGGGTGTCAGGGACCCCGAAGCACCAATGAATGTCTTTGCATATCGACATGGTATCATTTGGGATGCCAGGAACCCCGAAGCACCGGTGACACGGTTTGCATACCGACATTTTGGCTTCCGGGGTGTCAAGGACCCCGAAGCACCAGTAACTATCTCTGCATATCGATATGATATCATATTGGGGTGTCAGGAACCCCAATGCCCCTGTGACACCGTTTGCATACCGACATTTGGCATTCGGGGTACCAGGGACCCCGAGGTACCGGTAATGCTGCATACAATTTTAAATCACCGGGGTATCAAGGACCCCAACGCAAGTAGCGAAATATAAGACCTAAAAACGAACAAATCGTGAAACTCTCTTGTTCGGAATAGTGATGGGTATGACCGAATCTAGCGAAATATAAGACCATAAAACGAACAAATCGTGAAACTCACTTGTTCGGAATAGTGATGGGTACGACCGGATTTAGTGAAATATAAGACCTAAAAACGAACAAATCGTGAAACTCACTTGTTCGGGATAGTGATGGGTACGACCTAATTCTATCCTAGGGTGTCTGGGACCCCGAACCACGATGATTAAAATAAAATTGCTAATTACAATCGATCACAAACGATTTACAAACGAAATACACTAAGAAAAATTAAAAATAATATTTAATTGTTCTTTCCAGCTAGCTTCATGTAGGTCATGCAGAGAGCACACTTTTCTCGAATCCCAGTCGGTAAGTTGTCGAGTAGTTTGCGCCATTCTCGAAGAGATGGCGCTAGGATAGAATCGAAAAATTTTAATTTTTGGCGGTCTTTTTAAAATTCAAGTTTATCAAATTAATTTCTTAGATCGATTTGAATAGCGGTTTATTGACCACCATTTAGTAAATAAATTTTATTTGTTTAAAAGTAGAGTTTACGGAATGAGGGAAAGTAATTTAATGCGATTCTATACTATTTTACCGAATAATTTGGTCATTTATTACATACATACATTCACAGACAATCTATACATGAGCCGAGTTGTATATAATATATTATGTCCTATTAATATATACATATACATTTTAGATATTATGTTAACACGGTTTTGAAGATACACTGAAATTATTTTTGAAATATATAATAAATGTTTTGAATAAACTGTGATATTTAATGTTATAAATTTTAGTAGTTTACTAGTAACAGAATATTATACTATGTATTTTGTTAACAGTATGAAAAATAATTTATGCAATTGTTTTCTGTATACAGTTTCTATTGTGCTTTTGCATAATAATAACAATGGCTAAGTTTATAATAGATATATTCATGAATTAAGACAGAGAAGACAAATAAAATTAAGAATAATAGTATGTATAAAATATAATTTTACATCTTCGAATAAATATAAATATCATTAGGTAATTTTAATATACAATTTTATATTTTATATAAGGTTTCCTACCGAAGTTGAAAGTCATTAAAAACTGAATAAATAATTTTGATTAAAAAATGTAAATGCTCTCACAGAAAAATAGATTTTCTGCATGTTTCATGAATATAAATTTTCTTACTACCCGTAAGATTAAATTTGATTTCTATTAAAATATGAATAAGTGCTAGTAAATAAGTACTCATTAATTCATATCATCATCAATTAAATTCTTATAGAAGTAATGATTTTTATAATTAAAATACTTTATCTTACATGATGTTGAATTACATCTCTACCACAGATTATCACTTATGGAGGTCAATTAATGGACTAATACAATGATTATATACCATTAGTCGCTTACATTATTACAAGCACTATCTTTAACACATTATACACTGTTGAGACAAAGTTTTGTTACGTCTTCATAAAGGTTTCACAATACTTTTGTGACAGTTTCAGATACATACCTGAACAAGTATATAACGTGTTAAGAAAAGCTACAGAAACATTTAGTTGAAATTTGAAAAATCTGTTTTTAGTTTAATAGATGGTGTAGTGATCTTTATTTGTGGCTTTACGAGATCTACTGGTCGGGTATGCCTCTGTGCTTGTTGATGAGTGAATCGTACAGCGTTTTCTAATTTGGTTTTCAATTCTGTAGATTGTGACATCAACGTTTTAAATTCCTGAAATAAATGGAAAGATTTAAAGATTTATTTAAAGATTTAAATGATATAAATAGTATACCTGTGGATATTTTGGTCCTATTTTATTAAGCCATTGAAAACTCTGTTGATGAAGACTCAGTTGATATTTAGTAGCATGCTGAAGTTGTTCTCCCTCCAATAGATAATTAATTAAAATTGGCACAAGTAAAGTTAACATCTGTATTCCTATCAATTATAAATAAAATGTTAAGTTATGCTACACTAAGAAAAAAACAGCATTATATAATAAGAAAGAAGTTGAAACACATTTTACTATGTAGAGTTTTGCTCTTTACACACCTTGTAGAAGGTCTCCTGAATTGCATGTAACATATTCTTTATCAAAAACAATTTGCCGTGTAACATTTATTGGCTTTTTTAAATCTAACGAATGAAATAATGAAATAATAAGAATTAGTACGTACGATTAGAAATATCAGCAACTCCTATAAGAGCCTCGACAGTGCTAATACATTCCAGAGTAAAAGATAACTCTAAATCATTTGTAACTTGTTTGCTTTTGTCACTATATAGATATTCTACTAATCTTGGAGCTAGTGCATGGATATAAGGTGTACTTATTACACGTTCTGGATGTAAAAATATCGTTCTCAATGTTTGAACGCATTTTAATTTGACCTAAAAATTTAGAAGTGAATACTGCGAATTATAAATATCGTTAAAATATTAAAACGTTAAACAACTTACCATTACATTTTCTGATTGAAAAGCGTGTCTAAAATGATTGATACACGGAAACTGAAGATTTGGCGCAATTACAACTTCTTGTGTAGCATGAAGAACAAACACTGCAATAGCTAACATCATCGTTACTTCGTCCATTTTTGTTTCGTCATTTCCTAAAAATTATATTATTTAAAAATATACTTATTACCATTTAAATGATATTTAATTGATATGCAATTATGATCTTAAATACCTGTTTTAGCCAGATCAATGATTTTAGCAAGAGCACTTTGTAAAAGACCTGTCCACTGTTCCTGACTTCTATGATCCTTTGCATATTTATTTGTACTAAGATTTTTTATACAATGTAAAGCTGCATGCACTGGTGCATCTGATGCTATTTTGTTGCATTCATTGTCTGTGCGCACTGCAGTTTCTTTGATTACCCCAGTTGCTAAATACAGTAATGTTGGTAAAATTGCTATAGCTCCTTGAGGAGAACATAAAGTAGGAAGAGACTCCATTATATTCAATGCAGCTGCTATAAGTTTTCCACTTTCTTCTGATGGTATATACCCTTTTTGGGATAATATTGCTGTTGTTCCAGCAGGATTAGGATTCAGTGCTGGAATTTGTCGAACCAAAAGACACAGACACACTTCTAGAATGGCAAATACCAACGATTTGCCTGGAATAAGCTCCCCATTCTCTTCTCCTTCTCCTAGCAAATCTACTTCTTGAATTTCATTACTTTCGTCGTGTGCTGGTGCTATTTCTGTTACGATACAACAATATAACCCTTTACTAATTTCCCGTAATGTGTAATTTAAAAAAAAACAACCGTGTACTCACCGTTCAGTTTAATCTTTTTTCTTTCTGCTAAATCTTCCTGCGCTGCTTTCATTACTTGTTTTAAAACTTCCATTACTATCATCTGGATCACGTAACTTTCTCTAGTTAGAAGCATTCTGTGAAGAACATTACACAATTCAATCGGTAATGAACGATCTGCGATCAAAACCTTACGTGCCCAGGCAGAATCTAACAATGTGTATAAAGCATTTAAACACGTTTCTGTATTTTGAGCAGATTCCGAAGCTCGAGGACTGCATAAAGCTTCCATACATATACCTGAAACAATCAATCAAGTAAATTATTTCAAATAGCATTCGTATAATTTTTTATCTTATAACAGTAAAGAATATTTACCAAATAATAAATGAAAACGTTCAATATTAGCGTTAGTTTTAGTAGAAACGTCACTATTGTTATTATTATTGTTGTTATTAGCCGTATTCGATAGTTGCACTTCATTGTTAGTTTCTTCGAATCCAAATCCTTTTGCATTCAGCCAAAGCGTTGCGGCATGCAAAATAGGTGCCCATGATTCTGCATAATGGGGTCGAGCAGATTCCATCGTATCCGTTGTATAGAACGCACCCCCATCGTGTGGTAATTGACTGGAAAATTCTAATAAGGTATTGGTTTATTAATACAGATAGATCAGTGTAACTTTGGAAAACATATAAAATATGAAAAAATAAACTAAACCTGGTGGTAACGAGAGTAACGCGTGATCTCTCAGAGCAGCTAACCAGTACTGACTTAAGCTAAGCAATTCTGGTTGCACTAAACTCAACAAACTTTCAGTCTGAAATTCAAATTGTCCAAAATCTTCAACATTTCCCTCTTCGATTTGGTTTGAATTTTGATTGAACGTGTCCTTGCTGTTTAACGCAGAACCGTCTTTTATCATAGCAACCACGTATACCTAAAAAGAAAAGAGATTAATGAAAAATCTATCGTTATACTTGATTGTTATATATTTCTCTTACTTCTGCCCAAGCTTTCAAAATCGCTAATCTTTCAAGAGTTAACAAACTTTCATTGTACAGCTGAGGTCTTGTATGTCCTTCTCTCAATTTTTCTAAAGAAGACACCAGAAGTTGATGTACCCTACGAAGATCGTTAAGATCTCTAGCAACTCCACTTCCGATCCAAGCGCTACAAGCTTCGCAAGCCGCAGCTGTAACATGGGACGCTGTTTCCGCTGCGAATGCAGGTCTCAACGCAGCTCCGACCTATAGATTAAACAACCATATAAATATACCCCGTAAAATGTTTATAACATTGCACGGTTTTGATATATTAATTACCTGGGCTTGGAACTGCTCGAGCAACAGGTGTCCAGGAAATTCTGGTTCGGGAACTTTGGCAAATTTATCTATAATTTCTTGTAGCGTCTTTAGACCTTCGAGTCGTAAAGGATCACAATCACTAGTCGCGGCCATAAATGCCATTCGTACTAAATCGGAAAGATGCAATACCAGAAAATCGTCTGAAATTAAGTGAAATGTAGTAAGAAATTAAATTTGAGAAATGTTACAAGTTATTTAAAGAAAATCATACTTTTCCCCTTAGTCATTTGCATTTCCTTCGCTAAGGAAAGATCACAATGTGCTTGTTTATTATTTACACAAGCAGTCACGATTCTTCTAACGCACTGCGCTGCAAAAACTCTAGTTGGCCATCGTGGAGTAATAGTTGGCCGTTGTTTAGTAGATTCATCGGCATGAAATTCAGCTTGATCATCATCCCCTTCGGCATCTGTATTATCATTATCCGCGGTACCATCTTCAACGTTGATGGTATTTACTTCTTCGTTATTGCACGCCTCTGTACACGGTGAAAGATAAAAATTTCATCAATCCTCCTTAACTTGATACTTACATAAATGTATTAGCCTATTGATATACCTGAAGCTATTGTAAGAACATCTTTACACAAAGATAACCATTGAGATAAATTATCTGCAGCTAAAATTTGCAGCATACTGGTCAACGTATCATGAATATCTTTAATTAATTTGCTATCAGTTTCTGTGTCCAGCATACTAAATAAGACGCCCGGAAGACCGGTTTCTGTTATAACAAGACCTTCCACCACGTTCGTATCTCGGCTTTCATTAGCTAACGTCATCGCGTGTTCGCATACTTCTTTTGCTTCTCGTTGGGCAAGTTGACGAAGACAAGATATCGCGGCTTTACGTAAAAGCAAATGATTGCTTGATAAAGTTCGCTACAAATATTATAATATTATTGGAATAAATATTAACATTTAAATATTTACTTATATAATATTAAACTTACACATAACGTAGGGACAAGAGAAGATAAATTGACGTGTCTCGGTGCAAATAAATGTAACTGTTGAAGACATCCTGTCGCTTCAGCTTGTACAAGAGGATCTTGATGATCTTGCATGATAGCACACGCGCATAAGAACGATGACCGTGCCATACAGATTGTCGAAGTATTACCTAATAGTATTGTTAAAATCGTTAAGTTTCTTATTCTTTACTTAATACCGGCGTTAAATAGATTATTAACCTTGTAATTCTGGTCCTATGGTTGTAATAAGAGCTGATAATACTTTCCCTATACATTGATGTACATCTATATAAGAATGAGGAACATTGAGAAGAAGAGTTAATGCTAAGGACAATGTAGGTTCAACGTAGCCTCGAAACATTGGTCCACCAGAATCAGCAATAAGTGCAAGAGCATGTAGTGCCCATACTTGTACTACAGGAGAGGAATTATCTTGTGCAAGTGCAAGCAGGATGCTGACACTTGTGATTAGATGTTGGCTAGATCCCATTCCACCTACATATTTATGGAGGCATCCTAATGCTAAGGAATGACCAGTTCTACTTGCAACATCCCGAGCAGATTTTAAACGATCGAAACTTGTTTGTGCCAATTCCGCTGTAAACTTGGGATCTGATATAACTTGTGCCATTCTTCCAACAGCTTCTCCGGCTGCCCATCTTAATATCGAATTGCTGCTTACTAAAGCGCTCTATAATATATAAAACGCTATTAAACGTGCTGTCAGATTGAAACGCATAAAAAATATCGCAACATCGTTAGAAATCTCTTACAATAATTAAATTAGTTGCAGATTTCTTAACATCTTCCTGGCCAAATCCAGTTTTTGCTTCGTTCAGACCTTTCAACCCACTTAGCACAGCTGTGAAAACATTCATCTGGATCGCTTCCTGTCTACCAGATTTCGTATGTTTTATACATTCGCTGAAATGATCTAACATCTGTAATCTATGTTTGTTCGCTACGCGTGGGAAGATTTGACCAAACAATGACACAGATAAATCAATAACAGCAACTCCCAAAGGTAAAGGACCAGGAATTATTTCATCCTAAAAATAATGGCAATACAGTTTAAAGTTGTTTTTAACACGATTTTAGCAAAATTTGAATATATTTACTTGTGGTACCGGTCTGTAAAGACAACATGGATTGTGTTCCAGAGCTCCGGATCCTGCAGCACTATTTGGTTGTAGCTGGAACAAATCCAATATGTACATTAAACTATGCTTTTTATTTTTTTTTTTTTGTATCAAGTCCATAATAATCTAAATTTTACAAACAATAAAATTAAATTAAATTCATATAACATTTTCATACACGTATAATCTATAAGTATAAAATTAATTATTAATTACAATTGGGTAAGGAGTATTATTTTTAACATCATTTATCTTTACCTTGAATACAAAAATTTGAAATAAATAAATGTAAAGAAAAACAAGATATTAAGCACAAGCATCCAACGAATAATGAAAGGCTTCATAGAACATTACTCACATGTTCCAAATCTGCCCTTCTGTTTGGTTCCATCTAGACATGAGTGGAAATAGAGGTGTTAATTTAAAATAATGTAATATATGTTAACATACACCTTTTACAATATCTCTGTTTCAGTTAATTACAATTTATTAGTCAATTTCAATAAACGGGAAATATGTTAGATATAGTGTTAAACTAAATTCATAATGTTAAATGCTTACTTGATCTTCTATTGTACGGTGATCAGTTTCTTGTAACCATGTACCAAGGATCACAGAATCATTAGCATGACAAACCGCGCGTAATAACGAAGTTGTAGTGTTTCCAGGATTTTCAGTTAGGGTGAATTCGGATACCAACATTCTCAGGAGATGCGTATAAGAACCTACTCAATTTAAAATACATTCCTTTGCTAATAGATAATGCTATAAACTGGATAATTAATTAAAATGAAAGGAGTTTTAATTACCTTCAAAAGTTTGAGGTGGCAACAATAACAATGTTTCGTACAAACGCAAACGAACCATCGCAGCAGGGGCTTTCAATTGTTGTCCATAATTTTTTAACACCGGTGACAAACTAAAATAATATTTTCCAAATTTATACAACAATTCGACAGCGTGTTAAAGATACTTGTTAATGTAACGTACTTTGTCAGCATTGCCAATGCAGACTCAATTGGTGTTAAAAGTCGTCGTGTAATGTCATCATTTAAAAGTTCTGGACAATGCAATAGAAAACTGTGCATAGCAGATAACGCGCCAGCTCGACCTTCCAAAGTTACTTGCCATGTAAAAGCATCACCTCTAGCTTTTTCACTTTCAAGTTCTTTATTTGAACGAGGGAAAGAATTTCTCCATAATAATAACATTCTGGGTAATAATCCTTTAACCACTGCTGTACCTAAAAATATATTTTTATATTAAATACAAAATTGTACGGAGATATTAATTTAACTCAACCGTACGTCATACCAAGAGTCATTATAGCTCCAATTAAAAGCCATCCGGCATGTGTTCTGTTCAATGATAAACGACTATTTTGACTCGCACTTCTTAAAAGTTCTTCTGCGGTATTGAAGATAATCTACAAGATAACGGATAATTTTTATTTAATAACACAGTATTTAATATTTATTTAGAAATTACTTTGCTTATAAATAATTACTTTTCCTTTCGTGTGGGGAACGCCAAGAGGCGATAAACGAACACTACCAAGAACCGCAGCTAAAGCACTGCTATATCCAGCTATTGCTTCCGGTGAGCTACGCATATTTTCGATACCATCCACACAGCGGTCAATGAGAGGTGTTATTTGACTCGGAACTGCTACACAAATACAGCGCAAACACCAGGAAGCTGCAAGTCTAGCCGCTTGACATGGATGAATCAAAACAGCCATAATCGTGTCAATTAAGCCTAAAAGAAATCGTATAAATGATGAATTCATGTACTGAAAAATAAATAAACATGTAAAAATCATAAAGCACATACTTAAGGATTGATCGCTTAATAAATTACAAGCAGTTGTACCCAACCCAAGAATCAAGTTCCCCATTTCTTGTAAAGCACATACAAGTAAATGCTGACTGAATAATGTTTCTTGATTACAATCCTTTGCATTTTCTGGACTGAAATCTATAAATTGAAATAAATAATAATTATATGTTCCGCTCTTGTAGTAACAACTGGTTAAAAAATCAATAACATTACCAATAGAGTTCATTTGCTTTAAGATAATATGCGCTATTTCTTTACATGCAGCAGCTTGAGCTCCTTCACCTAATAATTTACCAATAGTACCATGTAACATAAAGTTAACACATTTCCTAGAGTAGACAGCATCAACGTGTGAACTTGCTGCTTTTGGATTTGTCACGAGTTCAAGTACGTGTGCAATTAATGCGCCGATATTACGCTCAAGCCACGAACCGCCCAACATTTGAACAAATACAACATACGCCTGTAAGTTATTAACAAAAGGTCATCGAAATATATTTTTATAAAATAAGTACAATATCTCTTATGTTCTTTCTTACATGGGTGACTCCAACTCTAACTTCACGATTCACGCTAGAGTTTCCTTTTATGATTTCTCCGGTACCTTTCAAAAAACCTACTCCACCTCTTAGAAATCCAGACATCAAAATATTCAATACTTCATCAAGTGAAATTTGTTTGCAATTTTTATTCTGAGCCACTAAATAAAAACAACAGTTAATATAAATATTCTTATGTCTAATAATAAATACAATTAATTATTCATGATACCTGAAGGGTTTTTTCCTTTTGGATTTGGAAGCTGGGTCATTGCTACCAGTGTGCCAAGTAACTTAGCAACAGCGCATCTTACTTCGTAGTTCGAACCTTCGAATGCTCGAAAGCAGAGTGTAGCAACACTTTCTATCTCAGTAGTATATAAAAATGGAGCATGATTTAACATTTCCAACAGACACTGTAAATATTATATGAAATATATTTCAAATGATACATATATTACAATGATGATAATAAAATACCTTTGCAGCAGCACATCTCACAGCCATAACTCTATCTGTTAGATAATGTCTAGAAATTTTATATATTTCCTTGTGAACATTTGTAATTGCAGAACCCATGCCAGCACACACCTAATAATTCAAATTCATTTAAGATATAATTTCACTTTCTTTTATTTAACATATTACCTTCTCTAAAGTATGCATAATTTCTATTCTTGTTTGTGATTCTGCAGAACGTAAAGATTTTATCAAAATCTGTACAGTCTCTTCGTATGATCTACCCATCATTCTTCCTAATTTTTCATACATACATCCCACGCAACATATAGCAGCTCTGTGAACAGTTAAAAATTGAATACATGATGTGACTTAAGTACAGAATGTGTATACTTACAATTTTGTTGGAAGAAAGCTTGGAGAATCATCCTTATTTCTAAGAATATCATTGCACTTATTAACAGTATCAAAAAGCAAAAATGTATCGCCAACACTAAATAAAGTGGCAAGACATCTTGCAATAAGTCTTCGTGTAGGAGGTCCAGGTGCCCCTTGCATGTGTTTAGTTAACTGTTCTACAAGCTTTTGTTGACATCCTTTAATGTCACTCTAAAAATTTTATATTGTTATATAAAATATAAGGGAAAGACATACATATATTTATTATTTAGTTACTTGATAACTACCTTTTGTGCAGCAATCAAAACCTTATCCAAAAAGCGTAACCATTCAAATATAAAAACTGGTCGTTTGGCCTCTGGGATTTGATTAAGAGCATCCTCATTGAGGGTCAAACTATGACTCAACTCCATCATCATTTCAATAAATTAGGTTTTAAACAATCTTATTTATTTTTACATCTATCCTGTAATAAAATATTGATTATCTGTTAGTTGCAATTTAATAAACTAATTTATAATTTGTAAGATATTATATTCTTTAATATTTTTGTTATCAAGTGTATAACTTGTTAATGCATAAATAATACAAATGCAACTTAAAGAAAAGGATATGTGAATAAACATCACAAAATTTTGACAGATTACCAGTATGTGGAAAGTAACATAATTTTCTGGCTTGTATATGTAAATTATTTAAAATCACTCCATTTCATTAATGTAAAATTATATAAATATCCAAGTTTATTTCTGACTGTATTAAAAAATTAAACACACAGCAAACAAAGTCACTTTATAAACAGTACTTTACATGACATTTAACAGTCAGTAATAGTATCATAAATTACTAAAATAATTATCTGCTTTTTGTGGTAATTGACAAATCTCAACTTGATGCAGGTTAGGGCAGATCAGTAATTATCTGAATGAAAGACACTGACTATACATTATAAAGATCATACACTTGCTGTGATATTATTAAACTTAAGGCGATTTTCATCATAAGATTTGATTACAATATGTACAAATGTAAGAAAAAAAAGGCGGGATTAATTGAATACAGACAAATAAATTTGATATTCTAATAACTTTGAATTACAGAAAATTAATCTGCAAATGCTTCAACTTTCTTCCTACTCATCTATCTAGAACAATGAATACATTCGTTTTGCAGTTGAATTTCACATACTCAATTCTTCATATTTCTTATATATTTACTTTCAGATTTCATTTCTTTTTATAATACTTGATAAAAAACAAGTAGCAACAGGTATCTTTCTTTCAAAAATTCCGATGAAACTACAAAATTTTATATGCAAAATATCGGTAAAAGAATATTCATTAATCAATAATCTGATTAAATTTAAAAACAAACTAAATTAACAAATTAAAAAAACTCATCATACATATTTATACTAGTCTTTATATTTATAATGTTATCATCTACTGATCAGCATACTTTTGAACGTATATCTTCTTTTTGTTAGACTGATGCAAATACCGTTCTAGCAGGAAATGTTTTTTAATGCAAATCCTTACGTAGGATCGATATCAAATTCTTAAAAATGAAAACTTAATATTTATACAATCCTGAGGCATCAACGTCATTTTTTATACAACATTTTGCTCCATTGCACGTTATTTTAAATTCATTCTACGTAAAGTGTTGTTTATGATTTTGTCGCTACATTTCAAAGTGACTTCCTTGTCCCATTAATTTTATTTTAACAAATTCTTAATCGTTGAAATATACATTGCGTGTAAAACATGTTATGTTTATCTATCGAATTATTTTAAGTAATCATTGATATTCGTTGATCTCATTGTTTACCAAATAACTTCCGAAAACCATTTATAAATGATAACTCTAATTACACGCAACTGTTTATGCTGATGCATTTATAATTAACTTTGATAAAAGTACGGACAATTTATAACATTCCTGGTTAATCATGCATTGATTATTATAATGAATATGAAGTATGTCCATAATTTATTACATCCATACTCGATCAATGCTCTCTCCAGAAACTTTATTAAAATGAAACAATCTAATCGAGAATTTTCTCTAATTTTCCTCGAGATTATCTTGAACTCTATTTTTTTTTAACCTTTGTAAAAATCAATTGCAACAGTCAAAACAAATTGAAATAAATGTGTATGTTTACGAGCCGCATCAGCTAATAAAATGCAAGATGTTTGAAAACACAGATGCATCTTCCGGATAATTATGTGAGCAGATAAACTATTCGACAAACAATTTTCCTATATGTTATTACGCTATCCGCGTCGTATAAAAACCGAAGCAGACTGAATGCATGTTTCTTTTTTCTCTTAGGTCACGGCTACAAATCGCTTATAAACAATAAAAAAAAAAAGAAAAGACGATATCCTATCAGTCTCTAACGCGTGCATTTGAATAAACTCATTGCCATTTGTTACCAAGTTTCTCTTTAGATCAAAACTAAATTGAATTTATGTTAATCATTCATCATACAATCCAAAAGGATAAAAAAAATAGTTATGAACGAACAGAGGATAGCACTTTGCTTTAATTAATGTTAATAACGTTCAATTCCCTCGAGAAAAAAGAAATGGGATCGTGAAACAATTAAGGGGGTAGGTCACCTTGGACGGCCGAAATTCATATGTAAGTTTGTGATTTTTTTTTTCTAAAAAATGGTAAACGCAATGGAAATTCCGTTCGAAAGAATTTTTTTTACATCTGCTCAAGAGTAAAAAAAATTTCTATCTTTATATTTGTATTACAACATGTTGGACTTCTGTCAGAACCGTTGGACCGTTCTGTCAGAACGGAGTAAAAAAAATTTAAATTTAAATCAAACTTAATATTTGTATTAATTAGGTTGTACAGTCAACTAGACAATTTTTTTCTAGCTAACCCCAGCGAAGTGAACGTTGCATAAACATCCAACCATCTTGTTTGCAAAAAACGATCGCGTAAAACACTGAAAAACACCTCGTTGGAATGCTGCCGTTATTCTGACGCTTCTGTTGCACTGCAATTTTTCATGCATGCTTTTAGAGGTGGAAAAAAAGATCCTAAAAAAAAGATAAGAAAGTAGATGTAATGTTTCTTGGGTTCTATGGGATCATCGAACCACGACTGATTATACAAGTATAACAAATTGTCAAATTTAATGCCTTAAATTTTATACCTTAAGGAAATAACTGAAGTCATCTAAGCATAAATTAAAAAAACGAACAGGTGGTCAACATGGGGTAGATACATGGTGTGTTGCAAGAGTTACCTATAAATAAATCTGGAATAAATCAAAGTCTCCAATTTAAATATAAGGAAGCAGATTTTTTGATTCTTTCTTTATTAGCATTTTGCATCTTGATTTGAGAAACAAACCTCTGTTGCAACTTTTGCTGAGTGTTTCTATAAACAAAAATGTTTACCATAAAAAAAAAATAATTCTTAATATCTTTCGTAAGCTAAATTATAGTGGAGCTATTTTTAGTATGGCTGTTAAATAAATAAATAAATAAATTAGTATATATAATCCTTTTTAAATAAATTCTTTAAAATCCATTCAAATGGAAAATTCTACCTACCTGTCTTTGCTCAACCAGTTTTATCGTAGACAATTAATAAATAGTGTATTCAAAGGCACATAATCAGTCAATTTTAACGACGTCAAATTATTCAACTATTTAAGTCGGCGAATATGTTGGTCCGTTTTTGCAGTAGTTACGAAAATCACTTTTACCAGCAAAAGTATTTTTCAACGGGAGCACTATACATTATTATTGCTTAACGTGAAATGAAAGGTGCTCTCCGGTGGCATAGGAAACCTGTAACAACAGAGAATAATTATTTATCTGGCTGGGTTAATCGAAACACAGGATAAAACAAAATTTTAAAATTCATGAAGCATTATTATTATTTTCAATGAAAATGTTTTTCAAGCGATATGCGATTCTTGCAAGTCATCGGCAACGTGCTACAAATGACCAGAAACACATTTTAACATTGCAGATGTAGGTATTCGATTCATATCAGTGTTTTAGCATTAACGCTTGGATTATCGTGTCGCATATTTATAATTCAGATGTGGCTTTTTGTTACCTGCCTTTAGTTGATGTAATTGTTACAAAAGTAGGTATCAATAGACAACACTTCAAAAACATTGAAAGAGCAAAGTACCGAGTACTCATAAAACTCCATTGAAATATTAAAAAATATATTATTGAAGTCATAGTTCCTGTGTAAGTATTCTGCAATTAAAAAGTTAATAACTCCCAAGTTTTTATAACAAACATACGTACATAAATCCCTTTCAAACAAAAAAGAAGAATAAAATTACTAGAGTTATAGATCCGCAGAAACGTGCGGTCATCAGAGGATTAAGTTAATGAATTCTTTTTTTCTCTCCGCGTCATTTTATCAGGATTGCGTCTTTCTGTCATTAAAGAAGAATAGTCTTCTGCGCATCTATTATACACGTGTAAAAATTGATATTTCCCAAATGTGTTAATCTGTAAACAAAAGAAAAAAAGTGTAATTAAAAAAAAAAAGAGGAAAAAAAAGGAGGAAATATGTTTGTAGCATCGATCTCACAGTATACGTCATTAAATTCTGTTCCGGACATTCAAGTTTTTTAGAATAAAATGAAAATACATAGTGTCCTCTGCGTAAGTCGTTCAGGTGACATTTTTAAGTGGATGTGACGCGGATAATGGTAAAAACTTCATAGACGTCATCAGACAAAGTACCGAAACCATATACATATTTCCTATCTGTATTCCTATCTGTCATTAATCAATGTTGCACGTTTCTTTAGTTCGAATAAAGAACCATCGCAGGACGATTCCTCCGGGTTCGTGACATATGAAAATAAAAAATACGTTCAACATTAACGTGAAACAGTTTATACAATATTTCTTGTCTAATCATTATAATTTTAAATAAATGAATTTTAATCCACTGATATACGTCATTATGACGTTCTTCATGGTTACTATGAAGAACTCGACCCTTTCCGTAAATTTGATTTATTATGCAATGTTCTAGAAATACCTAATTTTGGGGGTGGTTAATTGTAGAAATGGCTAATTTAAAAAATGGCTAATTTTTGAAATATCTAATGTTGGAAATGGCTAATTATAACAACATCTAATTTTGGAAATACGGTACCATAAAATGGTAATAATTCCTTTTTAGAACGGGTCGCAATCAAGGGTTGACGAATGGCGTTAAAAATATCCTTGCAACGTCATGTAAGCGTAGGAGCAATTTTAGAGGGGAAGTAAATTGGTTTCTTGAACCCTGTACAAGACGACATTGAAGGTGCAACTTTGGAGAGGATTTCTGATTTTTTGGGCAATTGAACGCAACCAAGGACTCGCAAAGCGTCTTGATGAAACCGGTGCAGGAATATCCTGATCGCATCCGTGACGTTCCTTTTATATGTTACACTGGGACATTTTATCTTTGTTTTATCTTTCAGAATGTTCAACAATTTTGAAACAGATGTAAATTATGGAGACATCGAAGTGAAAATCTAACGAACACAAAGAACAGACTTCGAAGAAGAAAAATAAGAGAAAAGAGGGGAGAATGAAGGAATGAACCCTACAAAAGAAAAAAGGACTCTGCTACGTCCGACTAGTTCGCTGACTCCAGGTATTAATTATTTCTTTTTCAATAAAATATTTATTCCTTATTTCGTGGAATCTATAAATTCTGTTAAGTTATTAATTTGTCTTTTTTTTAAATCACAATAACCGTGTGTTTAAAATTTTCATTTGCATCGCAAAATTACTAATTTTCACCTACTCTACGAAGTGACTCATTTTCAGATTGTAATTAGTATGTTACAGAGTGGATATAAATAAGGCGATTAACGGTGCGAAAAAAAATTTTAACACTACTAATTATACATTTGAATTCACACCTTAGGGAAACTGAACAACACGTTACGTAGTGTACGAAATTATTACGAAATTATTATGGTATATTAAAGATACGTTAGCAAACAAATTGTTCGTAGAAAATAGACTAATATATGTTACAGATGCGAATGAAAGTACCGTATCAAACGTGTCCATTTATTGAGGAAAAAAGGATTTGCCGAGAGATTTATCCTACACCTTGTATCCAGAGTCGATAAATCGAACAGTTATAAAGAACCAGTCCTACAGGTGATCAAATTGTTCGCGTTTTAATCTGTTTTGGTGCTGAAAAACTTGAAAATTTCTTTATGCTTTCTTAAACTTTCAGAATGTCCCAGGAAAAAAATTAGAAACACGACAAAAATTTTAATTTTTTCATTTTAAATGGAAATATTTTCTTGCCTATAAAATAATACCGATAAAAAGTAAAGAAGAGTAATAATATTCAAACGACTTTGAAAAAAAAAAATTAAGGATCCTACGAGATTTTTATAGCAAAATGTAAGTTTTTAAAATGAATAATAAATCGAGTTTAGCGAAGAAATGGAATAAGGGGGGATTCCTCTTACGACCGAGTATTCTTTTTATTTTGAACCTTTAAAAAGTTAGGAAGAGTTAATGGTTGCGAACCTGGTTTCGGTGATAGGAATGCCATCCAGTTGCCACCCGAAAATACAGGTTAGACATTTTAACACAAACGTGCGAAGTGTGTAGTTAAAAGGACACCCACGCGCAGGGTTATACCCTGAAAATTTGAATTTTTCAATTTACTGATATCATTCTCGTATATGCGTCTGATTCACACGTGACGAAAACAAGCAAAGATGTAAAATCTTATACGTAATTAACAAGAAAAACTTCATTTATTCCAATCACCAAGAAGTTGAAGGAAAGGAAAAAAGAAAGAAAAACAATCCTAGCGGAATAAAACTGATGGACGTTACAATTCTTACCTTAACGTCATAATAACATGTCTCTTTTTATAAAAAAAGAATTTATGAAAAATTACTCATAGAAAATTGAAAAATTCGAATATTTGAAAAATATAGACACTTTGAATTCTTGAATTATTCAAATTATTCAAATTTTTATAAAAACTCTAATTGGTATTATATTTAGGTACCTATTAAGAAAATCGAAAGATGTTAAATCGCGATCGTTACGAGTCCAGTAACCCGTACGAAATAAAATAATCTAAAAGGTGATTCGGAAAGAATTTTCTTGCTCGCATGGTAAACGGTAGCGAATTGAATAAAATTCGGTCGAAATGTGAATAAATGCATTTCAGAGAACGTCGTTATAACTACCAGTACCGGTAGCATGGCAAGGAGAAAAGTTGTAGACGTTGTGTTCATCGGTGTGCTCGTATGGGGGTTAGTGATCAGGAGACAGTATAAAGCAGAGTGAACACAAGATTCATGCTCACTAATAACAAGATAAGGAGAAGCTGCAAACGATACAACTTCACCGCAAGGAGCTTGCATTTTATTTTTTTAAGTAAAACTTACATAGAAAAAAATGGTCACCGGTTATTTCTTCATCGAATATTCGTGTAAATAAGATCATCGAAAAGGACTGTGTTACCGGAACGAAATTGTGCTAGTGTGAAAAGTGTTGTTTCTGATTGTTATTCAAGTGTTTAGTTATTGTTTGTGAAAGATCATCGAATTGTTACACCGACCCGGTAAGTAGAATATTTTCATTAATTAATCATCCTACTTAAAGAATTTCAAGAGATATTGAAGATAAAATTTGAATATTTAAAATCTTTCTCGTACGATCTAGGAAATATTCATTTTTTTTTCGTAAAAATAACCCGGCATACAAAACACTGTATGACGCAGAATAAAATATAAATATTGTACTTAAAATGCTTACGTTTTTTTCCTTTAATTTGATGATAACAAAATGAATGCAATCCTTTCGGTTTTCGGGTATCTGAGAATAAAATCTACAGTGCATTCTTTTTTTAATCATCGTGAATTCTTGAAAGATAGAAGGTGATCGCGTTCCTATAAGGATTTCCTGTTTTTGTACACGTTTATCTGAAAATGAACCAGTATGAGAGAAAAGATAAGTGCCTTGGAACGAGTTGCGACAAATATTTTTGATTCATAACGAGAAGGGACGGTTTCATACAGATGTTTCATTCTAAATGAATAAAATCGCGAAAAACGTCGGCGATGTTAACGTTATTAAATATGCGGAACATATTTTCTCCGGAGACTTATAGTAGCTCTGATTCTACCGAGAGATCGTAATAGACACGCGTATCACGTACGATTCTGCATAAGCGCACTCTCTTTCGTTTTATGCTCCGATATCAAATGCAAGACACATATTAAAAGATGACAAAACAGCACGGATCTGCTAGGATCATTTAGTTTATCGTGCTTCGAAGACCTAATGTATATAAGTCAATATGTCACATTTGTGGTAAACTGGCAACGAAATTTGCGATTCTATTGCAAGCTTTTTTTAATCCTCGGATGGCGGACCATGGAGAGAGCCCCAATTTTAAAATAATTTTCTAAATTCTTCCCTGCCTCTTTCGGTACACACTGGACCCCCAGCTCTTGTCATTTTGTATTTTTAATATTAAAGAAATAATCGCGCACGTGATATCGATTGATCAGATCTTTAATCGCTAAAGCTATTAAATCGAACGTGTTAATCATTGAAAAGTTATTAGAAGTATAAATATATTTATTGAAAATTGTTATTTGTTAAATTTAAATTTTTAACAATTATTTTTTTTCATTTGTGTCTTTCAAAGTTAACTGTAAAATGATAATATACGATATTACATTCATACTCAATTAAATAATTAACGTCACTGCTTTAATACTTTGATTATCTTTAATGAACTTGAAAAAAGTAATCGGATAGGAGAAAATAAATTTGTCATGAATGATGTGATCCTACTTTACAAATATTTCGAAGAGACACACGCCTGACCCATTAATTCCGATATTTCAGCATGCAGTTCTTCCACTGTGACATTAATTAAAAACTTGACATCTTACTTTTCTAAAAATAACAATTTTCGGGTAGGAAAAGATATCAACAGAATCTGCGAATAACAATAAACGATAAACTACCCCTTGTACAGTATATCAGCGATTTTATTATTTTTCAAACATTCGTGCTATCAGGAATAAAATTTTCATAAGGATTAATTAACACGAGATAACCTTTCATCCAGATCTCTTAATCATGTCCATTCGTGTGAAGCAACTATCTCGCCTAACCAGGCGTTGAAGTTACTGGATGAATTGTATCGTTAAGGTTCAAATGATAATTAACAAGTTCCATCCACGATATTTATGTTTCTTTAATGGATTTGTAATGATAAATATTCATAAACTGATAGACATTGTACTTGGAATATGTTAGACATTGTATGTTTAAAAATAAGATTCTTCATTTGTAAAATGTAAAACTTTGTATTTTTCTTCTCGGATATTAGTGGATATTGATTGGTTTAGTTGTAATTATGAAAGATTTATTATTTAATTAAGAAAGTCAATTTTGTTTGGAAACAAAATTTCTGGAAAATCAATTTTATAGATTGATCATCACATTACTCATAACGTTAAAAATCGATTTATTGCATATCAAGCAGTTATGCAATGCTTAATAATAATGACGCAGGTTAGAATCGACGTTTTTTTATATATTTGAATTCGTGTGAATCCTTGCAGTAATGAATTACTTTTGAAAAAACGTTGGGAATCAAGACAACTTGAGAGGAAGAAGGGAAGATGATATATAAAGTAAAGATGAGATATATTATTCGACGACCTTCCGATTAATTTATATGAGATGCCATAAAAAAGCAAGAAGAAGCTCCTTGTTTGGTGACATATCTTTTTTTTCCTGGTACACCCGTAACAGGTATTTCAAGAAATAATATAAAAAATGTCACATCCAAATGTACTGAAAATATTAAATTTGTTAATAACTAAGGAAAGAGGACAGATTTATAAAAATTATTAAATATTGCATAATATGAAAATAATGTAACAATAATGTAAAAATTTTGTTCGCAGACAAAATTGACTTCCTTGATTAAATAATAAATCTTTCCTAATTTCAACTGAATCAATCAATACTCACTGATTAATTACCCTTCTAAATTTTTTTATAACAAGGTTCGACAAATTTTAAATAAACCATACAAGGTTAAGACAATAAAACTCCAATTCCAAGTGAAATTTCTGCAACCCATGCTTCTTCGTTTTCTAAAATCATGGTCATTAAATATCCCTCCCCCCCCCCCAAAAAAAGAAACCATCATGATCGTTCAAAGATCGCTTAATTGATTAACGATCAATTGGCCGGATATTAAGTATCGAAAGAACATTAATTATTCATACGAATGATAAAAGTTTGCAGGCTGTTCTTCGAGTACTTTTTTCTGTTCACACTTGCCTGCACGTTGCTGCAATATCGACAGCCGATTATCATTGCAAATCCACTCGATATACATAACATAGACGATCAACATTTTAAACGTTCGTCTAATCGTAAATGCATCCTCGTGTCGTGACTCACGACCGACGTTAGACGGAAGAAAGAAAAAAAGGGTTAAGCTAGAAAAATTCTCTACCGAGAAACCGAGAAAATGATTCCCCCCAGCTGTCATGTAAATAGCTCGTATAAGCGCCAATAACTTTGACAAACTTTGCGGCACGATGTTTAAAAGTTATATATTCATACCTGAGACGCTTCGAACGTGTGCTTTATGCGTCAAGAATTTTTTTTCTTTTTTTTTAGTTAACCTTTGTCGTATCGAATCTGTTTGCACGTTTTTTTTTTGGACTTCCTGTACCATTCGCTTAAACAGAAATCAAACACCTTTTTCCTCTTATTTCCAATAAACGTTCGTAAATAAGCGTCGCATGAATGAATTCATAGACCGTAAAAGATACTTTGTTTAACGCGTTGTGACTGACGTGGGGGTCACCGGTGGCTGTACCATGAATTCAATATAATTGAAAGAAACAAGTTATTTCTTTTTCAAATTGCAATTACCATTGCGACAAAGCCGCCCTGCTATAACTCGATGCAGACTTTTTAAAAACATTCAGATTTCGTAATTCAGATTACTTTACTCGAAGAGAAAGAAGTACGACATCGGTTTCCTTCGACTTAATTAGGGATATAATTTGAAGTAATCGTTGATAATGAAAGATCAGTCCATAAATAAGCCAATTTGCTTCTGTTTCAGGACCTTACCATCAAGGAGACGAGAAAAGGAAAGCAGCGAAAAGTAAACGAATCAGGTCACAACCATGAAATTTCCAATTCCTCTACATCAATATAAAAGTGAGTAATCGTACGGTAAAAATTAATATTTTAATTATATTTATTGTATATTTACTATATGGAATAATGATGGTTTTGAAAATTATATGTTTGCCATTAGATACGAATGTATTTATCTTGGTGTTGATTAATAACACATTATTGCAAACGGCTGATAATAATTCATGCGAAACGTTAGAATGATAATTCTGTGTATAATTTTTTTTCTGTGTTTAAAAAATAATTAACGTTGGTTTTTTCTTCAAACCTATAATTATCCTCCACTTCGTTCTCTTTTGTTTATATTAACATCCTTTTTTTGTGTGTCAACCGGTTGAATTAAACTTCACTGAAATATCATTCGATAACTGAAATCGGCGACGTATTACTAGCATAAATCGTTGGATGATAAATAATTCACATGCACATAAACATCTCGATTGGATAGCTGTTGAAAAGGTTCTAGAAGGTCAAAGGTCAATAAACAAACGTTTCAACAGGGACGAAGAAATCGGAATAATAACGAATTCCTTTATCAATCGTACGATAACAATTAAATTCGATGTTTCTACGTTAGAATATATTTTATAACACAATATCGTCTTTGCTGGTTTTCGGAGAATAATAACGAGGCAAGGAAAAAAAAAAAGTAAAAAATATGACTTTCTTTTACGCCGATGCAAATGATTTCTAGAATAAAAGGTCTTAAGCAATGTGGACCTTGAGTTGTCGTTTAATGAATTAACGAACGTCAAACGAACCAGGTTATTATTCTCGGAAACGTCTAGTAATACGTCAAACTTTTTGTAACTGTGTATTACATATGACAAATTTAAAGGATCACAGATGGGAAGAAGATTAAGTTTAACATGGGTACCATTTCGCCTCAGGAGATTTGGATGATAGAGATGAGTGGAGACGGGATCTAATTACAATTATAATATTATAGAGAGGTGAGGTGGGCCAATGTCCTCAGTTGTAGAATTTTAAAATTTGATAATTTGGCTATTTGCCAACTTGGAAATTTGAGAATTTGACAATTTAAAAATTTAAGAATTTGGCAATTTGGCAATTAGGCAACTTACAAATTTAAAAATTTGAGAATTTAAGAATTTGGCAATTTAAGAATTTGAGGATTTGGCAATTTGGCAATTAGCCAACTTACAAATTTAAAAATTTGAGAATTCGGCAATTTGGAAATCTGAAAATTTGAAATCTTAAAACTTCAAAATGTTAGCGGGCCATTTCAGGTCCATCCTGCCCTCCCAGAAATGTTAATTACAATCTAGTAGACTATACCCAAGGGAATAACCCCGTGAGAAGGTTACACTTTTGTACTGTTCGATGACTCTCAGCGCTGCATTACCATATTTTCGAGATAAATATATTTCCGCGAACGATGCTGTCGTAACTGTTTAAAGGTCTCGGCCATTGAGCAGCTGCTACATACGTGTATGTGTGCCCGTATACATAGTTTGTTAAGATTATGCGAAAGCCTTTCGAAAAATGTACACGTATGCACAGTTTCAAGTTAAGTTGAAAACTGCACGAGTATTATCCACTTGATCTTGACCTCCGTCAGACAGGATGTTTCAACATGTACGATCTATAGCATTTTACCGATTATTATCCATTAATAACTCGTATTATCGCCTTCAGCATGATTTCTGACGCAAAATTTCCATCGTTACAATGCACTTCTTCGCGTTATACAACCCTTAAAGAGCAAAGTAGAATCTTTCCCAGCTAACGAATTCAAATTTTTCATTTTATAAGTTCAAAAATTCCTTCATTTGGAAATTTAAATATCTAATTTAATTCCATAGATTTGGTTTACCAGTGACCCAATCGTTTAAAGAATTCGATTCCGTTATTGACACGAAAGAAAGACTCAAGGCTTTCTGGACACATTTGTCACTTTGCATGAAAAGTAAAAAAATAACTTCTTTTTACCTGGCTTTCATGAATAGATAAAACCGGTAGACATTTCAGTTGTCAGTGAAATAAATTTGTCTCACTAGCGATATTGATTGCACCTCATTAATTTTTTATTCTAACTACCTCGATGATATATTATCGGTGTTGATTTTTTATTCACCACCAACAATTTGTTATGTGTTAAGAGGTTCCTAATTATAAACCGCGGAAATGGAAAACAGTGAATGACATCATCACTTATTCTCAACTCTTTCAATTTTTAATCGTATGCTATTATTTGTTTAGATGATATATGAAAATATTTCACTTGGAAATTAGAGTGGTTAATGGGTTTAGTGTAATGAGTGTTTAGAGTGTATAGGTACTGCGGAACTGCAGCACCCCTTATTCCCATTTGACATTATCGATAGCATTTAATATAATAAGTCGTTTTTCCTTTAATTCTTTCTTTATACTTATACAATATATAATCCTTAAGCTTGATGTCAGTAGCCATCCCCCAGTTTATGAAAAAGATACAAAAATCTTTGTATGGAACTGTGCGCTTGACAGTTTCAGCGGCGTGGTGTTTGACTGTGTGCGCATGCGCACATAGGAAGCTGCGCGCGAGGCTGCGCAAGAGAGAGAGAGCATTGTCGCTCCCGCAGTGCCGGTTTTTTAAAACAAAGACTAAAAATTTTCTGGAACAATACCCTCAATAATTTTAGCTACGAGCCGCTACTGGTCACGAGTGCTCACTCCCCTCACTGAAATGCAACTAATTATAATAAGTACAATAATATTCTTATCGCTCAAAACTATGAATGAAAACTACGTGTATTGGAATAAAGAAACCCTACAGACTTGCTACTTCTAGTAAATCTACGGTCTAGTTACGTCACTGATAAACGCAGCGCGCCAAATACAACGGCACTCCTAGTACAATAGAATCGGTACCATTCCGATTGATTCGCTATTCAGCACACGTGTCTGCGTTAGAAAAGAAAGAAAAAGCAAATGACAACAGTAGTAAACTTTCGTACAATGATATTTACATGTCGCGGTTTCGTTATGACACTAAACATGAGTGTACACGCTATTTTGATACACACGTGGTGACACATGTTACGACAACATTATCATCGAAATAATGATGTTAATATTGATGCGCGGTGATTAATTAATTATTGTACACCAATCACTTGAATTGGAGTAATTTACTAGACACGTGTGACGAGTCTCCAACGAGAATCCAATAACATTTACGATTTTTTTTTTAATCAGAATATACAAGTGATAAACAACATTATTCTTTTTTTTATTCATTTTAATTCACTTCCGGTGAATTGTAAACCGTATATTGTATTATCAATATTGAAAAAGAAATTGTTTACTTTTTGCTAACTTTCTGATGCAAAGAAGAAAATAGGAAAGAAATTGCAGACGTTAATAATCAATTCAATTATATAATTAAAAATTTGTTAGCCAGCAAAGATAAGGTCGATAAGGATGATAAAGTTTTATCATCGTTCAGCAAAACAGGGAGCTCTTTAGAAGAGTCGAAGATGCATCGATTCTTTCATGCAGAATCATCAATCATTACCGTGTTATTTAAACGAGATTCGATAACAAGTATTCGAAGGTCGCGTTTTAATTACGATGTACGTACTTTCCCCTTGTTTGTTACGTTTTTTCTATTTTTCATTCATCATCTTATCCATGATAAAATGGCGTTCGCGAACGTAACATATCAACGAGAAATATTTGCATTCCTTCCCCGTAAATTCTGTTTACACAAACACGCAACTATTGGACGTTAAAAAAAAAAAATGTAATAATTAGTAGTGTCTTAGTGAATGAATTATGTTCCAAACGACTGTTTGCCGGTTTGTCTCGAATGTTCGCACTTGTGATAATTATGGCTACGCGTGATAAGTGTTTCCGCTTCACTTTCGATTTCATTTACGTTCAACGCACTCTCAAAACAAGCATAATCAACATAATCGATGAATAATTTTCAATCTCCAATCCCTCTTCATTTAACAAGTCGTTAAACCCTCATTAATTTTAAATGATTTTTTATTTAAAAGAAAACATACACCTGACCCCACTGGTTCGTTAGATCATTGAACCTATAGCCTGTCAGTAATGATTCCCAGAATGATTAAACCTAATCTAATGAAACCAGTTTGACCGGAATTAAGACATTTCGTTGATATTTAAATGCTATTACAAAATAGAGCGTTATATGGAGATGAAAAAAAAAAAATGAAACTTGTAGATATTATAATATAATTACAGACTTGTGAAATTAATTGGCAAAGACTATGCAAAATTACTTATTAATCAATTTTTTGTAATTGAAAGAAGAAATCGTTTTAATACTACTATAATGAATTTACACGAATAATTGGTCAAATTATACTGCAATTTTCTTGCAAATATATTCCTGACCCTCTGTTTGTTCAGACAAGGCTAAAAAATGATTAGCAACAAATTACCATAGACGTAATTATTTCAATAGGGAAAAAGAGAAGATTACAAGGTTCTGACATAGTTAAACTGGTCCCAGGTTGTTTAACTTGTACATTCATTAATTTGCGATAAAAGCCATTGAAATATAAATCTCGCTAATGAACGTCCAATGAACCGATGTTAATCGACAGCCTGGCGTAATTAACCGACGATTTTACGTTAACGAAATCGATGATTTTCATTGTAAACAGGTTTTCTTTGACGGGGCTACTTTTCGAATAATATGGAATTTGAGTCAAGGTAAACAAGTGACGTCTGAATCACATGGGGATATCACAGGGCATGATTGACGCCCATCAGTGACGACCACGTTTGCATCATGACGTTTAAAATCATTTCCAAGAACGTTTTATAACCAGAATCTTCATCTTAGTAATTGTACATTTTGATAGTAATGTTGACCGTATTATGTATCGGTCAAAAGTGAACAAAATTTCCACATATGTTAATCAAAATAACTATGAAATATGAAAATACTTGAACGCAAGGCTCGGTGGGTGTATATTCTTTAAATGATTCATCATTCTGCAGATGAATCGGCCAACATCGATCTTGAACTAAATTTAAAAGAGATCATTTTTAGTGTAATCTTATACAAAATAGATTCCTTATCGTGAATTTAGGGTGTAAAAGGTATCCGAAGATTCGGGCGCCTGAGCCTCGCGTCGGATCGGTTAATTAACTCCCCCCTCCCCCATATATATACACCCCTTAGAGATATACTTTAATAATTAAAAACGGTGTCTATTAATCAAATTAAAATTGTATCACTGATCACCAGTGATCGATGTCTCAAATTCAGTAGTATATAAAAACATATAATCGTTCTTTAACTCGATCAGAAGTTATTAACATCTCTATTACATAATACTTGAAAAAATAATAATTACTAAGTGCATTCGACTTTGCATTAATTGATTTAATTACAGAGTAGAGACATTTAAAAAAAAGAGCAACACTGAATAAACAATAGTATACATTACAACATATGGTAAATTATCACTTGCAAATTAACGAAGTATCTATATAATCTTGCATCGGTCGTAATTAGTAGATCTTGTTATTAATATTCAATTTCAATCGTAATATGTGACTAAATGATTATGTCAACTCTTAAAAATAGTTGTCATTCTCGTTAACAAGAAGTACGATACATTACATGTGTAATAAAAGACATTAAAAAATTAATTATTAAAGATAATAACTGTTAATTTACAAATCTACAGTTTCAATTTATTGGCATGCATTATTAGTTTGATATTAAAGCTATTTTATGATCCTTAAGTATTAATTATTTAATGGAATTGAACGAGCCATTAAATTTAAAAATTAGCTATCTATATTTTTAATAACAAAGATTTCAATACATCTCATAACACGTGTTCAGGAGTTAAAAAAAGCTTGGAAAAGCCTAAATAAATATTTTTAACAAACATGTTAACTTCTAGAGATAATATAGCCTGGTGAGTCCATAAATTTACACATTTATCGTGTACACGTTAGCTGCGTTAGGGTCAATAAACCGAAAATGAATATCAATCCTACACATTATCATTCTCATTGAAAACTTTATTCTGCTGTAATATTTGTATCGCTTTTATAAATGTTATTGTGACAGAGAAATGAACCCAAGTAACTGATAACTTATTTTCAATGAGGAAAGAATGAAGAATTAAATGAATCATTAACGCACGATAGGTTTTCTTATTTTTAAGTATGGAAATAAGAATAATTAAAGCAGCAGCCTTCGTGCACCAAGCACCGTTTTGCAATAAATAATGTGAAAAAATTCACTGACGTAATTTTCTTACGTCTTTGAAATAATACATTGAAGACAAAAAAAAAATATAATAAAAAATAGAAAAAACGATTTTTCCTCCTTTTCGAATGAAATCGAAGATCAGTAAATTGAAATCAATTTAGAAAAAAGTATTAGATAGTAAACCTTATACTGTTGTTCTCTATTGCAGAATGCATAATACTATTTATGCTGGGTATTACCTGCAGTGCCTTGGGTTACATACTCTACATAATTAATCCAGTGAAGACAATATTGGAACACGTAAGTGACTGCATAAACGTTACATTATATTAATGAAAATATGATTATAAACATACCTGATTACCGATGACCGTGGTAATAGTATTGCACTGGTGCTGGTTCCATAACGTAAGTCGTCTACGAGGGGGATGAATTCTGAAAAAATAATAATACTATCAGTATATGTTCAAAAGTATTGGAAAAGTATTAAAATACCAGGATATCTTTGAAATTCTAATAATAAAATTAATTGCAACCTTGGGTATGAAATCGACCCTTTTGTACACGATTTACAACCCTCTATCATTAATAAATATAAAAAACAGAAAATGAAAATCCTATCATTTTGTAGAAATTGCAAATGGCACCAAATACGCTGCTTTTTGAATTATGGAAAAAGCCCCCCATCAACGTCTACCTCAAAGTATACATATTCAACATCACCAACGCGGAACAGTTCCTCAGGGGTGAGGAAAAATTAACCGTGGAAGAAGTCGGTCCCTACGTCTATCAGTAAGCGAGAGAATTTTCCTTATTACCAGATCACAACGTCCGGTGTTTTAACAACACGCTTCTGTTTTTAGAGAAATATTAGAGAATCAAAATGTCACGTGGCACGAAAATAATACAATTTCGTATAAGCCAAAAAGAACGATAGTGTACATTCCAGAAATGTCAAACGGTGACCCAGAAAAAGATATAGTGCACGTTCCAAATATACCAATGCTGGTAAGTGATAACTGAATACGAATCAATTTATAAATATTCATTCAACAATGTTACGACTTTTTCCTACTACTGGGAATTACAACGTTCTCAATTTAAAATATTGTAATTTATACTCCAGAGTTTAATTGATAAAAGCTTATGTATGTTAGGATACTCTGGACCCAATTAGTATCATTAAATTGTTTTCGCAGGGTATCTCGTCGACCCTACACGATGCTGCATTCTTTGTCAAATTCCCTTGGACTAGTTTGGTGAACATGCTAAATAGTAAATCGATCTTGAATATAACCGTGTACGATTATCTATGGGGTTACGAGGATCCTCTTGTCCGTTTGGCGAGTAACATCGTGCCAAGTTTCATCAACTTCGGGAGGTTTGGATTACTCGATAGGGTAAGTAATCGTCGCTAAATATTCGCTGATGAAAAGAAAAAGAAGTACGCGACGATAGTACAAGTAATTAAAGAGCTAAGAGTAATAAGCCACGGGGAAAAACAAGGTGAATTTGTGAGTCACCTTTAAAATATTCCTATCCATCATGCACCTTCAGTGCAGTGAAAATTCATTTAACAGTTTAATGGTAACACACTGAGCGTGATAAAAATCCCATAAGCTTTCGATCATTAAATTGACGCAAGTGGACCCGTTCCAACCGCTATACTCGTTCCAAACCAGATTATTTGTATGAAATAAAAAAAATATCAGGGTAGTTGACATAGCTAACTAACCTTGTCCACGCCTGAATCAAATACAGTATTTCAAGTTTTCTTGTTGCTAAACTTCTGCTCACATTCTTTTGGTACAGTTTGCTACATATACGAGAAGCAGTTCTCCGTGTATCCCGAACCTGCCGACAGTTTTCGCAATTATTTCTAGCCGTTGATCCTTTCACTATTTATGTATACGTTTCAGGGTTCACAGGGTTAGTGTCAACGACTTTTAAACAGAGAAAATTGAAGCGAAATAGTCGCATTAGCTGGTAGAGTTGTATGGCTACTTTAGTGTTTAACGAGTTGATTGCTACAGGGTCCACCGATGACAATATAATGGAGTAACTGAAAAAATTAAAGATTTTATGTTAATTACATAAGACAGCGAGGGGAGAATTTAAATTGAAAGAAGAGCCAACCCGTTAACTTGTAATAGAATTTCTTGTCCCAAATGACTATCACAGTTTGCTTACTATTAACATAGTACAGCATTTTACCTTGATATTATCATTTACAGATGTACGACGAAGGAGACAATACCGTGTTCATGAACATCGCGAAGAATGAGAATATGACCGACGAGGATGGACGTTATTTGAGCGTCGAAAGCTACAACGGTAGCCCCGGGATGCCGCAATGGGGTTACCATGAAGAAGAAGGAAACGAGACTTATCCGGGGTAAGTAAAAATCATTAAACATAGGAAAATTCGTAGGATTAACGAAAGAGTTTTCATTGAAAGAAAAATAAAAATGCTTAACACATGTTAACGCGTTATAAATTATTCAATATAAACATTTCACGCAGAATCTCTGTTACGTAAACAAGCATTATCGTTGCACAGTTACAATAAAGAGGATTATAACAATATTTCAAATTGTTCTCGTGACAGGAATACGATTTGTAACCGTGTCAAGGGAACAACCGAAGGAGAATTATTCCCAGCTAATTTAGACGAACACGCTACATTCAGAGTGTACAGGAAAGCTTTCTGCAGAGCTATACCGATTGTGTTTAAGGAAAAAGTATGGGTCGAAAATGGTCTCGAAGGATACTTGTACACCGTGGCAAGTGACTTCTTGGATCCGCCAGATTTAAATCCGGTTAACGAGTGCTACTGCCGGAACCGTAAATGTTTGAAGAGAGGATTGTCTGACATGACACCTTGTTATTACAGTGAGTACCTATTTCAATGAATCTTTGCTCTTAGATACGTTAACTTACATACAGATCGACGTTAATATTAGAGTTTCGTTTTTAAAAATTCACTCACCCTATGGTGCTTTCTCTCAAGTTATAATCTTTCGTACACCGAGTTCTTCGAGCTCGCAAAATAGAATGATGAAGCTTCCTCCTGCAAACGATAGATAGTCGTTAATATTAAATGTCAAAGTTTGAACTTTGGAAACAATGCAACCCAAGCCATCAGCCTGCTCTTTAGAACAAGCTAAAGTGAACTAGAGCGAGAATCGCTCTTTTTCGGCTATTCATTGAGATTTTTACCCACTAAATACAATGGCGTCCAAATTTTTTCAACGACTCTTACCGTTTGGTCTGTACAAAAATGACAGAAGATTTTCAATCTTAAATACGGGTTGGCTAATAACTTGAACACAAGAAATATACCATTTGAACGTACTTTATTTACAGGTATCCCAGCAGCAATGTCCATGCCACATTTCCTCGATGCTGACCCCAGTTTGTTAGATAACGTTATAGGACTTCATCCAGATCCAGAAATCCACAGCGCAAAGATCATTCTGCAACCGGTAAATGATTTTTTAGTAAAATTATTTCATAAGTGATTTTTTTTAATCAAGATATTAATCAGGGCCGGCCCTGGGCCTAGGCAGACTAGGCGGCCACCTAGGACCCCCCAAGATCCAGGGTCCCCATAAGACGATTTTGCGTCTAAAGGCAAATCTAAATTAGTTATACAAGCTTTAATATGAATTTTATAAATTTTATTTGAAGTACTATTTTTTGTCATATATGTGAAGAGGCCCTTTTCCAGAGCTCGCCTCGGACCCCCAAAATCTCCGGGCCGGCCCTGGTATTAATTAACTACTGATTTCTTTCATTCATTTATATCGATTCGCGAATTTATGTAAGTGTCGTTGAAAGTGTCGCACTTGAAGTATTTCTCAGGGGCACGTTCTCCCTAATGATAAACCGACCATGTTGCAAAACGCTTAGCAAGTATTCGAAAACCGGTTGACGTTAGACAGTTACCTAATCGTGTAAGGATAATACATAATGATCATTAAACTGCTGCTACGGTTGTTCAATATGGCCGTCGACCTCGTAAAGCATCTTAAACCGCAATGTAATTTCCCGAATCCTTCCTTCATTCACTTTTATCTTCTTTTTTTTGTAGGAGATCGGAATCCCGATAAAAGTTAACTCGAGAATACAGATCAACCTTGTTATGGCCCAAGCGGCCTACAGTTCCAGAATCTCGGCCTTCAACGGGTTAACGGTCCCATTATTCTGGAGCGATCTGGTAAATATTCTTTATTTTGAAATTTGTAATTAATTTTACTTTTTGCCAAATTTTTTAATCAATCGCAATGATATCGTGGATCCGTGTCACACTTGTTATTAATAATAATTAATGTATGTATTTGCAGTATATACCCTCGATACCGGACGACCTCCTCTTCCTCTTGAAAATGGTGCTTTACGTACTTCCGATAGTCCAGACGGTGATAATTTGGTTGCTGGCCATCGGGGGAGCGACGATGATCATATTATCAGTACCAGCCATGTTGTGGACCATCAATCAGCAACAAGTACCTCTTCAGGTAGAACGAAGGGATAGCTGCGATTTAAGGATACCGTTGAATTATGGTCAATACACAACGATGCGTATCTTGCCGGCTATTAAAAAGATCACGTCAAAAACGGACTTGTTTAGTTAACCAAACACACCTCTAAAGTATTTACGAAGCATGAAACGAAAGACACTTGGATTAATAAAAGAACGATTTTCTTATTTAAATAATTAATGTATTCGTTGCTCTTTTTTCTCGTTAGAAAAAAAAATGTAGCGGATACGGTTGCGTACTTAAACCGACTTGTAAAGTATTCTGCGTTGCAGTACACATTCCGGGTTTCAAGCTAAAAATATTTATCAATCGATATTATTCTCTGTCAAAACGTTATTACGATGTACTTTCACTTTTATTCTCCCTTACTCCGATTAATTTCTTTAGAATATCGTTCTTTTAATTTTTATTCTGTTTCGTTTCGTTGCTTCTTAATGTAATACTACAATTTAATATCTAATTGATATAAATTTTTTTACGAATTTATTCTATGCTCCATCGATCGTATCTGCCGAGTGATGGCACTGGAGCAGCTCAAAGTATTTTATCGAAGTGAATTATCATTAAAATAAGTTTGAATAAAAACGTTATGAACGGTTTATTATATAAATTTAATGAAATGCGTACTAAGTAAAGTTGTAATACAATAATTATGATATTAATTATAATAACCACTGATACCAGCCTATCGAAAATCAATGATGAATGAATATTGTCGTCTAATGTATGTACACGAATAAATGTGTATAACGTACAAATTCGAATCAATTTTTTCGGATATTATAATTTAATCTAAAAAATACTTTACTTACGTGTATTATTGTTCAAAACGTGAAAAATGGAAGCCAAAAATTTGAAAATAATGATTGCTTAGGTATTTCGATTTTGGTAGCCGATATTTTCGTCGAAATATCACTTATTACGTTGCTGAACTTTTGCTTAGCACCGGACGCTTTGATTTCCAGCACCGGAAGTACTCGGTGAGACAAAATTCGTACAGGTTTTTGTACATCATTGTTGTACTAGTTAGAATATTTAGTAAATATAAATAAATAATTTAAGTATTTTAGTTAATAAATTTACCAATTGATATTGGTAATGAAGATACAAGGTTATGTTTCGATTTTGTATAACGAAGTACTTTTTAAATATCGTAACCGCAAAAATTTATTTATTTTTTTTTTAATTTGAATTTTAAAAATTATTTATGTCGAAAACTCACGTTTAACATGTTTTTAAAAATGTAATATTTCACATTATATGATACTGTTAAAGTATTTTGTTTGTATAATGTATTATGATTCAATTTGTACAATTTTCTCAAAGAAGCAATCGTGTTTGCGAATACTAATACTGAGCATGTTAAACTTAAAATACTTTTCATATTAAGGAAATTTTTTTAGTTAGAAAAAAAAATATAATGATGCATAATATTTAAGCCGTTTTTAAAGATCGTAATTTATATTTCATAATTTCTTCATTCTTCGTTGCATTTGTGTCCCATTAATTTTCATTAAAAAGATACGTTTTCAATGTAACGAAAACGTAACTTTGCGTTGTTAGTCTATCATTCTCTTTATTATTAGAAAATTTTTGCTCATACTACATTTATTAAAGTATAAAAATATAGCGTTAAGGCTACAAGTGTATAAAGATCGGAAAATATACTTGCCTATAATTTTGAATTTTATAATAAAAATCAAAAACATCAATTTATGTTATTATTTTTTGTAGATCAATAAGTTTTATCATGATAGATTATTATTATTTTAATATGGGATGTCTATATTAGCAAAAAAAAAATAGAAAAATATTATTACACAAAAATATAAAAAATAAAAAAAATATATAAGTAAATTAAATATACTTCAACTGAAATAAACACTCATTAGTTATGAAATATTACCTATCCTACTATGCATTATATATAAGGGGTGACTTAAACGTTTGTTATATAATAATTACATTATATACTTTAAAAATATTTGTATTATACATAAAAATATATGTAATTTCAATAATAATAAACAACAGCTGTATACAACATAAAAATATGGATGCAACAAAATAAAACCACTTGTATAAAATACAAATTGTATGAAATAAACATTCCAACCAAGTATCTACAGCTTATAATTACAAAATTACTACAAAACTACTGCACGCCATGCAATGTAATTATATCAAAAAGATTCCTTAGGAATTATAATAATATATTGCATACAAGTATTTATACAATTACAAATGTGTGTAACTACATAAATAATAATATCACAAGTAATTCTAGCACGTATTAAAATTTCGTCAGTATACTTATTACAAGATACAGTACTTTCATGCAAAAATAAAGATAACAAAAAATCATAATTCGGTGAATTTTTTGAACACACGACTCATTTCGGGCCTGTTTTGTACTATATTAGTACACCACTTTCCCAGAAGCATTAAATTAGTATAAACCTGTTTGTCTTTCTCACCTGCCTTCTTGTCCATTAACAAAGGAAGGTCTGCATTTTTCCAACTGTTAATAAAATCTTTCAAAAATTTGTTCTCCAACCTAGACTCATCATAAGCTGACAAACCAGTAGCTAATTCAAATAAAACTATACCATAACTGTAGGTATCTACCTTTGTAGACAATTTTCGTTCATGTAGAAATTCTTCTGGAAGGTAAGGCCTAGTACCATGAATTTTGCTTACCTAAAATGAATAAGAATTGTTTTACTAAATTTACTTCACTACAATATATTTTTTAATACAAAATACTTACTTTCATAGAATCTTCCTCAGGACCTTCTCTTGCTAACCCAAAGTCTCCTATCTTAGGTTCAAAGCTTTTATCAAGTAGAATATTGGCACTTTTTATATCTCCGTGTATCAAAGGTTTTTTCCCAATTGTATGTAAATACTGTAAGCCACGTGCAGTTCCTTTAGCTATTTGATGACGTTGTATCCAAGTTAATGGTTGTGTTTTTTGTTTTACTAGTAACCTATCTTCTAGAGATCCATTTTTCATGAGCTGATACACAAGACAAGGTGATTTTCCATCCAAACTATATGCATACAATGGCAAAATATTTTCATGTGGACAAGAATTTAAAATCTTTATTTCTCTCAGTGACTGTTGGAGCTGGACAGCATAACTTTCATCTGAGTCAGTTCCTCTTTTTTCCAGTTTTTTAATAGCTACATCTGTATTTTTCCAAATAGCTGTATAATAAAAAGAATACGATGAAAAATGTTCATTAAAATTGGGTTAACAACTTTTGAACAATTTAATATTACCTTTATATACTGTTCCAAACCCACCCCTTCCTAATACATTACATCTATTCCATTCATCTGTAATTATTGTTAATTCTTGATAAGTAGCCTGAGGTAGAGTTGTTTCTGCTTGAAAAACTGCTGCTTCATTATTTTTTTTTTCATTAGATGGAGCACATCTCAAAAAAGGTGATAAAAGTTGTACTGCAGGCAGAGATGCGACAAGTACATTATTAGAATTACTTGGAGTATCTCTTATATGTATAGCTTGCATTGGTTGATTCAGTATCTTATATGATTCTTCCTTTGTGTTTTTCTCAATAATAATTTTGGGCACATTTGGTTCTGCTGGTGCAATTTGATTAAAATTTTGTATACCTATCTTCAAGTCTTTTGTGTTTTTATTTAGACGTTTTTCAAGTACCCTATGAAGATTGCCTTCTCCGTTATAAATTAATTTATGAAATTTTGCATCAACAAATGATTTCAGCGGTATCATAGATTGATAGTGTTGCATTCTAGATAATAAAACAAACAATTCTGATATAGTATGATTATGATGACCCCACATTGTTAACAATTCATCTGTAGGATTCTTTTCTTTTCGCAAACTTTGTATTGTCAATACATCATATTCCATCCATATCCCTGAAAAACATTATTAATAATGAATAAAAAATGTATTTCTCAGTCAGATCATTAATAAACAAATGATACACAAACTTAGCTTATGTTTTGACAACTTACCAGCAAGTTCCTCCCACTTGTCATTTTGATTAAGTATTTTACAAAGCTCCAAACGTTCAAAAAATGGTAATTGATAAACATATTTAATTTTATCAGTACAGTTTGATGACATAGTGGACAACAAATTATAAATTTTTTTATAAAAAACTGAGGAAAACTGTTGCACGTGATTCATGCATCAAATTTTTTGTTGAATAATAGCTCCATCTACTGATATTATGGATTTCTAAACGAAAGATCTGAAGAATTTATCGATACCATCAGCAGAAATACATGAAAATTCGAAAATTATTTACCATTCTAAAACATAGTTAATTAGTACATATTTAGACATGTATTATAAAAATATTGTGAGCATATATTTCTTCTATTTGTATTAAAAATTTTATCTTGAATACTGACAAGTATGGTATGTATGTACAATCAAGAGTGTAGTTGTGCCCTCTAAAGGTAACATTCTGAACTTAAATAACCATACTGGACATCAAGCATTTCAGGAGTAGCGTATTCGCCATTTTGAATTGGAGTCGCACGCAAAACGTTGTGTATGTGTACAAAAGCGACTCTGCACCTTTAAAAAGAAAATATAACATATTAGTTTCAACATACCCAGAAGCAATAAACGATGGCAGAATATCTGGCATCAATTTTTGGTACAGAAAAAGACAAGTAATATCAAATTTCAAATTAATAATTATTTAAACTCTTCGAGCTAAGCGCAAGCGATATAACATTTCTTTATTTATTACAGAGTAAATTGTTCGTTTTATTTTAAAATCGGTGCCTGCCGACACGGAGATCGATGTTCACGAATTCATAACAAACCAACATTCAGTCAGGTAAAAAATATTTACGTTATTAGATTTACTAAGAAAGTTGTTATTAATCCATGTACCTACTCTATATAGTACTCTGTTCTGTGTTCAGTTTTAGTTTTTTAATAAATATTGTAATTGCATAACAATTATAGCTTATATTATTGTCTACTCTGTTATTTGACAAGGTAAACAAAGTGAAATCTATTTCAGACATGCTTATTGCAAAACCTTTATGTAAATCCTCAAAATTCAGCAAAGAGTGCAGATGGATCCCATTGTAAGTAATACATCTCTTTAAATTATATTTAATTAATGAATTAACTACAATCATTGTATAAATATTTTGATAGTGGTTGCAAATGTATCCGACGAGGAGATGCAAGAACATTATGACAATTTTTTTGAGGATGTCTTTGTCGAATGTGAGGATAAATATGGCGAAATAGAAGAAATGAATGTGTGCGATAATCTTGGAGACCACTTAGTTGGAAATGTTTACATCAAGTTTCGAAGGGAAGAGGATGCAGAAAGAGCTGTGAATGATTTAAATAATAGATGGTTCGGTGGTAGACCAGTTTATGCTGAACTTTCTCCAGTTACTGACTTCAGAGAAGCCTGCTGTCGCCAATATGAAATGGGGTATATATTAAAATTACATTTTTTCACATGTGATAACAATATATATAGTCTATAATTTGTAAATACTTATTTTGGTATCTCTATAAAATCGATTTTTTTATATAAAAAATACACTCTATATATCACAAGTTTAATTTTTCAAATAATTAAAATACTAAATAAAGAACTTAATATTCTTCTAGAGAATGTACACGCTCAGGATTCTGTAATTTCATGCACTTGAAGCCAATTTCACGAGAACTACGACGTTATTTGTACAGCCGAAAGAAAGGAGGTAAAGGTCGGTCGAGATCACGTTCACGATCTCGTGGTCGTGATCGCAAACGAAGATCGCGATCTCGCGATAGGAGATCCAGATCTAAAGATCGTCGAAAAGGTAGGGACGATAAGGGTAGGGATGGACGATCTGGAAGGTATTAACTGTATTATTTTTCAATTGTAATAATCCTTCATAATAAAATAGTTTAAATTGATTCCTTATTTCTTTGACTGTTCTGTTAAAGATAACGTGTTTACTCGTATTTTTACTTTCATTCATTAACTATTAGCCAAATATGTATCTTATATTTAAAGACATGAAATTCTTTCAAGCAATGACAACTTTATCTTTCTTAAAAAAGAATTTACTACACACATAATTGTTTTTCATATGCGACGATTAAAGGGTAACTGTAACACGAAATTATGTGGTGTGTAATTATAGTGAAATTAAAAATAGTAAGGACCATCTCTTTCTTGTTATAATTTAATATGATAAAAATAAATTGTCATTTAGATTTGTATAAATTGCTTTATATGTCAAATGTCAAATGAACTCCCGTCATTTTTAATGGATCAATGAATCTTTATATGTATATGTATAAAATTATCACAATATAAAAAAAAATTTTGCATGTGTAATAATAAGAATAAAAAAAAAGATAAAAAATAATGTTTTCTTCTTTTTTAAACACAATGACATAAAAACCTTGATAATCACATCAGTAATATTCGAACACAAGAAAATTACTTTTGTGTATTTCAAACTATATTTAAAGTTACTTCCAGCAGGAAGCAATAATTACAATGTACAAGAGATTGTGTTAAATGTTTACGATATAAACGTTGATAAAAATGATATATTTGTAAACTAATATCAAATCAAATGCTTAGAAAGACTTCTGTTTTATCATCTATCTCGAATAGGCCAAATTATTAAATATGCTTTGTACATACGAAATTTACATAAATTTTGTAATATTTTATTAAAAAACGAACTGATCAATTTGAAATCTTGACAGATTATACCTTATGTGTAAAAAATATAACAAATTGTTATAATGTACAAAACAAGTAAAAGTTAAAACTAATTTAATAAAACAAAAATTTTAAATCATAGTCTCATATATAAGAATAGTTCATATGTTTTAACTATTTTGAAAGCATGGATTGTTGAGAAACATTTGAAGATATTCGTTCATTTTTTAGTAAATGAATACAGCTACAAAAAAGGAGATGTATTTAACTGTAAATAGATTTTTATGAAAGAATATACTTTACAGAACTTAAATAAATTATCCAAATTTTGTTTATAAATAATATCAGAATTACTATGTAGACTGAATTATAGATATATGTGTTAATGTTATAGCTGCATGTATAAAATTGTGATATGCGATTATTAATGAATAACGATGTAATGAGATGCACGCAATCGCCATTTAATACAGTCGATATTATAAATCTATTTATAAACTATTGCTTCCTACTTCAAAATGACACGAACTTTTTAGAAACTTCGTTAACGTCATTGTATCGATGCATGTGTATACATCACAATCTATTCGTGAATATCACGGATAAAATATATTATGTCAATGTAAGTCTTTCGAATTAATCGGTTTTCTTTTTTCAAATGCCGACAATATTAAACACACATTCATTTGATCTTACAATGCTTTCACTGTCTATTCTCATAGACAATACTTAAAAACATCTTAATAATTTTACAGGAATAAATGTATCATATTTTGCAAACATTAAAGTATAATACACAATAGACGCAGGTTTTTCTTTCACCAATGACTATTAACAATTACCATTATGTAGTGTAAAAAGTATATTAAAATGGTACGATTGAGTCCGACGGAAAAGACGTATTTTGTAGTTTATTCTCATCAGAATTTCTCCAAAATATACTGTATACAATATTTTACTTTACGTATAAATATATACAGTTATAAGAGCGCACTAGGTATCGTTTAGTTACTCAGACACAAGATTGAGCAGTGCGCAACATTCTACTTCATGTGTTTTCGAAGATATAATACTACCTTCTTTCGTGTAGTTTTACTTTATTTTTGTCGTAGTATAGTGCTTGTGATATCCATTTACTTTGCGTCTAAGCACAGAGGTATAAATTGATTAATTTCTTCTCTTAAGATAACTAACAGCTTTAGTAATGTCCTGCCCGCATCACTTGTATCGTGAAAATATTTACACTGTTTAGGTTACTAATTAATGATTACGATACTCCAGAATAAGTTTAATAGGATATGAGATCATTGTTTAGGGGGGCTAATCAGCATAAACAATAAACTGTTGATTATCCACATCTGCAACTTCAACTTGAACAAACTGAGGTTGTTGAAGTTGAATTTGTTGTACTTGTCTTCCAATCGCATTACGTGACCTGTGAATCGGAAAATTCATTTCATTCTTTAAAAGTTTATTTATTTTACATTATTTATTATAAATTCGTACTATATTCAATTAAGATTACTGAAGTATTATTGATATACTTACTTAGCTTTTGCGTGTGTTAATATATGTGATTTTAAATTCGTTGATTGTGCAAATTTTTTGCTGCATCCATCAAATGGGCAAACATAAGGTCTGTCTCCAGTATGAATTCTAACATGAGTACGAAGGTTGAAGTCAAGACTAAACCTTTTGCCACATCCCTCAAATGTACATTGGAAAGGTTTTTCTCCAGTATGAACCAACTGGTGCCTCTTTAATTTTGAACTTTCAACAAAAGCTTTTCCACACTCTGCGCATACATGCACTCTTGGTCCATGAGTGTGTAAATGTTTACGCATTGCACTGTTATCTCTAAACATTTTTGTGCATCCTTTATGCGGGCACGCTATAGTGCGTTCGACGCCGTCTAAAACAGGAGGCTTGCGTACTTTCAATTTGTGACCAGGTCTAGCAAATTCTGCCAACTGTTTTGGGTCCGAAAGGTCAAGACCCGGCATTCCATCAGAAATGGAGCTTCCAGAATGATTGAATTTGGCATTGGATTTACCAGTCATATATTCTGTGTAGTCTGGATCAGGCTCTGGATTTGAGCCTTCATCTGGAACATCCACCAGGTGAGGAGCTAATAGGACACTCCCTTTAACAATAACAAACAAGCAGTCCCAAACAAAAGCTACTGTATTTGTTTTTTCCTATGTAAATTATGTACTTTTTTTAAATCATTAAATGATAATACAAATTCTTACCATGTATTCAATTTATTTTTTTCAATTTATATGCAAAATCAAACTTACATCTTTCTTTAATTATTAATAATTAATTTATAATTTATGTCTTTCATATGAAAACCTAACTTTCTTTTTTAAAGGTACAATATACATAACATTAATGTAAGATGTACTTAGCAAGTACAAACTCTACATTAATATCATCTACGTGTCAAATGTAAAAATAAGTTTTTATCTGAAAATTTCCATAAATTTTAGTTTTAGATAAATTTAATAAGCTTGATAATTTACATAATACTACAATGAATTAAAATGTAATAATAAATGCAATTTATAACTTGTATTGCAAATTTTTCTTTATTTTTATATATTAATATTATCATTTAAATGTTATATGTATATATATATTTTTATTCAAGCAAAGATTAAAATTATTTTAATTTTTAAAACAATTTTAATCGCGAGCTTTTTGAAATGTAACATGAATATATATCAAATAACGTAAGTCAAAACATCTTTCATATTTGAAAAATAAATCTAATTTTTTTATATAATGATCTTTCTAAAACAATCATTTATGAATTTCCTTTAATAGAAGTATACAGAGTCTAATACAATTGAGAAAGAAAGTGAAAATCAAATAAAATAATTCACTAAGAGCAACAAAGATAACATGAGTACAGAGCTTTGTTCATTCTCCGCCATTATCATTCAAGAGGACAGATCCAAGTAAAAGAAGCCATTTTCAAAATATGGCTGCCCCCTGGCAGCATAATGGCGTTCCCTCGATCAAAACAAACAACGCAAACTGTCAAAGAATTCATCGATAATAAAGAACCGGAGCATTTTGATAATTTTTTTGGTAAACCTGTATGAAAAGCATAGTATTGATTCGAGACCACCGGAAGTACGTACGAACCGTGTGCGTGGAGATATCCGTTGCAACAGTTTCTAATGAACTAATTCAGTGTATTTTATTCAAGTTATCAGAAGGTTAGATATAAATGAAACACTTACCATCATCGGTACCCGATGCCCACATCGTCACCGAGAATTCACCTTCAAGCGTCTTGATTTGCACTTGCTTCTGCTCCCACTTTCTAGCCTTCGTTTCCGAGCCCATCTCCCCAAAAATCGTATGATCGGACGTTCTGAACTTCGACGAACCACCTTTTCTAGCCTTTTTAGGACCCTTCCTTGATGGGCCAGGACTGGACTCGACATAAATATCGTTCTCTGGAACCGGGATCTGATCATATACGCTTAGCGGATCACTGCCGACGATTTCCTCTTGCGTCTGTAGTATGATTTCTTCACGTCCTGGTTCTGGAAGTGTTTGAAGGGCTATCATCGGTTGCCCATCTTCTCCCTCGATGGTAGTTTCCACAGTCTCACAGGGTATTTCTACCGGTATCGTTTCTATTTCAACCTCTTGGATATCTGGTTGAATCTCTACTTCAGTTATTATGTCCGAGGACGCCATATTAATCTCCGAAGACGCCATGTTACTAATCAAAATGGCTGGCCACGGTTAGTCGCGCGACAAGCGGGGCAACGAGTTAACTGATCACGTGACGTACCCCCACCACTATCATCAGTAAAGTGGTAGTCATTCAAAACTCTCTTGTATCCTTTTTTTTCAAAGATTCTTCAGTAAAAACTTTCACTTTCATTTCTTGAGTAAATATAAATTTTGTTTATAATTTATCGGGATATAATATTAATTATGTTTTATAATAAATTATGTTTATATTTCCTAAACCTTTCATATACTCAATACATTTTTTTATGAGAACCATTGAATTTCTTCCTTTCTCTTTTTTCGTTGTCGTTGCTCCATCTGCTGGAAAAATGTAGTAATATTGTCACTTGATAGCCTTAAATTTTGATTTGAACTGTTATAAATATATTTTTTTGCGTAATTAACTCATTTATTTTTCACTTATGTCGATACTATTACTAGTCTTAAGATATATTCAGATATAAAGCAATATATAAAATAACATTACAGTACATATTTATTTGAATAATAATAATAAAGATATAGGTTATAAACTTTTGTTATTTTTACAATGGACTTGTCAAAAATTCCAAATGACAGGAAATTATACCTTTGCAAATGGTATTTTCGAGGTAAGTAATTTATATTTATTAGAATATTTTGCTTATTAATAAAAATGTTTATACCTTCGTTTTGCTGTGCAGCTGGATTTGCTCTTCTACCATTTCTATGGGCTGTAAACGCTATTTGGTTTGTTAAAGAAGCTTTTCTCGTTCAGCAATATGAAGAACAAAAACAGATAAAAAAATGTAAGTATTTAATTTATTATATTTCACCTTTGAGTTCATAGATTTGCTTGTTATGTAATTTGTTAATAATACATTTTCAGACGTAATATTTTCTGCAGTTGGAGCAACTATATGGTCAGCTGCTCTTATAGCATGGATTATTATATTTCAAACGCAAAGAGCAGCATGGGGTGAGGTAGCTGATTCTATCAGTTACATAATTCCAGCAGGCATTCCTTAATGTTGTGATACAATTATCTTTAGTTAATTCATAATAAATAATTATTATGTGTTTTTAATGAAGAATTACATGTAAGACTGTTTTTTTCTTACTTGGTATCTGTTTAAATAATGATTTTCAGAATTATAAAAAATATTTATTTAAATGCATTGAAATTGAATATTTCTAAAACTTAATCATATATAAATTTTAGATACAGTTACAAAGTACCATTTCATACATTTTATAACATTTATGAAAAAGCTAAGGTTACAAATACATATATTAATATCATTTGTTTATTTTCATAGTTATCCATTATTCTTTACTTGGTGTAAAAGAATAAAGTTAAACAGCTCTTCGTCGTCGTCTGTACATTTGAATATCCTTGTAAACTAATCTCGATAGTAGCTGAAACAGTAAAAGTATGATTTAAGATTGAAAATATTTATTACCAATCAAAAGTTTTGTATAAAATAAACTTACCAATAATGCCACCATATCTGCGATCATAAGCATATAAAACACATTATGCCAGCCAGCCCAACGTGATACCAAACCTGCCAGCAGTGGACCAACAGCAGCACCAATACTGCCTGTTCCATCAATGATAGCAGTAACTGTAGCTAAAGCTTTTGAATTATCCCCTAAACTAGGGTGAGTTCCTAGTTCAGCAGATACAGCAGTTGTTATTAAGGCATATGGTCCATTTACTAATACTCCTGCTATTAGTAGTAATACTATGTTGGTGCCCAAACTTGTGCTTCCAATGTAGTCATATATAAACAACTGTATAATGAATCAAAAGATTACGGCCTATAGAAGTAAAGAATTACTGATCTAATAATATTTATGTGAATAATTCTTTAGCGTTGTAATTTACGAATTAAATAATTATGAATCGTTTATAAACTAACTTTAAAAAATTTTCAATATTTACTGTACAAATACATACCATGGGAACAGCAAATCCAAGCATAACAGCACATGTTAAAGCACTCATACCGCTATAATCGGATAAAACACCAGCTGCTATCGCACCCGCAATACCACCCACATCAAATAAAGTAGAGACATCTGCACTTAATGTTGTACTATAAGTAGCTAAGAAAATTAACATGTTTAATTATTAATATGACATATGGAACATGTAATTACAATCCAATAAATACTAACTTGAAGCTGCAATATATAATGGCAACCAATACAGGAATGTGTAGCTTACAAGTTTTGCAAAAAATAAAGAGAGAGAATATTCTATAACTCCAGGTATAGACATAGCTCCTATAAATCCGATTGCATTTCCTCTATGAGATTCTTGTACATGTCTGTGTCTTGATAGTATTGGACTAGTTTCAGATCGCAAACTTGCTATATCCTTTTAAAAGACATACAACAAATAAAAAAAAATATTACAATAAAAAAACTGTAAAAAATATTACATAAATGATATAAATATTAAAACAATGCAATTCATGTTAATGCAGTTAAATAGAGTATCAGTTGTGTAAAAAACAAAGCATGCACTTACATCAATATTAACTTGTTCGTGGTAGACACAGCGATAGATGAGACGCTAAGTACAGCAAATGAATTAACTTTAGTGAGCATATAATATATATACACAAGAAAGTGGATAATAAATAATTAAAAATAGCATACTAAAGAATTACTTAATAGTTCGAAATTAAAGAGTTAATAACTACTTAAGAATAAAAATTTATTACAACTATTAAAACAAGGAAAGAAATTTTATGCGTGAAATGTTATAAACAAATTTTCGTGCTTACATTCCAATACTAAATAACAAAAAATGATGTATTATTGCTATTAATATATAACATGCTAGTAATAATACAAAACCTTATCAATATCGTTATACAACTCACATCTTCAACATCATTATATAATTGTTCACAGTCATCTGAACCACTGCCTTCATCCGAACTGTGGGTTACATCGAATTTTCTATATCTAGGAGAAATAGGTGGAATACACCCGATGTCTATAGGATTGGGTATTAAAAATAGAAATATTATAAATCCTGCTATGCCCATTACTGCTCCAGGTACCATGAAACTTAAACCCCAATCAGATTCCACAAATTCAGCAGCTATTAAACTACCCAAAATATTCCCCAACGAGGTGTGAGAATTCCATATGCCAAAGATCAAACCTCTTTTTCTTTTTCCAAACCAATTTCCTACAACTGTAACTACACCAGGCCAACCTGATGTTTGGAAAACACCACCAATTGCCTAAATAAAATAATAACAATAATAGTAATATTGGAACTTATCTGAATAAATAATCAATTATTTTTTTTTATATTTACCTGTACCAGAACAAAATACCACAAGCTATGGATATTATATGGTCTAGCAATACCAAACAAATAACAAGATATACCTGATGCAAGCATACCAAATGATAGAAAATAACGTAAATTTACTCTTTCAGCTATGAAACCACTGGATAAATAAATATAAAATTATTATCAAAATAATATTTATCATCTATATATCACAATTAAGCTCACTTCAAAGTGTCACCTGAGGAACATGGCTGCTGCATATGTAAACAGGAATGCTGAGTCTAACATGCCAAGCAATGCTGGAGCATCTGCAGTATCTAGAAATATAATATTTTACTTGAATATGATTCACATGCATATAAATTGAATGTTGATTAAAGATTTTAGACGATAAAATTATATGTACCAAATGGAGCCCAATCACACCATGTATCTCGATTAGTACTATTAATCAAAAAATCTGGAGGTGGTGATAAAGTACTACAATTGAGACTTAATACATTTTTCACAACTGATATTGGTTTTCGTGTCAGATGGTAGCAAGTATAGGCCAAATATGTAAGAGCTAAGATACCACCCTGATGCCAGGTCATTTTGTTCACACGGCGATAAGGACAGCATTTTGAGACTGTATGTTCTAAGGCTTGAAAGCCCCATGGTTGATCCCTTAATGAACCACTCATACTTGCTAAATGATGCTTTCTTGATTTTGTTGACTAACTTATTATTATAAGTGTTACAATATTTTGACTTTTAATATAGTAACTGTCACTTGGTTGTACCTTTTCAGTTTAATTTGTACCTTTTTATCACCAATTATTTATAGCAAATATTTTTATCTTCTTGTATTAATACTTTTAAAAGAAAATTAAAAATAATACTGTGCACTTTTTATAAAGATTTCTTAAATTGATAGTTAAGCACTTAAATTCTCATTTACATATGATTTCATCTATCCATTACAGTATACAATTATTTTAATAAATATAGCATTGATAAAACAAAGTACTCACAATACTATTATTAGATTCACTTCTAATTTTATCTTATCATAAAGATTGTGAGAAATAGTAGTATAATATCAATATGTATTGTACATTTTCTTTGATTTCCTCAATGTCATATTCATACATAATTATTGTACTTATCTTTTCTCACTGATATTTTTATTACGTCCAAGATTTTAATTTATCAACAGAAAAGCAATATTCATATGGGAACCATAACTAAAAGCCACATTAGATAAAAGAACAGCTATGATTCATAACCTAGAACAAAAAAAAAACAAAGCTGTAACAAAGCAATCTATAAATATGTAATCAGAATATCGTTTGAATTGCATATTTTATAAAATCATATTACATTTTCACCAATTTTAAGAAACTATAAAATTATAACACTATGAATCACATGGAATGTTTACTATCGTAAACGGGGGATAGTTAAGTATGTACACGTGTAAAGAGACACTGAACATGCACGTCAAGCATGATATGTCAGTGTCATATGGTTTCGTTTGGATATGTGTGGCTAATGTATGATTTTGATTGCATACAGTAACTACAGATACAAAAAAAACTGCATATGCCTTTGTTCTCGAGAAATCATGATTTTCAGAACGTCATACACCCCCAGGTGAGGTTAGGTCTGCATTTACAGAGCACAGTGATGTGACAATCGTGCCTGTTTTACTAATCTCTCTTCTATTACACCTTGTAGTCATAACTAAAAACACACAATATTGACTCCTTCTAATTCTGTTGTGTTTAGAAACCAGTTAAATTCAGCATAAGACCATAAAATGAATAAAATAATTGTTTGATAAACTTGTATTTTAAAAAGACCGCCAAAAATTAAAATTTTTTTAATTCGATCCTGGCGCCATCTCTTTCAAAACGGCGCAAATTACTCAACAACTTATCGACTGAGATTCCAAGGGAACACTATCGCCACCTTCCAGAGTGTCGTGGAAACTATTCGGCAAGTAGTTTCCACCGATTTCGGATAGATGGCACTAGTGTTCCCTGGTTCTGCCGGTAAGTTGTTGAGTAGTTTGCGCCGTTTTTGAAGAGATGGCGCTAGGACCGAATTTTAAAGATTTTAATTTTTGGCGGTCTTTTTAAAATACTAGTTTATCAAACAATTATTTAATTCACTTTATGGTTTTATGCTGAATTTAACTGATTTCTAAACACAATAGAATCAAAGGGAGTCAATATTGTGTCTTTACAGTTCTTATTTAATTGTGTATCGATGATATATCGAAGCAGCTGGTGGTCTGGTGTCACCGTCAACTTGTGTAACACTGTTGTGTTATCTATTTGCTTGGGTTGAAATACATAAGTTTTTTTATCACAGATAATACATGTTTCCAATTTGGTATTTCAAAATTTGTATAATAAATATTGGTTAATTAATATGGTGGTTCCTGATGATTATGAGGCTATTATTCAATGGCATCCAGAAATGATATTAGTTTCCAAAACTCCAGTTACATGGCAAGGATTTATAACAGCTTCTTGTAATTTTAATGCAGGAATAAATATTCGAATCAAATTAAAGTTGACTGTACCAAATTATCCCTCATTGATTGATGCGGAAATTAATTTTGGTAAAGAAATAACATTCATACGCAACGAAGAATTTAATCGGAGGGTTAAAAATTTAACAAATCATGCAACTAAAGTATCAATATTCTTGAGACAATTACAGTCATTAATAGTGAGTATCAATATTTATTTTCTATCTCATGTTGCTTCATATAATGATAATAATAATATATTTAAACAGGGTAAATTTATCAATACAGCTCGCATCATTGAAAATAACGAATATGAAACAACAAATAATAAAGTAAAAGAAATGTTACAAGAATTACAGAATGTACTTGAAACTCCATCTGTAGGTATAAAGTTTATTATATTTAAAAGTAATTACAATATAAGATAGGTGTTGGAAATTATATTGTTAAAGGAAGTTCAATTATCATCTGACAATACACTAAATACTATTAAACTATCTTTGGGAAAGGTAGCTATAAAATTACAAAAGGTAAAGTATGGAATGCATCCATGGTCTGTTGTTTATTCAGATTTACCTGAAATACCTGCACTTGGACCATTTGAAAAGAATGTATCAACATTAATTGTAGCAAGAAATAAATTTAGATTACAAGTAGAAATACTTGAGAAAGCATGGTCTAATTTGAAGCAAATTGATGAGTAAGCATATGAATCTATTTATGGTAAATACTTTTTTCTACATTTTTAGTCTAACCCATATGAGATTTTTGAATAATTAGGAATTGTTGGGTAATGGATCCATTACAACCAAAGCCATGCCATCTTTATAGACGAATTTATCTAACACCGTCTTTATCCATGTTCATTAAAATAGATCCTTTGAATCCTATGGATTTACCAGAAATTAAATTTATGGGTAGTGAAACAGAAGTTGAATCTAAAAGGGAACTTATTTCTAAGAATTTACAGGCATGTATTTATCATTATTTTATATCAAACTCTGCTTTACAACGTAATAATTGTAAATATTATAACACTTTTGTAGAATTGGAATTTACAATATAACTTTATAGATAATTTAATGATGATATTGAATTTAAATACATTTCCCAAAAAAGAAAAAAAAGAGACAGTACAAGATGAGAATACTATTGTTACTGATGAAGAATGTTGTATTTGTTTCTCTCTAGAAATAGACTGTAATAACTTACCTGATAAAATTTGTAGTAATGAGAAATGTAGAAGGCGTTTTCATACATCTTGTCTATTACAGGTATGTTTGAATAAATATAAAATAATTTTTAAATTAAGATATTTAAAATGAAGATAATATTAACAAATATTTATATTATTTTTTAGTGGTTACAAGCAGTTGCTGGTAATCATATTGCATTTGATCATATTCATGGCACGTGCCCTAATTGCCAAGAAAACATATCATGTTGCATTAAATAACAAAATTTAAACCTTAAAAAATATTTGAATCAAATCTTGTTAATTTGTCATTCAAATACGTATATATGTGTAAAATTCAAGAATGTTGCCCATTGTTTAACAGAATCATTGAATTCATGAGTACCACATATTAAAATTAATGTTTCATTAATCATACAATCATCAAGTATCTCAGAAACTGATTCTTTATTTAATCTACCGGGTTTTACATTTATACCATGGAGATTGGAAATATTATCTAAAACACAAAAAAAGATATGAAAGATTTTTAATACATGATAAAAAAAAAATATAAACCAAAGATTTAAAATAATTTAATAATATTATAGTTTATATTTTTGGAGATAAATTTAATATTTAAGATATACAACTTACTATGCAACTGTGATATATGTAATGTACATTTAAAATTCCAATAATCTGTTAAAGTTTGTAACTCTTTTTTCAAGGGAATCTGTAATACATTTTGAAATCCACCAATAAAATGAATCCTTGTTTCCTCTAATTCATTATTTATAATTGATTTTATTATAGAATACACTGCAGTTATTCCAGATCCCATAGTAAACATAACAATTTTCTGAAAACTACAAAATTCTCAATCAATTAACTATTTATTAATAGTAAGTAAATATTAAATATGTTATACATACCTATTGCATTCATATTTAAAATTTCCATAAGGTCCTCTAATAGATATTTGATCACCTAATTTTATGTTTTTTAAATAAGTACTAAATTGTCCATTAACATAAAGTCTGATTAAAAATTCAATACTGTTATCTGTAAAAGAGATTGGTGTATATGGATTTGTAACACCCCATAAGCGTAACATAACATGTTGTCCTGGTTCAATTAATATTCTCTTATTATTCTTTGGGTCATTTTCTGCAAACAATTCTTATTAATAATAAATATATTATAAATCATGCAATAAATTATACTTTTGTACCTTGATATTTTAAATAAAGTAGAATGTAACAATCAGAAATCTCCTTTATATTAGTGATTGTAAAGTTCTTGTATAAATATGAACATAATAAATTTTCATTGCTTTGTACTTTTATATTTTGCTTTTTTTTCTTGTAATATTCTTCAAGTAACTGTCTATGCACATCAAAAATACAAGGATCACACGCGTTATGACAGCAGTCTTCTTCCGATGGAGTTACTGGTCTGCTACTTTCATTGTCACTTTCAGTACCCATTTTACCTATGTGAAATTTTTTGTTATATACATATTTTATTAAAAATTGTTTACTTATTTGTCTAGTTAATCTAGACTCTGTTAACAACGTCATTCTAATTACTATTTACATATGTATATATATGTGCGTATGATGTGTCATGTAAACATTAAATTCATGTATTAGTTATATACATATGCATATGTCATGATATGTCATTAGTGATCAGCTGTTGGTCAAAAATATTTTAACGCATTAACCCCTACAAACTTTTGTATATAGATTTCTATGTAATATAAGACCAATATATAACTCATGAAGATAAATTATAGTTTTCAACATGTATATTTTTACAATCACAATGATATAAATTCCTGTATCATGGAACAAAATTATCTACTAATTCCAGACGATGACGCAGCATGATGTAATGATTCAACAAATAGTTAAACAATGCTCAATATAATAAGAGTATTAAATCATTTTTATACTGTATGCACGTTCTAGTTAATATTAATAAATTTTAACAGTTTATTATTACGTTGTCATATAGTAAAATTAGCTTCTTTTATGTAATTTAATTTTGCACAGTGATGTATCATTGTTCACAGTATAATTTATAAAAAAATAAAATGGAACGTATAAATATTATAGGATGGAAACGTTATGTACTGGTACAACCACCTTTAATGATGATGATATTTGCTCAAGCAATAACAAGTAACTATAAATTATATAATATGCTTAATATGTTATTGTAAAAGATAATGTTATAAAAGTAATAAAATTATTATAAAAAGATTTAGTTGTAAAATGAATTATAAAACTCGGCGATTGTCTATATATGTACTTAATATGTCAATTATTAGCCATGTGAAGTTTATATTTTGAATTTGAATTTTAGGTAACATTTTAACAGATTTAATAGTATATCGTACCTGTAGTATAACATTAGACATAAATAAAACAGAATGTTTACTATTACATAAAAATAGCAGCTGCACAGAAGCATTGAAAATAGATGCCCAAGTTCAGCCTAAAGCAAGCTTAATTTTGATGAGTAAATCATTTATTGAAAGTATTATACCTGCTTTACTATCTTTGTTTTTGGGACCATGGAGTGATCTGTATGGAAGGAAACTTATTATATTATCAGGATACGCTGGTTAGTATTATACTATATTTAAAAAAAAAATTAAAAAAAAAATATCACTTACTCAAGCGATGATTTATGTCACAGGTAAATCACTGACGTATTTCATTCTATCTATTATGACCATTTATGATATCAGTCCATGGTTTTTATTAATTGCATATATTCCATATGCATTTTCTGGAGGATTTTGTATAATTTTATTGGGTACTATTTGTTATATTTGTGACATATCAAATGAACAGGAAAGAGGCTGGCAATTAGCTTGGATGGAGGCTTTAATATCTATTGGTGTTGTAACTGGTATATTAGCTGGTCCTGTTATTTTTCAAGCATATGGGTATGTAACTGTGTTTGGTAGTGCTGCTGTATGTTGTGTGTTAGCAGGATTGCACATTTACTTTTTAGTACCCGAGACCATATACAACAGAAATTCAGTATGTATTAAAAAACATACTTTTACTAATATCTTTGCTAGTTCATTTTAAGATTATTCCAGTAAGGTAAATGCAATTTTTTAATGTTTATAGATAACTCTTGGAACAATGTTTGATATACATCTAGTCAAAAGACTTATTAACACATGTATTCAAAAAAGAGAAGGATTCAATAGACATATAGTTTGGTGCTGTATAACTTCCATTATTTTAATGGTTGTAGTCTTAGAAGGAGAAATGACTATTGGCTTTTTATTTGCAAGTGCTAGACTTGGTTGGGATGTAAATACATATTCTATTTATGTAGCTACTAATATAATACTGAAAATTCTTGGAATTCTAATTGGTGTAAAAATTTTGGTAATATACGGAGGTACAGATCATTTTTACAAATGTTACGTTCATCTAAAATATTTAACAGGAAAATATTTAATAGTAGAATATTTCATAGGACTTTCTGAAGAAGTAACAGCTATATTATCATTGTTTTCTTCCTTAAGCAGTTCCATAATACAAAGTTTCACATTAAAATCTTGGCATATGTATTTATCTGCAGTTGTAGGAATATTTAGTGGTGTTGCCAGTCCTATGATTCGTACTACATTGTCTAAGTCAGTGCCTCCAGAGGATAATGGTACAAATCATTCAAAATAATAATTAATTTAAATACCTGCTCAATATATCATTTCATAATAATACTAAATTTTTACAGGTAAGGTGTTTTCTATGACAGTATCTATTGAAACATTGATTCCATTTTTAGCATCTTCTTTATACAGCATAATTTATTCATATTTTATGCCACCTATGTACCCAGTACCTGTATGGTTTGTATCTATAGGTATTTTTATCATTGTAATATTTCTGTTGATAAACATAAAAATTCAAAGTACAAGACAAAGTAACTCTGTAAGATATGTGCCACTGCCACAAGATAGCGAAATATTGACATAATTTTACATCAATACTGCGATGCTGTAAAATACTGTGATTATAAAAAAAGATATAATGAATGTACATACATTTTGTAACTTTTTAAATGCAAAAATATAAAATTAAATTAAATTTAAATCGGTTCCTTTATTAAAACATACACTGATATATATTTTTGAGTAATGATAACTGGAATGTGAATAATTTACATAAATAAATTTTCAAATATTTTACAACTCATCATAATAATCAACATGATCACCAGATTTATATTTACGGTTTTCAAGGACTTTCAAAAGGCGATTAACGGTTTGTTCACAAGTTAAAACAGCTCTCTTTACTAACAGATCATTGAAACTAGACTGAACTTCTTTATCACTTGTCTCTTTACAAACCTGGTAATACATATCTGTTTCAACTGGCCCTGGTGAATAATTCAATACATTTACTTCTGGATTTTCTAATGCAAACACCTATGTAACAAATAAATAATTAAATATAAAGTAACATAAAGTATTAACAAACAATTAACATTAATGTAAAATTACTTTAAAAAACATTTCACGTGCTGCCTTTCCGCTAGAGTAGTAACCAAATGATTTTCTTGGTTGCAAACCAAGCAATGAAGTAATATTTATAACAGTTTTCTTGGCACTTGGAGTTTCATTAAATATTTTCATAATGACTCCATTTAATATGGCAGGACCAAAAACGTTTAAATCATAATAATTGCGCCAATTATTTATATCAGTCATTTCATTTGTTTTCTTAGTAATATCTCCCATGGTACCAACATTATGTACTATAACTACTCGATCAAATTGTGCTGCAGGCTTATTCTTTAAAGTCTGTATTATGACATCTAAAAAAAAAATATATATATACTAAGTTTGGTGGTCTTAAAGAAAAAAAAGTGTGATATTCTTTACAAACACATATATTTACCATGTAATTCATGCTCTGTTGCCTTGCCTAAATCAATACTAACAGTGTCTACAGATATATTGGAAGGAATATTTTTAGCAGTTTCTTTTAAGGCATTTAAGTTTGTTGCTAATAACATAACATGTGAGTCTTCTTCTAAGATTGAACTAAATGATACTGCAATTTGTTTTCCAATTCCACGACTTGCACCAGTTATTAACAGAAATACCTTTCCTGATAAGTCTTGAATAGGCATCTTTATTTTGATAAATTAATCCTTTTGTTTTTCCAAACAAAAACTTTCAGCTTGTTTATCTATTAATATATCTGCTGTAATATTATCTTCTTGCTCAGATTCTGTTACTTTCTGAAGTACATCTGCTTTTAAAAGGTGAATTAATTCACTAACTGTTACTGCCTGAAATTTTTAATATGATAATATAATTATGATTGAGTTATTTGTTAGTAAAAATACTTTAATATCCATATTTACTTCTAAATGTGGTGCTATATGTCTTATAAAAGGATTTGAAACTAGTTCTGTGTCCTTTTCACTCTCAAGTTTACATTCATTAGTTATTAAACGTGCGATGGTATCTTCTCTGATCCCCGATAAGGATGTTACAAGATCTTTTTTTGATGTACCTTTTTTAAGACTTCTAAGTCTGGAATCTAACAGATAATTTCATAAATAGACAGAATAATCTTAAGAATACATTACATATTTAACATTTTATAAATAATAGAATAGAATAGAATTACATAACATTTTTAGCTCAGTTGTAAATGTCAACATATGGACAGAGTTTATATTTCATTTAAAAAAAAATTAAAGAAAAAATCACTTACAAAGTTTTTCCAAATATTCCTCTGAATCCGCAAGTTTCGTATGTTTTGATTCTACGAAAGAATCCTCAAAATAGTTTTTACTATTATCGGCGTCGATTTCTGATGTGTCCGTTCCACACCATGGATCAGGAATGTCTGTCTTCATGATTTACGTAAGCACAATTTTTCTATCGCGTAGTATTTTTCCTTCCAGGTATGTTTCTTTTTTCTTGAATTTATGTATATGGTTGCTAAATTTTAATGGATATATGCTTTAATCAGATTTATTGGTTAACCAAGTACAATTTTCGGTTGGTCTTGCTGGTGGTTAAATACATGTATTTACATATATATATACATATGTTATCAGTGCTGTGTATATATATGTATATTATGAGCTATTTTTATTCATTAAAGATGTTGAAATAAAACTATTCCAAACTATTAAAAATATAAAAAGTTTCTGACGAATAATTTATTATTAGTATATAAATATACAATTAAGGAGTAATCGATACAAAATCAATTTGTCTAAAAAACATAGACTGATATAGAGAAAATGTTTACAAAAATATTGTTGACTTTATTACACAGCATAAGCAATTATTAATACTATTCATTGCAACATTAAGATATTTTCTCAGTCTAAAATATGTGTATAAATATACATAACACATACATTGTGTTTATTTTGAATACTATATCTATTTTTTTAATAGTAATGACCAATTAATGATTTTATGTACAAAATTGAATTAATGTATCAGAAATAACAATATTGTCTACATTAATGTAGTATTAAATATCTTCGTCCTTTTTTCCTTCATAATAAATATTATAATACAAACTGTTCAGTACAACTATATTTGAAAAACATCATGAAACGATCGGTTTTAAATGTCGTATAGTTAGATATAAGCAAAGCGAATGAAATAGTAACCACAAACTGTTTAATGTATTTTAATGTAAATAACATTTCTTATTAGCCTGCCCTTTAAACATTGTATTGAAACAGAGATATCAGATGTAAATATATGTACTAGTTTTTCATTTAAAATACATATATACTCAATTATAGTAATTAATATCAAAGATCAAGGAACATTGATTTCATTAATAACAATGTGCTGGTACTGAAACATAAGAAATTAAAAAACAATTTCATACAGTTTACAAAATATATAAACATATAATTTATGTTATAATTTGGCATTTGTGATTGTGTTAAATAGAAGCAAATTTAAGACATAGGAACAGTCTTATCCTTTTTTATGTACAAAAACAATTACAGAACCTGACAAAATGTAAATTTTATAATCACAGCACTTACTAATGTTTTCAACAGTTTTCTTTCAATATTCTGTAAAAAGATTTTGACTATTACTATTTATAATAATTGTACTGTATATGCAGAATAGTGCTAAAGTTTACTTGTAATATATTGCTCATGCACATATTATATGTATCATATAAAAATGTATTATTAAATAATTAATTTGATTTATATGCACAATAACAATACAGTGTTGTAGTTTCAATGTGATGTGTATGTTTTAAAATATTTTTATGCATTCATGATGTCGATAAAATTTATAACTCTTTGCACTCTGCTTTTTTTCTTTTTAAATAAAAGAATAGTATCTATATTTTATTTTGTAATAATATAAGATATCTATTAATGTATTACATATTGAATAATACAAAACATGTATTTTGCTGTAATAAATTATTATAAATAAGAGTGTAAAGAGTAAACACTTGATGTATTAGAATTTCTATCTTGCATAAACTTTGCAGCATGGAGAAATGTTGAGTTAAATATGATTTATGATGTAATAATAACTATCACGCGACAATGATATAGTTTTAAATCCTAGAATTGATGATCCTATAGATAAAGAAAAAATCACAACCGGCAAGTAGCCAATTACATACTAGTAACAAAAATATAATTAATGATATAATAAATTATGCCATACCTTGGCTTCAGGAATTTTACGAACGGCATACGACCTAGTTATCAGAATTTAAAACCTTCTGTATCTGTACAATTTTTCTTTTGATTAGAGAAATCAAATGATAAAAGATTTATAAAAATTAAGAAACTCTGATAACAAAGTAGTTGCACTTGATCACAGAGGATATTTTAGAGAGTTTAATAATCAACATTTATGCACCGCTTGAAGGTCTTTCCCAACAACACAACCATCTGCGCCATAATGATAAAGGTTTCCTACGCCTATATAATAAACTAGCACCACCCCTTCTGGTATTAAGAGCACTAACTATTGCTTGATCAAATGCTTCTTTAAGATCATGTTGAGTTAATGCAGATGTTTCCACATAACTTACAGCTCCTACCCTTTGAGCCAATTGATGTCCTTGTGTTGTTGTAATTGGTGTTTGACCATATCTTGCTAATTGTAACATAAGATGTACATCCGACCTTAAGTCACTCTTTGTACCTACCTGAAATTATTACTGTTATTACCATTTATGTTATATACAGTATGTTGATATTTTAACTTTATTTAAATTTTATCATTATTGTTAATAACATATATAGTTTTATTACCATAATGATTGGTGCATTTGGGCAATATTTTTTAACTTCATTTACCCAATGAGAAGTTACACTATGATAAGAGGAAGGACATACAACACTGAAGCAGACTAAGAACACATCTGTTTCTGGATAACACAATGACCTTAAAGGATCAAAGTCATCTTGCCCTGCTGTGTCGCATAGTTGAATATTTACTGGTTGACCATCAACATTAACTACCACTGTAAAAAATGAACATTATGTAGAATCTGTTGTATGTTTATAAACTATTATATCAAAAGAGACAATAAATACTTAAGAATTCAACTTCAACAATTTAAAAAAAATTCTTTTGTTTGTGCACCCTTTTTGATAACAAAGACATCATTATGATATGATGAACTTTATGTTTTAGAATGTTTTAAATAAATAGAAACAAAGTTGTCTGAGTATAAAAAAAAATGTTGTTTATCTATATTTTACTACAAAATAATTTACTACAAAGTATTCAAGTACAATCAATGATAAGAAAATTTCAATTCCACAATTAAATGCCACTGATAAATTATTGTGGAGAAAACTCACCAGAAGATTACTTATCACTACCTGAAACTGAACTTACCAACTGTCATTAAATTTTCAACTAACCATTATAATTATCAAAAGCAGTAGGCACGTATTCTCCTGGGAAACCGTTCGTGGAATAAGAAACTACAAGGCTGGTTTTTCCAACGGCACCATCGCCTACTAGAACAACTTTGATTCTTCTGTCGAGTGGGCTACCGTTGTGTTCAGTACCACCACCGTTTGAATTTTGATTCTGTTGTGAACACGTCGTTCGTTTCGTTTGCATCTGCATTGTTTGTCCATTCTTCAGAAGGGGTTTAGTCCAGTTTGTGTGCGACGACGGTGGCATTATTTTCTTCTTTCCTTTATCACATCTATAAGCTTTCATGCGTATACTTCAGAGATTATTTTACATATAACCTCTACCTGATCAAGGAAAGCAGCGCAATAATTGCATCGATCACAGCACATTTTTTTTTCGAATCGTCATCTTTCTTTTCTCCTATTGACACTTGTGGCTGGCAAGAATACGGATCGAGTGTTGGATACCGATGGCTTCAATACGCCCTATCAGATACTGTGCGCATCACTCGAAAACAATGGGGAACATACACCGTCGTCCAGAAAAGATAAAAAAAAAAGATACCGATCCACCTGCCGCGACGCGGAGCCACCTGTTATTATGCGTTTCTTGCGGCGGTCGCACAACCGGTGGCACAGGTATCTCGCGATTGTAGAAAATCGGTTTTACCTTGATCTTTTCTCTTTGTTTTAAGCAAACCTTATACTTGATATATTATAAAATGTATAAATGTATCACTGAAATGTATAATAAAAAGTATTCATTAATTAATATATTAAAATTGATTGTATATAATAAATAGTAATAAAATGTTATTGACATTTTATGTATAACATTCACCTGTAATTTATTACAAATTATAATGATTATATGTATTTATATTTTCATTAAAGGCGATTGAAATCTCTTATTTATATAAATTAGAAAATGAAAATAGAAATTTTACATACATGGCTAAATGCTTTTTTTGTTCTTTGGGAGGAAGGGGGCTCTAAAACTCTCCTTTATCATTTTCATGTCACATTCTGCTATACCAATTGCGATTGATATTGTATCCCAGCGCTAATGGTAGCAGGAATTAAAATTAAACCATGAGGATTTGAGCAGTGTCGGTATTATAAATTCTGAGATCCGAACTCACATAAGGTGGTAGATCTACAGTGCTTATATTCTTTATGCTTATAGTAGGTCGGTAAGAATGTGTTACATGTCTCGATACCGTGTATTGAAATCTATTAATTTTTTGTAAATCAGAATTAATGCATCAAATAAATTATGTCATATTTTAGAATGATTTGAAGGATGCGTTATTCACTTTCTTCATATTTATATTTTTGTAGGAATTTGTGTATAATTCAAACTAACCTAAAAATACGAAAAGATACAAGAATATTTTCCGCCAATTTTTTAAATCAGTGTTCATTTTAAAATGACAGTTTACAAAATTTCCAGATTAATTCAACATCTTAGGTTTGTGACTCTATAAATAATGAAATTGAAGTGTTACATATTTATAATTATTAACACACTTTGGAAGGAATTCTTACAGATGAATCCATACATATATATTTATATACCAAAAGATTTTTCAGAGTTCCAATAAAACAAGGATTTTCAAAGACATATGTTACTGATGTAAATACGAAACAACAAAAGATCAGTCCTTGGTATTCATTTATAAAACAACGGAAATGGGGCATTCCTATTGGAGTTGGAATATCATTATTAACAGTATTCCAATATAGCTATTTAAGAAAATATCCATACACACCTAGGGACAGCAATGTGTACGAGCCAATTAATATTTTTGTGGTATAGTGTTTTAATGTTATAGTAATGTAATTATTTCATCTTAACTGAAACAATTTTATAAAGGGTACTATACATTTGGAAAAACTTTACAGGTGAAATGTTATTATTTTCTACCATTTCGAACACTCAGCAAGATATGGGGTTGGATAGCTAATTTAGAATTACCAACCAGTTTAAGACCAATTTTATATGGATTTTATGCAAAAACTTTTAATGCTAATTTAGAAGAAGTTGATTTAGATTTATCTGAATTTCCAAGTTTATCTGATTTTTTTGTTAGGCCACTTAAATATGATGCAAGACCTATTGATCATAATGCACGCATAGTATGTATATTACTTGTACATAAGTAAATAATTAATGTAAACAAGTTGAAATTTACATACTTTGGTTACAGGTTTCACCTGCTGATGGAAAAGTAGTACATTTTGGACCAGTAACTTCGTGTTGTGTGCAACAAATAAAAGGTGTTACTTATAATCTCAGACATTTTTTAGGAGACATAAATATATTTGGTTCTGATGAATTATCAAAGTTTACAAAACAAGATGATGCTGCCTATTTAAAGGCTCTTTTAAAGAATCCAATGAATCAGCTTTATCAATTAATAGTTTATCTTGCTCCAGGAGATTATCACAGATTTCATAGTCCAACTGATTGGGACATAGAATTTCGTAGACATTTTCAAGGTAACACAGTCTTTTGCTATTGAATTTTAATTTAAATAAATCATAGTCAGTAAAATTAATTGATTTATTTTAGGAAAGTTGATTAGCGTCAATCCAAAGATAGTCCGATATTTTCCAAATTTATTTTCGTTAAACGAACGTGTAACATATATTGGTAAATGGACTGGTGGTTTTATGGCTTATACAGCAGTTGGAGCTACAAATGTAGGTTCTATAAGAGTTTACTGTGATAAGGAACTACGTACAAATGTTATTAAATGGCCTGAAGCAAAATATTGGAAGGATGCTCACTTAGGTTGTATACACTTAAAGAAAGGAGAATTATTTGGTGAATTTAGAATGGGATCTACAATTGTATTGCTGTTTGAAGCTCCAAAAGATTTCAAATTTTGTATACAAGAAGGGCAGACAATAAAAATGGGTCAAGCTTTCGCTACCTGTACTGTTGAAACTGAGGAAAAACTGTATAAACAGTCGCTATGACAATTAATATCGCGCATTTCACTAGACTGGACATATGTATGGAGAATAGATAGATGAAGTTTAGGAAATTCAGTGATCTCATGATACAAGACTTGCTTTAGATAGTATTACGATTGTTTTAAGAGTTTTACAATGGAAACGACTATAAAGAAAAATAAAATGAATGTTACAAACAAACTTTTCAAAAATTTAATTTTTTGAAACTTTTACAAATTTTATAAATAAAAAAAAAAAGTAATAAATAATTATTAATACTTGTTACTTAATAAATCTGAAATTATTTTTATCAGGTTTATATGAATTATAGGGATAATTCATTGTACTTACAATGTCCTAATGTGTTGCAACTAATTTCCTATTATTAGTTCAATTAAGATAATGGTTACATTGTAACGAATGTTACATGAAACGATTGAAGTTACTATTTATAATGAATGTACCACTGATACGATTCTTTGCGAATTTGAAAATATAACTTTGTGATACAATAAAGAATATATGTATACACCCCTCAATTTTCAAAACCTTGTGAAAGTAATTTTATATACAGATGTTATCAATTAATGATATAATAAAAATTTCAGCAATGATGAATGTTTTATCAAATCCTTACATCACTCATTCCCTTAAAAAAGAAAAAAAGATTCTATACTCTGAAATCTTTTCAACTATAAATTTATTTTTGTTTTCAAAAATTAAGTCGTCTATTAAATTTTTCTAGAGCAAATGCATTTTCAAAGGTATAGAGTAGAATTGAAGCTGATTAAAAACAATTTTCTGGTGATCGCGTAACGGAGTTGGACTCGACGGGGGGTTGACTAGCAAAACAGAAGTTAAAACCGCTGTTGCGTGCTAGAATCGCGTTCTATCCACGACGGCGTGGTTCAGTAAGCGTCGCGACGCTGGAGGTGCACGTTGCAACGCGCGCTCCTCCGCTCATTCTACCGAAGTGTTTTTTTTATTTTATTTAAAAAAAACGTGTCTATAAATTCATGAATCGTGGATGTGCGATTAAGATCCGCATGTTTACGTTAAATCCGCGTGGTCTTTGAAAAAGATCGCGTTATTTCTTTTATCATCCCTCCAACGTATAATTATGGGGCTAAATGGGTGCTGATGGACATTTTCGGGTGACCTTGTCCTTGAAAAAGGCACCGGCCGCCGGTCCAGTTTACTGTAAAATGGAAACATCGGCACGGTTTCGACAACTGAAGACTGTTAAGCTCAGCTGCGAGGCTACCTATCGGCTGGACATCAGTTTCAAACCGCCACAACTGTTGGAGTGGGTACAGTGAATGCGATGATTGATGATATTTTAGTCATTCGTTTAGAAAAACATTATTCCTCTAGCACTCGTTTATCACTCAATGTTTCGTTCTCGTTATTGTAATCGGGATGAAGTGTTAGTTTCATTAGGCAGACTTTATATATATATATATTTTTTTTTTCTTTCTTTGAATATTAACACGTTTGTTATTAGCTCTCGATTGGAAATATCAAGCATTTCACTCGAAGAGTTAAATCATCGTACGTTTAATAATCCATATGTCGTATTGCGTATGTGTATTTTCACTGCGGCATGCCTACTGCCTCCTTTTTGCGGTCTTGTTCTACTGGTCTGACCACATACGTTACCGCGCTACTCGGCTTACCGCATACGGTCCTGTTCTACTTGTATCACTACACGCGGTCCTACTCTACTCGTCTGACTGCATGCGGTTTTTGCTTCACTTGTCTGATCAGACAATCTATTGCGCCATAACACCGCAATGAAATTAGACATGTATTTGAAACAAAAATATTAAAATTTCAATAATTAAGGATACGAATAATTCAATATCGAATTTATTATTTTATAACGTGTTAATGTAGTGAAAACGAGCACAGGGAACACATTATAATGATCAAGGGCACGATTAGTCAATCTTTTTAATTGTTACCTTATATTATTAGCATAATAGCAATTTTATTCAAATTTATATTACTTGATTATATTAAATTTCTGTTAGTCACGCATTAAGGGAGTAAGTTCAAATAAAATATACCATTTTTAAATATGGAAAAATCTATTTCTGACGCATCTTGAAAAGTATGAATCATAGCTTGAAACCGGTACGATGATGTGTGTTACGTGCTGCGATACCTGGGGCCATCGTTATACCTGGTTATCGTGCACGAATTCTTACGAATGCTCGCGTTGTCGTTGTGCATGCGCCCAAGTTGCTTCTAAATATGCAAATATCAACGTAAACGATCACGCGTTCATCGTACACGTACACAAGTTTCTCCCTTTTAAACGGTGTAACACGCTTTTCTACTTTCATTCTAATGCACGAGAGCATGAGAAATGTTTTTTAGACAAACTGTGCGCCACCGCTGTCTATAGCCGCGTTTAATATTTTACCTTCCATTATGGAATATGAAGGTAGATTAACGACAAACGTTAAGTGGAATAAGAAATGCAGCGTTTTAAAAGAATGATATCGCGGTGTTATGTCGTAGGAGTAGTTTTCTTTCATTTTTCGTTCAAGGTTGAACATCATTGTCATTACTAAAACAACTTTATATTCATTTTTAATATTCCTTGCCCTACCTGTGGTATATTAAAACGTAATACTTTTCTAACAATGGGATTTGTCTGAAGAATAGCATAGTAGACTTGTTTAAGAAAAAAGGCGTTATAGTGGGTCGGGAACTCGGAGAAGGGGTGACCCACGGCGAGGGCCAGGGGCCCCTGAACTCGGTAACCCGCGGTGCTTCCGTGCAAGACGGGCAACCTGTGGAAAGGGGCCCGCGGCGAGGGCCAGGGGCTCCTGAACCCGGCAACCCGCGGTGCTTCCGTGCAAGACGTGGCAATCCGTGGAAAGGGGCCCGCGACGAGGGCCAGAAACCCCTGAACCCGGCAACCCGCGACGCCTCCGTGGAGGTCGGGTAACTCGGGAAAGGGGTGGCTTACGACGAGGGTCAGGAATCCCTAAACCCGCGATACCTGGGGAGAAGGGTTATTACTATTTTCTCTGGGGGGCCTACTATGCCCAAAAGCTTAAAATTTGAAAATTAATAATTATTCATATCCTTAGTTACTAATTTCACTATAGTGGCCAGGAAAAGTTACAAGATTAAAAAGTTTGAAGTTTTCATGGCGTACTACGATTTATTACCTTCCTCTCTAATTTGTACAACGATTTTTAATATCGTACATACAACAGATTTTCCGAATTAATGCTCGAACGAGAAGGTAATTTTTCGCTCGAGTCTCTGGAGAGATCGTTCATTCTTCTCTAAGGGTAATCCTAATATAGGAGTAAGAAGTATAAAGTACCATCTTCCTGACCTTATAAAGCATTATGTATTTTATGAACGATCTTAAGCCAAGAGAACAAGTAAAACGACACTAGAGCTGATCAATTTTCCATAAATTATTAAGTATCATCTCCTAGCGAACGGACTAAAAATTCTTAAACGATGATCCTTCGAGCGGATAAAAGCGAAGATTGACGATAAACCAGAATTGCTGGATATCATTCGAGGATGTCATTGTAAAAGAATAGTAATAGCTTTTGGCTGGTTATAATACAGGAAATAACTGCTGCGATGACAAATGTGTGAACGTTAAAATATTCTTTTAGTCTTTGTTCGATCAATTGATTCGACAAATTTTAACCCAAAAATTTCACAATATCGTTTATGCAAGAATCCTTCAATTTTCAATATTACTTCGACTTTCCTCAGAAATTGCCTCTCTTGATAAAAGGTTGCTCTTAAGGAAAGAGTCGCGAATATTTGATGAAACTTGCTCCAGGAGGTAAGGAAACTTCAAGTACCGTGTCTATAAAAAATTCACGCAGTCCTGGGGTTGAGAATACGTCGAAAACAAACAGATTAGTTTCGCCAACAGCAGACTGTTCGCTCGAGAAATCCGTCTTAATTAAAGGATGTTTACAAGATAAACGAGAATAATTGAAATAAGGAAATTGGGTGCAATCGGGGTTACCGTGTCGGCAATAACCAACTAAGAATTTACAATACGTCTCGATGGGTAGATGTAATGGAAGTGTGCCAGGAAAGGTGAGAGCAGACCAGGTGCTGCCACGTACGTGTAATCGGGTATCACCTTGAACTGTAAAACTTACGAATCGATTACGATTTTCGTTAGTTTCATCCTCGAAACAACGAATCCTTTTTGACTGGTGTCAAAATTTCAGACAGACAGAACGAGGATATTTATTAACACTTTGAGTGACGCATGAATTTACCCGAGAACTTCTCATCCATTTAGATTTATTTGATATAAGATAATTAATTGAAAGGATTTTCTACGAGTACAATGTGTTACTGGTATGAACACCTTGATTGATGGCGATCAGATAGACCACAATAATAATTTATTTAATTCTAAATATTACTTTCCATTGTATCAAACCCTCCCATGATTTGGGTCCTCCAAATATTTGACAATGTTTCTCAAATTAAACTTGAATTTATAGCTACTAATAGAAATCGATCAATGTCGACGTTTTACGGTTGGTTAGGTCATAAATAATTAGGATGGGAGCTCGAGGTATTGTATTTTCGTTTGGAGAAGACATGATGGTATAATAGAAACGTCCGAAGACGAACGTAATCGTACACTGCTCGAAATATCGACTAGAATTCTACCGTGGGCTTCTACGAGCAGGCAAGAAAATCAGGTGCTGTTCTTAGCACGAATACCGACTAAAATTACTTGCCACGTCGGCAATTACGTTATGCTGATCGTTGTTGACGTTGGCGAATAAACACAGCCTCGTCGGGGTAATATTAAATAATTGAACGTTCCCAAAGCAAATCACTTTCTCAATTGTTTCGCTATTCATTCGTTCCAAGAACATTACCTATCATCATTGAAAACGAATAGATATTATATTTGCAATTCAATCAATTGCAGATATCAATAACAATGTAACAATAACAAAGATAATGAATATGGAAATTTCAAGATATAAAAAATACGTTCTTTTGTAAACTTTCCAGAAAGATAATCTTCTTTGGTGATTGCAAATTTTGACCGTGATTTTCAAAAATAATAAAAAAATATCATAGTGATACTTTATTCAAAGTACAACATGTTAATACAGTGAAACACCCTCTGGAAGAAAGTTTTAAACGAGTACAGTTCGGTTCCGCAAATTATTCTACAAATTGCCTGGCGATCAATGCGAAATTGGTTTCCCTTTCTCGTCATCCCTTGCACGCAAGTACATATTTATAAAAATACTTTATTCCGCAATATATTTCATATTCTGTCCCCTCAAGCAGATTTTCACGAATTATCTACCTTTAGAATAATAAAATGGTCTCCGATGGCGGACCATGGAGAGAGACCCGATTTTAATATGATTTCACTTTAAATTATTTTTCAGTAGACAGATTAATTAACAAGAATTCTAAATATTCAATTACTTTGCTTAAAAAGCTGCATTTTATTATTCATCTTATTTAAAAATATGTTAAAATATGTAGGAACAATTGAATAGAATGTACAACCGCTCTTCAACGTCCAATATTATCGATAGATAACGTTCGACGTTTTCAAGTTTATCTCACGTTCGAAGCTTGAAAACTTTAATTTCCATGCGCACGTGGTACTTACTTATCGAAGTTTTTACTTTTGCCAAAGTTGATCAGATTTTCGATGGCGGTGAATGTTCGTGACTCGCGTCAATAAACATCCGAAGCAGCCGCAGCAACCGCTGTGAAAGCACTGGTTGCGCGATGTAAAAGAGGGTACACCTCGAAAAAGCTTATTTACAAAACTCTCGGCACGTTATCGGCACAGGCGTCTGTTCGACTCGATTTCTCAACAACTGCAAAGCCACTTACGAAATCGGATCAATTTAAATTTTCTCGCTCAAAGGAAAAGCAGCGTTTCTTCTCAAAATCAACTTTCCACTGTTCTTTATACTTTTCTACGCTTTTCTAGGACTATTACAGCCTATTTTTTTAATATTCAAATTTTTCAGGCTAATCGCCGCTAATTTCAAAAACCGATTTTCACAAGCACTTTGTAAAAATATTTCAAATTTTCCAGGTATCGATATTTCGATGGCTAAAAGATTAATTAAATGTTCCAAATAAAAATAGCACGCAGAGGTATTGTTCAAGGATGGAATTTATTTAGACTTGTTAAATAAACGATGTATTCTTTTATAAATTTTAAAAACCCCATCGATATAAAATTTTATATTTAAATCAGTAATTACCGAAGCGCCAATTAATTCTATTGAAGTAGTTGAGGCATCGAATACCTTGTCAAGGTAACCAGTAATTCCAGCCTGTGCAATTATTTTTAATTGTTCGAAAATCCGTATAATCGAGAGTGATGTATTTCCTAGCCTGTTGTAATACGTTTCTGACACTTTCTAGTCAATTCTAGCGATATCGAACGAAAAAGCACATGTGTACTTACATGATACACACGAGAAGGAGAAACATTGAAAAAAAAGAGACGGATGAACGTATTCAAAACGAGCTCTTTTATTTTTCCAAACGAACTGTTCCCCTTCTGGTGAATGAAAGTCGCAAGAAACAAGATACGCAAACTTTTCCCAAGTGAAACGCTAAATTGAAGTTTTCAAAGAAGATAACGAGGCACCATAGTATTCTAGTATCCTAGTAGCTCAGCATTCCAGGATTCTATGGTTTCGAAATGAACCCTTTAAACATGGGTCAATAAAGAGAGTTCGAAGACCGGTAGATGGGACAGTTTAATAGAAACACCGTTAACAAATGAATGCAAGCAGGGAATCGTGTATTTATGAGGTTGATGCATAAAAAAGATCTACTTGCAAAGTGGTGTAAGGACAGCGGAACAGTCAAGTAACGGGGTCATGGAATAAAAAAGATATTCCACTTTCAAAAGTATTATAGACCTGTGGATCTAGAACAACGACGTAGGTACTTACTTTTACGAGGTCTATAACAACTAATCGACCCAACAACCAATTGATGCAAAAAATGAGGAAAAATGTTACGTTACGTTTAACTGTCGAGTATCTGTATACATCAGAGGAAATAAAAATATTTTTTTAATGGTACCAAAAGGTTTCGTTCCGATTGGTCCATCCATCTCGGAGTAATCGGTGAACATACACAGAAAAAACAAAAATATATTGATCGAATTGAGTAACCTCCTCCTTTTCGAAGTCTGTTAAAACAGAAGAATACGGGACTGGAGAACATTAGAATTATGGGAATAAGTTTAGGGTGAATCTATCTTCCCTTTGTAAAATTTCAACCTGATCGAAAAAGCGTGCCAGCATGCAGGTATTATTATCAAAGAATGCTCCATTTCGTCGAGACAGACGTCAGCAGTTTTCGAGTCTTTGTTAGAAAAGCGCATCCCTGTAAAGTGTGATTGTCGGCTTAACAAGGGGTTCGATTTACCCTGCGTTACTTGGGTTACATCGAAAACCTTGCCGGTTCATTTTACCAACAAAAGGAAGGGGGGGAAAAAAAACACTAGGTTTGTCCGTCAAATGTTCCTTCTTCCGCGTCTAAAGTCTCTAAACGAAACTGTTCCCCAACATTTTTCGAAGGTCTGCCTTTGATCTGGCGCGTTTCAATGCCCACCGTCTCGTCTCCTTTATTCCACGAGAAGAAGAACAAAAAAAAAGGAGAGCGAAACGGGCTGAAACTACAAGATCGCGAATGGCTTTTTGTTTCCCCGGACAGATTGCTTTTTAAGAGAGTAACGAGACTATTCTCCTCCGTCTGTTATTCTCTTTAGAAAATTCTGTTTAGTAGCACGAATTTACGTGGTTCGTTGAACTTTGGAATTTTTTAAGTTTTGAGTTTAGAAATTGGGAATCTAGAACAACTGGAATACTGAAATTTATTCTCTTTAGAAAATTCTGTTTATTAACACGAATTTACGTGGTTCGTTGAAATTTGGAATTTTTCAAGTTTCGAGTTTAGAAATTAGGAATCTAGAACAAATGGAATACCGAAACTTGAAAATCTGAGAAGCTTAGAATTCGAGAATGGCAAGGGGATCGATCGAAATTGCGGGGAGGGTGAGGGTGGGTCTACACTCTCGACTGATCTCAGCTACTAAAATCATCTCTCCAGTTCGTTGGTGATAAAAGTAGACAATTTAAGACTATGCAAACGAATCAGCGCGCGTCGATCAATCGTAATCGCGAAATCATTTCAACGGAATAGCTGACGCTGATAGGAATAACCGAGGAGAGGTTCGAGGAGGAATTGCGAATAATATCGGAAGGTGCATACCCCGGATCGATACGTTGAAAAATCCTAGCTCATAAGTACATATATTGCAACATCGTATCCCGGCTATACTTTCTCTTAAGAAAGTACAGAGATTAATCTCTCTCGAGTTTTCTCAGGGCAAAACAGCGTCGGAACGTGTCGAAGGTTCTTCGATTAAAGCGAAAGAGATCGATCGAACTGAGTTATTAAAGATTTCCTGAATTTATTTACGAAATATGTGACTCGATAAGCCGTAAAGAGAGTACACGAATTAAGGTGAATTGCCAGGAACTTGGACGTTTGAAAAGAATATAAGGGTAAAGATAAGTGTAATTGATTGGGTAGAAAGGGTTAAAATTGTGCTGTTTCGTTAGGTACGTGCAGAATGTGTATTAAGAAATAAAGAGGGACGATATTTCTGGTTGATTTCCAACGAGCAACCACTTGACGATCGACTTGGCCGATTCGAAAGCACATCGAGTGCACTTATTATTTGCTAACTAATTCAGAGTTTCGCGTGCAAGCAAAATTTCCGCGATGAAATCGAACAGATTCTACTACTGTTCCTCGGTTTCTAACGTTGCCGTGTGTTTCATCCTCCACACGGTCTTTGCCCGAGACCAAATATAAGAAGTTTATTTCAAAATTAACTTGTTTGCAAACCCATTCGTTCATTTAAGATACAGCTTTCTCTACTGCTCCAAATTCAATGATTGCCCTAAATGTATAAGTAATTGAATCGTATTGCTTTTATAATTCCTCTATCTGCATGATGGAATTGGAAAAGTTATCCTAGCAATTTCATTTTCCAAGTAATACCGAGCGATGCACTAAAGTTATGTCTTTAGTCGTTAACTGACGATGAGTCATGTTTTAATTAGAAAAGAAGTAGTTTCTCCTGACAAACGTGATAATACGCGATTAAGGATGAACTAATTCATTCTCTGTAACAGTATAAGACTTCTAGTAAATGTGTTATTAAATCATTATTTCCTAAGGGTGTTCGGGTACCTCTATTAAATACAAAGTCGAAGAATAATGTTTAAAAAGTGCGATGTAAAAGATAAACATATCAGATCCTTTTCTTTCTAAAGTATCGTACCACAGACCGCAATCTGAACAATTTAAACTCTGGGTAACGACGTAAAAATCTACAATGCCTTGTTATAATTTAGCTAATAATTATACGTGCCTACTGCGTCACGAGAAGTTATTTCAAACACGTGAATGATGCTCGACATTGATACGCGTATAAGGTTCATTGGCATGTATTTACTACGCTCTTGCGTTAAACTACTAAAAATAGTTATGCGGAATGCATTAACATTTAACGGTCATTATCTTGAATTTATCTATATACAGAGCACCGTTGTTACTAGGAACGGTATGAATTAAAACGTTGGTAAAAATAAATCCACGAACGCGAGTCCTTTTTAATATTCGAAGGTAAAGTATGTTCAAGGAACGTAGTTTCTCTTTACTGTGTGTTACATGGAAATTGCGTTTATAAAGAAGCGTACTTTTCAAAATTACGTCTGAAAGAATGCTTTCTAGGAAAATTCTATTTTCCTTTCCCTTTGTATTACAATCCTTCATATTTTATTACTTAAGGAATAAAATGTATTCTAAGTGATGAATTTAAATAATAAGATTTAAATAAATTTCTAATTTTCAAATACAATAACGATAAAAATAGTAACAAAAGAAAATCCAGTGACAAAGAGGAAAATTTAAAAGTCTATGAAAGGGTTAATCGAATCGCTCTTTAGTTTCAATTGTAGCCGGGCATCGAAGCAAGTCTGATTCGATCGTAAATCGATAGCAGGGCTGGTGTCATCTGTAGTCGATGTTACAGAATCGAGCTTCAAATTCATTTGCATCTTTGGTAGGCCAATGTTCGAGATTCTGAACCTCGTTTCCGGCCCCTATTGTGCACCGCCTGGCACGTATTGGAGAACCGCAATCATTTACAAAATAGTCACGATATTAGGATGCATTGCAAATTGTCAAATTTCAATTTTAACTCCTTCATATTTCATAATGATCGCCATTGTATAAAAAAACAGGGTGACCTTATTTCAATTCGTAAATAATAGGTTTTAAAATAGTCAATTTCACTAGTTAATCCGCCATTTTGAATCGTAACTGTTTGGCGCCATTTTACAAGATTCAACGTCAAAGCGATGCAAAGACGCCAAGTCTAATAAGATTGTTATTGTCGTGTTTCACAGCACCATAACTAAATATAAGAAATATAATTGTGTAAAAACTCACATGAAAGATGATCGTTGAATTTGCAGGTCCCTCAGCATAGGAGGCAAACAAGTGGAGGCGGAAGAGCGAGCAAGGGATGGAACAGCATGTGCTTACAGTGCTTATCACAGCACGAAGGGTATACCGGCAAGTGCCAGAGGTCATCGTGAAGAATTGCCGATCACTATGCGTGTCCTGGGTTCCGGTTTCTTGACAACTTGTCTGCAAATCAAATATTACCGCCAAGATGATCAAAGCCATTGCGAATGGGGCGCCAGACTCCATTGTATCGAGTTAGATTGTTCGAGCGTAGAAGGCAGATTAGTTACCGTTGATCGTGAAACGTACAGGAAACTCGGTATAGAATCCTAGCAGTCGGTAGGTGTTAACGTCATGAAAGCCATCACGTAACTAAACCGGCAAATATTCTTGTCCTTCCCTGTGTATGGCGATATGTTACGACGATCGTGATTGGCTGACAGAGAGAACCGATCAGTGTTACCGATTGGCATTGAAATCGCTCGTCGGCCAATAAGAAGGGAGCGCCACTTATGGCGCGCTTTTGGCTGAAATTCGTATATCGAAATAATTACAAGTATAGCGTGCTACATTTTTCAAGGATACACTTTAAAACACGTAAAATTTCTTCACACGACAAATAGCGTAAATGTTTTCAACAACTTACGTGACATTGAAAAGCAAGATGAAAATATCGATCGTTTTTACACGTAACAAAATATCGGATAAGAAGCAAATTATACAAGAATATTATAGCGATATGTTTTGATCCCTTAACGATTATATAGATGTATAATTATCAAACGTTGGACCCGTTTTATAAACGCAATTAAAATGCAATTTCATCCTCCTATTTTTCTATATTGTGAAATATGTATATACATACATATATCAACAGTGTATTGTTATAAATTAATATAGAATATAGATTTGTTGTAATGAATATACTGTGTATTGTTTAAACGATACTTTAGAACATCATGCTGCTAAAAATCTCGTTTATCAACAAAACTATGTTCGTTAAGGAATCAACTAAGAAAATATTTATTCAATACTTAATAGATAAAAATATATCAATATTTTAAATGATATAAAGTTGAAATATTACACGATAGCTTACCACCTGCTGTGTTTAAATAAATTTAAAACTGACATACATAAAATTTCTTGAAACGAGATATAGTTACATATATCTAATGTTGTCATAACACATTTCATGCATTAGAAATAAAGCATTCTGTAATTATTGACCAATGGCAAAACTGTACGAACTAAAAAATAAATAACAGAACAACATTCGAATATAAATGTTAATTTGAAAGTATAATATTGTACAAAAAAGAAAATTACCATATGTTAGCATTACTGTCAATTTTTTTGTAAAAAAGTCAGTTCTAGATTTGTAAGAATAGCAAGCTCTTTTTCTTTTTCTACTTATAATTTATCACAATGGTTTTGTGCACTTTAATGGGCTTGAACACGAAACTTACATCAAATAGCACGTGAAAGTTATTATCGTGCCATACGAAGCACGTTAAACTATTAATGATACTGATGTAGTAATTACTGCCATATTTTATGGCATATTTATATAAGAAAAATAATTCAACACATGTTATTTAATTACGTTGATAAATTACTATCCCTATAAACAGTAAGAATATAAAACACATTACTTTACTTAACAAAATTTAATACAAACTTCTCTTGCAAATTTATACTTATAAACTATACACATGTATAATACATATTATGAAACATCAACCAATTGCAAAATTTTTATTATTGTATTCTCCTAATTATAGTACTAATTCATTGAAAACTTTGGCAATCAGTGAACAGGACCAAACAGTGCCTGTATGTTTTATGTAAACACAGATTGTTCCTATTCTTTATTCACACAATTAGTTGTCTGCCTAATAATATTAATACATGTACGTTTTACAACTGACTGAAATAAATTATTTAATCCCTAACTTATTTGATATCTTAAATAAACGTGTATCATACAAACTTTATAATTTAGGTGGTTCATAATGTAATAATATAGCAGCTAGACCCTTGTTAGGTATTTTTTCCAGTTGCGTTTTCATTCGTACTGCTAACTTGCTGGTCTGTTTCAAATACATTGCAGAATGATGTACAGCAATTGTATAAGGAATAGGACACCAGGCTTGTTTAACAATTCCTCTAACCAGTGCTGTTAAATAATTATCTATTAAAGACGTATCTTCCTCGAGAGGATATAGATATTCCTTAAGCGGTACAACTAATTTTTCTACAGGTAATCTAAGATATCGAAGCACACCTCCGTGTTCTGACCATAATAATTTTCTGTAATGAACATCGTGTCTCTGTGTAATTGGTACTAACAAAGCCATTGAAAAACCTTCATCACCGTATGAAGTTGAACAAAAATGTTCGCACATAGCTGTAAATAAATCAGTAAACGAATTAAGTCCTGGCAAGTCTATTGTGAAATTGAGTTTCTTATAATTATCTTTCAGCAAAGTTGAAACAGCCCTAGTAAGTAAAGTAGAAACGTCATTATTTAAGTATAAAGTATCACATAAATATACGAGTACCAGTCTGCTGAAGCGTAAACTTTGCGACAATTGTTCAACCAAATCAGGTAATACTAATTCTAAAGTTAATACGATTATGACAGTAGTTGTATCATCCTGGTTACATGTACCACTGTTTCTACATTTTGTATAAACATGAACTATGGGTAAGTAAAGCCAGTCCTTAGGCATTGATGCTTCATCCCATTCGCCGTTCCATGATACGTATTGTTCATATAAACAAGCTACATCACGCGATAAATTTAATTTCATATCTTCAATGTTTGAATTCAAATGTAACTTTTCTAATTCGTTTGTTACCATTCCTAAATTTAATTTCTCTTCAGCTAAAACAATTCTAAGAATACTTTTTGTATTAGATGAAAAATCAGTAGGTAAAGATGATACAAGTTTGATAGCAATTTTCCAAATGGTATGACTTATTTTACTGTCTACTCTAACCAGAGAAGCTGCATTCACTATACCAACCAAAAAAGATAATTCTGACCTTGTATACCACGATCTTTCTAAACTCCACTCTGTTGCTTCTAATCTCTTTAAATACTTATGAAGTTGTGGATGATTAAGAATTGCCTGAAGTTCTTCTAAGAAAGAATGATTAACAAATACATTTAGCACTATTGCTAGAAACGGGAAACAAGATTCCTGAGATACTGTAGGCTGTAATTTTCCACCGTGGGTCAAAACACCCAAATGAGGTAAAGAAGAAGGCTCACGTTCAGTAGCTAGAGAGCAATCGCTCAATAAATTTGAAGTCGAACTGAAAATAATGAAATTTAATTATATGACTGCTCTTTACCTTCAAAAAACTGTAAACCGAAACAACTTACCAAAGTTTAGAAAACACTTCTAACCGAGATACAATTAATGTGTTAATCGCTGGACTATCACCGACTGCCAGTAACGTTTCCGCAGTAAGTTTTGTAGTGCCCCACTATAAAATAGTAATTCTAATATATCTACGATACTTATATAATTAATAATACAATAAATTTATGTATAACGTACCGTGACATTTTTTAAGGATAACAATTGAGTGCTCCATTTAGATAATAAAACTGACATATTTGGTTTTAAAGGTGTCAAATAACTTGCAACAGCTATCAAAACTGCTGCATATTCACAAAACAACTCAGATGCATTTTTTATGTCATGATTACTTAGTAAAAGTTGTAACTGTGATACAAGAATTAATTGTGCCCCAGTTAAACTATCCACTGCTTCATCATAAAGTAGTAATGTTTTCCATAATCGCAGACTTTCAATGCTCAAATTAAAGCTTCCTTTTCTATAAGAAAAAATATTTAAAAAACGAAATAGAACATGTATTATATAAAATGAAATTATAAAACTCACCCTGCATCACAGCTAACATACGATATAATACGTTGTACAATTTTAAGACTATTTAATTTTTGAGCAACACGCTTTCCTCCGTAGCAAAGTAAGATCCGATAAAATCTTACCGCAGCCACTACAGGAACTCCATAAACGTTATTTATGGTATCTAACATTGCTACAAGTATGAAACATATATTTTGTTATTAATATGTCTACTAGATCAAAATATAAAATATTTAGAAAGTATAAACCTAATTTGTCCGTAGATAATGGCATAAAATGTTCAGTTATTGTTTCCAATAAATGTGGAGTATTTGCAATATTTAATGTAGTAACAGTTGAGTGTCTTACAAGTCGAACTAATATTTCTAACGCACACGTTACACCGACAGGCGGTGGTCGCAATTCACTTAAGATGTATCTGCAACAAATTTTAATTGATATGTTAATAGGTTTTGAATAACTGATTTGTAACAACAAAATTATTAAAAGTACCTGATCCTTAGAAGTATATCAGTTCTCAACAAAGCAGCAACTGCATCCAACTGTGCTAGTTCGTGATCCTTTAAATTACTCGTATCAGTAACATCGGTTTCTGGTAATATTAAAATAGGTTCCTTATAGTACTGAAATTCATATAGTCTATCTAAGCAGATTTCATCTGCTTCACTGTATAAGAAAGCTCTGAGTGCTTGCAAAGTTGCTGTAACTATAGCTGTTGAAGTATCATCCAATGAAAATCTCAGTAGCAATAAAAGATTCTTTTGACTTAACGCAGTCAAAGGAGCTGGTTGTAATGCTTTATCGTACCATCCTTTACGACTTTTCTCTATAATATTTGCTAATGTTGTAAGAGCTGTACAACGTTGTTGCTGCGCGGACGATCGACTCAATTGTAATAATTCTTGTAAGGAATAACCCGGACGATCGGGCTCTTCTCCATGATGATGAAGACCTTTCTCAATTGACACACTTTCATCTTTATACGCTAACAATAACCCTACCAAGACATTATCATTATTAATATGTTAACTTTATAAGATTAAAATAGTTTAGAATAGGTTCATTTACCATTAAAATCAAAACGAGCATTGTACGGTTCATCTGGAGGAGGCTCATCTTTTTTTTCTGCAGGCACATCTTCCATCCATTTCAACTTCTCAGGCTCAAGAGAATCCATGTGTACCCAACCCTTTTCTTTAGCTTGTTCCATTAATTCAATAGGAGGTTTAGGTATACTTTGTTCAGGTTCATCCACTTGCATTGATGTAACATCTTCATTATCAGAAACTTCTGAAATTATCTTTTCTTCATTCATTGATGTTATATTATCATCTTTAACAAAGATACTTGTGTTTTCAAGTTTTTCTTGATTGATTTTCTGCTTCTTATTATTCCTATTTTTCAAAAATTGTATTAACTCTGGTTTAAGAGTCATTTTAAGTTTACTTTTCTCTTTTAATATTTCTTCTTGACTCATTTGATTCAACCGTTCTAAATTTTCTTTATGTATTTCAGATGCCCATGATCTATCTACAGTAACCCTGCTATCACTTGTACATGGAGATTCTGAGGATTTAAACTTTTCTACTTTATTTACAACAGGTTCTTTAGAAGAAACTTGTTGCCAAAACAAACTTTGATTGCCATTACTTGTCTGAAACATATTTATAATGATAATAAGTTACAGGTAAAACAGAAGTTATTCATTAACTTACAACTTGTTTCATAAAATAAAATAAGTACCATGTATGGAGAACTGAACACTTGAGGAAAACCTGAATCTAACTGAGAAAACTGTTGTTTGTTGTGCTCATAATTGCTTGTATCATATTTCTTTTCAATAATATTTCCTAATATTATATTACATGGTGACATTGGTATATTTTGAACATGTTCCTGTGGTCCACCTTTCTCTTTAATTATAGGATTTATAACATCACCACCAACTTGTGAAGTAGAGACTCTGTCTTGTGTTTTAAGTCTTTTTTGTTGAGAAAATTTTGACCTTACTTTAGCAGTACTATTTTGATTTTTAACTGTTTCAGTACTTGATGATTTTGATGATCCTCGCAAATTAATTACTTTCGCCGATGGTTGCTGTTTATTCTTCAAAAATTCTTCTTGCATACGAAACAACTCTTCTTCACTATCAGTTGGCTTAGGTCGTTTTAAAATCGGAGTATTATCCATAATTTCAAAATTTTTCAAATAAATATTTACTAAACGAATCGTTCAATAATTAAAATTTCTATACGTAATAGATTATTTTAGTTATTGGAAACTTGTAGGTTATATTTAGGTTATGTATACCTTCATTGTTACGTTACATCTATTGTTTATTGTCAGGGATGTGTATTATTAATATTTTGTTTCAAATATATTTAATTTCTTCTTTCCAACAAGATTATGATTTAACATTCTTTCCGAGAAATCTATTCAATTAAATAACTTGAACGTACGATTAGGTATGATCGAGTAAAACAAACAATTGTAATTGTATTTCTAGGTGGCGCTGATTATCAAAATTATTAAGGTAATTAACACGTGCAGAACGAACAATATTGGAATACGATAAATATTAATACATATTCTTCTTATTATTATTAATATTTCGATTAAAGTACAAAGTTTTTGAACACAAAAAATTCAAATTATTGTATGGAAATATTAAAATTGTGTTAAATTGCTTCTGTTTTAATGATATTAAATTTCAAAGAAACTTATGATTTTTTTTCACACTCGCTTGTAAATAGTATTATAATTTTGTGTTTAAAAAAATTCATTATATACTTTCTGTTATGTATTAACCCATTGACTTATCATGGTGACACTAATTTTATTTTTATGCATTTATATTAGTTGTAATAAAGTACATTATTTATCTTTTAAATGATGGTAAGGCAATGAGTTAATAAAAATATAGAAATACAACTTACAAACGAATCAATGAAAAATTATAAAATCTAATATTAAAGAGTAAGGATCTCAGATGCTCGAGATTCCAGTAAACGCTCCATCGAACTAACATCTTTACACCATCCATCGAGTCGTTGAACCATTCCGGCTATTTGAGTGCGATCTAATACACGCGGTTGTACCCATGTCATATTTACTGTTTCCGCTACTTGATCAATAGCACCACGAACCAACCCTTGGGCTAAAGCCTTCATTACTAATAATTCTACTTCACCAAGGGGCAAGCGAGTTTCTTGAGAAATTTCCGCGAATGTTAATTGTCTGTAATAAAGAAATATTTAATTTAATGCACCGTAATACAATTTTACAAATGCAATGAGACCAATACAAACCTATTGTTAGCCTGTCGTTTAAAAGTCATTTCCATAAGACACAAAAGAGAAATCTTTTGTCTTAGTTTTAATTCTTGTGCAGCTAAATCAGCAACTTTGCTCCATTGAGGTTTTAATTTTTCTAATGCAACAATATCACCAGCATTGAAAGCTTGTAATAAATCAACTAACCAAGAGTTTGGTGTACCTTTCAAGGATTGCAATACTGGATGAGCTAATAATTCTCCAAGATTATATACTCCTTCACCTAAAAGAGCAGCTAGTCCAAGGAAAAATGCATGCTGCTCTTGTTCTTGTCTACTTAAACTATTTAGATCAATGCAACCCAAATATCTGAAATATAAAATTTGAAATTAACTATTTTCCACTAGAATTTAATTATTATGATTGTTAACCATGATAATACCTCAAAGCAGTACGGTAATATTCAGCATGTTTTCCTTGAAGACGATACAAACGACTGGCTAACAAATAATATCTACCATGAACTGTAGTGACACCATCTGCATTGTCTAACATAGTACCAACATCTTCTATGATCTTTTTTGCTTGTTCTTGATTGTTTAACTTTTCAAGTAAAATTTGTCCAATAAGGACCTTGCATAAAGCAACAGCTTCATTATTGCTTTTCACTTTGGTCTCACTTTTTTCTAAAAACTTAATTGCTTCTTGTTTGTCTTGAAACTGCTGTACTACATGTGCCAATATTTCTACTAGAGACAAAGGGTTTATCCTATGTACCAAGAATATATACATATTATTAACTTATAAATTTTTTATGTTACATTTATCAGTGAACAGTTACAAGTTCTAATATCAATTTAAATATAAATAGAAGTGAGGTTATGAACAAGTTGTGGAAAAAAAACACATGTATTATACTTACTTGCTTTCAAAGGTGGATAAAAAGTTACCATATAATTGTATCAAATTATCTCCTTTCTGAAGAGCTGGATGTTTCACAAATGTTTCTAATTTGAGTGTCAACTGATGCCAAAGCCTGCAAGTCATGGGATAGTGAAAACGAAATTTTTCTGTTATAAAATCCTTATGCATTGAAATATTTTATGAAACATACCTTTTGTTATATAGTTCTTCAAGTTGTGCCCATTCCGTGGCCAACTGTTTATCAGCAACATTTTGATTTTGGCTTAAATATGTATTAACATCTCTCGGCACCACGGTTGTCGCCATCTTCAACAACAATGACTAAAACTGAAACAGCATAATGAATTAAGATCTTCAGCATGTTAGAAAATTCGAGTACAGGAGGGTAAGTATTTCTATAGTTCCTGAGATTTACTACGAAATGGCTAATAGCGCTGGCAATAGTGGTTCAGTATGGTTATTTGTGATTTTATTTGACTTTTATTTGTGATTTTATTACAATTTAACTCAATCGAATAACTTATTAATGTTTCTCAGAATCACTTCCCAAAGCTCTATTATTAATTGTGGTAATATTAGTTTAATTTTCATGAAATAATACAATGTTGGTACTTCATTATTTGCGATGCAAGCCTAAATTATTTTCAGATTAGGATATATGGCGGGTTATTCCCAGAGAATTGTTTGTGTGATGCATTATGAAGTAATACGAATAATTCAATTGATGATTAGTTTTACTTTTCATCAAATATACAATTTAAAAAATCTTTTGCGATATCGTCAACACAAGTATTGTCTTCAATATATGGAACCAACTAAAGAAAGAAATCTTAAGTTTTATAGCTAATTTTTATTAAATAAGTGAATATTTGAAGCATGTTTTGAACCTCATCAATGTATACTGATATTTTATCAGAATTTTATTTAGGAATGAATATTTAAAATGTCAAGCATGCAGAAAATCTTAACAGTGATTGGAGTGTTAATGTCACTTCACCTTAGTACGGTTATTTCATTAATGTCTTTATCATTTTCTCCAATTGTTATTAATGGAGAATATAAGAAGGAATATCAACTTACCATAAATAATACTGTAGAGTATGTTTTCCTGTATCCTACTAATAATGTAAGTATCATTTTATATAAATTGGTTCTAATACAATTTTCTGTATTCTTTATATATTACATATTTTTTTCTTACTGTTAGGTATCTGTTATGGAAACTGCAAGATTAGAAGTTGAAAGCAATGCTACTACTGATGTCCCTCTTATTGCAGTTGTACGTCAGAAAAAAGGAATTCTATCATGGCAAATTCCTCTTGTAGTAAATAGTATGTACTTTAATGATTTAGCTTATAATAAAACTGATAGAACATTGTGTTCACCTAAATATTATCAGAGGGAAGCAGAAAATCAAGATGAATTTCTTACTGTTAGTTTATCTACTGCTAGTCATGAAAATATTTTATTTAAACTTAATATGACCAAAGTGTTACATTTTTATTTAAGGTAAGTGTATTACTGCCTGTTGGTAATGGATTAATATAATGAAGTTTGAACAATTGAATTTTATCTTTTTTTATGTTCAGTCCTGGAGAGAAAAGATCGATAGAAATTTCTCCATCTCAACCCATTTATTATGGGTATATCTTTCCAGGACAAGAAGAAAGTTCTTCTGTAGTTGTTCATGTTGAGTCTGATAGTGATATTTGTATGACAGTCTCAATACAAAATACATCGGTAAGTTCAGTTTGCTGTGATCTTTAAATTAATGTAATATTATGAAGTTACAAACATTTCTGTTTTTTCCAGTGTCCTGTATTCGATTTAGAAAGGAACATTGAATTTTCTGGTTATTGGCAAACTGTAAATCGACAAGGTGGTATTACTGTGCCAGTAAGTATTCCTAATAAATAGATTGTTCAAAGATATACAGTGGGCTAAGATATAAAAAAAATTGCTTTACCTAGAAGTTGGATTAAAGTATAATTTATATCTTTTAGAAAGAGGCATATCCATTGGGTTTTTTTGTTGTGTTAGTAGTAAAAGGTGACGATACTGACTGTTATGGAGCACCTAGTATGATTCCTGTACGGAATAAAAAAGTGACGTTAACAATAAACACCAGTATTACTAAACAAAATTATGTTATTGCTTCAGCAACATCGGTGTCTGTTATTTTTACTTTCTGCATTATCTATGTTATAAGCATAGTAGTGACGAAAATCAAAGAAGGTAGAAAAATTAAACAAGAATTATTACATCAAGAATCTGAGAATATTGCTGAACCTATACCAAGTCCTTCAATGATAGGAGAGGTAAACCATTTTATGAAGTAAGAAAATAAACAAATTATACATAGTAATTAATCGACTATTTGAATTATTTCGTTTCAGACCGGTCAGCAGTCAGTATCTATAGATGAAGATTCTTCATTAGATGAAGATGATATTGATTTAATGGAAGATGCTCTTTCCGACAAGGAAGTGATACGAACGAAACTTGTGCTTTCGGTTTGTGATTTAGCTCGAAAAGAACCAAAAATTCTTAGGCATAAATCACGGTTATATTTATACTATTTAATAACAGTGGCCATATTTTATACATTACCGGTAGTACAGCTGGTAATAACGTACCAGCACGTACTTCATGTTACGGGAAATCAAGATATGTGTTATTATAATTTCTTATGTGCTCATCCATTTGGATTGCTATCAGATTTCAATCACGTATTTTCAAATTTTGGATATATAATGTTAGGTTTGTTGTTTATATTTATAACATACTCACGAGAGCACAATGAATTGGATCGAGAAAAAAACAAATGTTACGGTATACCACAACATTATGGTTTATTTTATGCAATGGGTACTGCCCTTATTATGGAAGGAATACTCTCAGGAAGTTATCACGTGTGTCCAAATCGAAGCAATTTCCAATTTGGTGAGATGAAAATTATTAATATCTTTTTCCATGTTATTAATACTAACAATCATATTATTTGCAGATACTAGTTTTATGTATATTATAGCGGTGCTTTGTATGATTAAGATTTATCAAACTCGACATCCGGATATAAATGCTAGGGCACCAGTTACATTTGGTATCTTGGCGTTAATCATTTTTATAGGATTGCTTGGAGTTTTAAATGGTTCCATATATTTTTGGATCTTGTTCACGATCATGCATTTGCTAATTTGTTTGTTTTTAACCATCCAAATCTATTACATGGGACGATGGAGATACAGAGGTTCACTAACAAGAGCAATACAGGTAATTTCACGTATTGATTTAATTGTTTTGTTCGTTTTTTTTTTTCTCTCCCTCTCTCTCAAATTAACTTTGCCATAGTTTGCCACTTATGCCACATTTTTTTCTAGACCTGTAAATATGATGCTCGTTCCGGAGTTAGGAACTTGTTTCGACCCTTATATCTAGCACGATTTATAATGCTCGTTATAGCAAATTTATGTAATGTTGCTCTCGCAGTAGTAGGAAATATACGTCATGAAAAAAATTTCGCAACCTTCTTGTTAGCTATATTAATGTCCAATTTAATTTTATATACCATCTTCTATATCGTAATGAAGGTATGTACAGATGTATGATTATCTACAAATTACGTATATATTATTACAGACTAATCTACGTTTGTTATGTTTCAGATTTGCAATAAAGAAAGAATCCTTCTTCAACCGCTAATATTTATTATTCTATCAATTGTCTTTTGGGCTGCAGCTTACTATTTTTTTATAAGCAAAACTATCTCATGGGCGTTAACACCAGCACAATCCCGCAATTATAATAGACCCTGCAAACTCCTAAACTTTTTTGATAATCACGATATATGGCATTTTTTGTCTGCTTTCGCAATGTTCTTCTCGTTCATGGTATTGCTTACTTTGGACGATGATCTAGTCGATGTGCATAGAAGTCAAATACCAGTCTTTTGAGGGTAATGACACGAATGGAAAGGGTATGCATACCATTTCATTTCCATTTTTTTTTATGTTTTTATGACGATATGACTGTATATAATATACATTTGATCTTGATATTAACGAATTAAAAACAGTACAAAATATATATGTATATATAAAGATCGTATAGTAACTGTTTTATATTAAATGCCTTATTTCCGTTTAAACAAATCCATAAAACTATATATTATTCCATTATTTCTTATCAAACTGTCATTTCTAAGGATCGAAAAGTTTTGATATCTTGGGTATCACGAGTGAAAAAATAGTACTTAATACTTTAAAACTTACCCATCGATTTCATTTATCGACAAAAGTGGAAAGATGACGTACGTGTTGTTAGTAGTAGTCGTTCAGTAAAATCAAACGCAACGAACAGACCTCTTTTTTTCTAAAAATAAATATATATATATATATATATATATAATATAATTTCTATATTCATGAATACACTTATCATAAACAAGGGGCACACTTTGCCACAGTTTAGGAGACGGCAGTGATACTGTCTGAAAACCGATAGCATCACCGTTGAACTTTAATAAGACACAAGTTCTTTGCTTTCTATCGTCAAGCAACACTATCGATAGAAGCAATTAATTAACTTTTTTTTTTTTTCTCAAAATTATACTACTCCCGTACAATTAGCTATTAACAAGGATAACGAGTGTCTGTACAATTAATTCTAAACAGAACTACATACACCAGGTACGCAGATAGACAAAAGGGATCTTTTAATTTTGAGAAATATTAGGATGAAGCACTTGAGTCATTGTGGTGTTCCTGGGTAGTCGTTTCAATTTGTGATAAAGTTCTTTGCAGTTCGCTACGTTCTGCCGGTTGTAGCCTATGGGCAATTTCCAATATTGCGTTTAATCTCATTTCCGGGCATGCTTCCAAGGCTTCTTTGATACGAGATACAACCGCATCTTGTTTCACACAGGTAATGTTACGTGAAACAACACTGTTCTCGTCTTGACGTTGTTGCTCCAGCCAAATTGTCGCAGCTTCATCCTGATCCCACAGATAGGATTCAGTGGTCCCTTTGTCTTCTATAAACCATCTACGCAACATTGCACCGATTTGTCGAACGTCTAAGCTACGTTGAGTCGACAGAATTTCTTCTCTAATTTCATCTTCCAAAAGTCTTCTTCTGAGTCTCCAATATAGCGATCTACGTGCCCTTCGCCATGGAACAATATCATGAATTGCATTTTTCTCAAACATTCTTTCCGGTGTATCGTGGAGATCAGCAAAGTGAATTGCGACTTGGTGATACATCGGTTCTAAATTCAATTCTCTTTTACGTATTTGAGCTTCGATTTCTGTTCGTTCTTCCGGTGAATTTGCAGTAGGTAATTTTTCCTATAAAATCATATGTATTATAAATAAAATTATTTTAAATTATTCGCAACAATAGTCGATGATCACTTACTTTGAGTTTCTGAATAACACCGTCGATCCTGTGCATAACTTTAAGTATATCTTTAGACCTGAACTTAATTTCTACTATGCCACCAGGTTCGAGAACTCCGGCTCTGCTTGTGTTGTCGGCAAACATTTCCATGTAACGAGGATTTATCGTTGGATCAACTACCGCCCAGGCACCGCCTCTTAACTCTCCGTGCGGTGGGATATACACAAATATTGGTTTGGTATATTCTCTCAAGCCATCGACGATGTAAGCACCGAATTTTATAATTTGTTCGTACATGTCTGTAAAGAAGGAGGATTATTTGAAAACTGAGTAAAAGAAGCAATAAATTAATTATTACATACGAATAACGTACCTTTCATTCCACCAGAAAATCCTCTCCAATTAGCAAAAATGAAAAGTGGTAGTTCCTCCTTTCCAAAGTCTTTAATAGCTTGAGCAGTTTTGTACGCGCTATCGGGGAACCACACTTGTCCAGCTTGAGATATTGTTTTAGCTTCTGAATCGATATTGGCAGGATCTGCTGGTAAATGCAACTCGACGGTCCTAGTTTCAACTGCGATGACACCGCAAGGAATTCCACCCAATCTAGCTCGGCCGGTTACTACAGTCTGAGCCCAGGGTCTCATTATTTCCTGGAAATAACATAGCGTTAAAATAATTTTAATATATGTTATAGGTAAAGAGAAATATAAGACTGAGCATACCTGCCAAGAACCACGGTCAAAGAATCCACTTTCCCAGCTGTTTGTACCATTCTGTGAATATCTACCCTCCAACATCCATCTTGGATCATAGGCTGTCTTAGTAGGAACATAGCTGATCTCCCTTTCAACTGGATCAGGAAGAGGTGTTGGTAATATAGGAAGAGGTGCACCTTTGTATTTAGGACAAAAGCTTAGCCATCGTAGAGCTGTTGCAACACCATCCAAGTCTCTTGGATCAGTTGTGTGGGACACACCGTTGTTATGCATAATTTGTATACCACCTAACTGATTGTTACTCGCGTATACTTCACGACCTAGCACAGCGTTCAATGCTTTGTAACCGGTTAAAATAATGTGTGAATTTTCAATCTGAATCACTCTCTGTCCAAGACGTACCAGATAAGCACCGATACCGATGGCTCTACAAGATACAATTGAAATTGTGACTATCTCTTCATAGGCTCTAGATGTTTCTCCAGCAATCATTCCAGCATATTTTAAATTCTCCACGCCAAGTCCATCGTCTTTGCCAATAATATCGGTAATCTTATAACGAGATTCCCCGTGATCTTCGATCAACGAAGTTTTTACTGAATTAAAAGGTGCTAAACGAGCATAATCGTCTGGTGTTAGGTAAATATATTTAAAGCCTTTCTCTGGCTCGTTTTCATTTTCCCATGCGATTCTAAACAATGCTTTAACTTCTTCAGCTAAGCCAATGCGAGCTCCAGAATTTGCTGAGAAATATATTCTAGGAATACCAAGTTGCCTGGCCCTTTCCGATGCTCTACAGAACACCAGATCTTCCTTGATACCAAAGGAACCAATTAAATGTGTCAAATCATTAGCAATTAATATAACGTCTCGTCCAGACTCTGGATACTCTGGCGTGTAAAGTCTTAGCCTCCAGGCAACCATACCAACGTTATTCTCACCAGGCAGACGTTTCTGTTCCACCAAGTGTTCACCCTCCAACACCAATTCGACGCAATCCATCACAGGATTTGGAATAGTTATCTCGCAGTCAGGCCTTTCCTCTATATATTTATGCCACATCATTTCCGTTTGTTGTCTAAACATGTCCGGCAAATCGTATACGTAAGTCGTGCCAGCACTTTGGGCTTGGAAACGTTTCGCTTGAAGATAATCTTTGGTTAAGTAAGGAGTGGAGATAGGTAAACCGTGCATGGGTCCTGGTCTCCAAGATTTGTTCGTCGCCGAAGGGGATGATTCGAAACGAACAATCCCGGTCTTTGGATCGGTTGCTTCTGTGTAAACGTGCAAGTCTATACTGTAACCGCTATCGTTGGCGATCGACAAACGTATTGTGGATATTGCTTTCCCCGGAGCCGGACGAATGGTCATCTTGATTTCAGCTTGACGTACGCGTAACTTCCATAGCCTTGGACCATACCTGAGGATCATGCTGGTTACGCTTTCTTCTATTCTAACTGGATCCATAATAACGGTTGGCACAAAGTTCAAGAATATATGATTACATTCGGTACGTTTAGCAAGTGGATGCGAGAACGCGACCTCTAATTCATCCATCGCTTCCAGGAGAACTCGTTCACCTTCGTTGTGAAGATAATCGAAGCTGGCTTCTTTGGTTATCAGATCGGAGTGTCTTATGATAGAACGAATGAAGAAACGATAATCGGTGACTTGTTGCCCTTTGGCAACTTTAGCCTGGCCAAGGTATAGATGCATCTTTTGATTGGAGGTAGGCAGTGCTTCCAGATCGTACGTTCTCATTCTGTTCAGTTCCAGTTGGAAGGCACAAGCGGGCTCGAGGTGTCGGTAAATCCTGTCCTCGACGAAACCGTCTCTCTGACGGAACGTGAAGAACTTTGGTACCTGTCTTCTCTTCAAAGCGGCGAACGTGACCCTTCTGATACCCCGTGACATCAGTTCATCTTTGTTCGTGGCGCACCAATCGCCGAACAGCCTGGCCAGAGCAGCGTCGTCGTGGTTTTCTTTCTCTTGAACGGCGATGCTTAAAATGTGCACCGGTTCCGCTGGTCTCTCACCGGTACCGCTGATCTCCACCGGTACAGGAGGGTCACCCATGCTCAGAGACACGTTTATAGACGTGCTATGCCTCGATTCGCTTCCAGCCGCGTCAACCGCTTCTAAGACTTTAGCCGAGACCGACGTGGTCGACGAGAGATCTTCTAGAAGATCAAGTATCTCGTCGGAGTATCTGACAAACTGTTCCATGTCTTGGAAGGCTGCCATTGCTCCGACTCTGTGATTAACCGGTGACTGGTTCTGTCTGTTCGGATGATTGTTAGGTAGCAAGAACTGGAAGTGTACCAACGGTACTTCGCCCGATAACTCGAGGTGTTGCAAACAGGTCAACTCGTAACTGATGTACGCCCTTCGCACGTAAACCTCCAGAGCAGCGTTGCAGACTGCACGATTCGAATGGTAGAAGAAGTCGTGAAGAATATCGAAGATAGACGTCTCGGAGAGGATTAATTTCTGTAGATTTTCTGGATGGAAATCGTGTCCGTACAAGTCCACGGCTGACAAGAATATAGATTCCATTTGATTGTGTCTCAATTCGTAAGCAGGTTGATGAGCGGCGATCAACACTTGTCTCGCGCGTAATGCGACACGACTGTGCTCCGTACGATTCAAACTCGTCAGTTCCGTCAACGTGCTCGATAATTCATCGGTGAGGCCAGGTTCGTTCGCCCAAAGATGATCTATAAGCATCGTCACCAGGACGTTTTTCTTTGTCACTTGATTGTGACTGAAGAGCATAGCTGTTACCGTGGCTACGTCATCCTTGTATTGGTCTATTAAAGCTGACACGCACTTGTCGTAATGACCTTGTTGGAATTGACTCTCGACGGTGTAGTATTGTCTAAGAAGCTCGTGAACGGCGGTCTTCATTCTCCCACGTATTCCGTTCCTATATCTTTGTACTAATTGCACTATAGCCTGGGTGGTCAAAAAGAACACATCGCGTTCGGATCGCTTGGAAACGGTTGCCGCATGGCCATCGATCACAGCGGCGATTTGTTGGCTAGGGAACTGAGCTAGAACGGAAGTTATGTTCCTTTCGTACAACGACATTAATTTTCGGATCTTTTTCTCGACAGCGATCGGAATTCTTCCGGATATCGTTGCGATCACCTCTTGGAGTTCGAGCAAAGGCAAGCTAGGATCTCGAAGTGAACTCATAAACTTCTCGATAAGTTCTCGTACACGTGGCAAATGGTACGGGTCCGGCAAACAATATCCACCCAGAGTGTTTTCCAGAGCAGCTCTGTATTTGGCATGAAGATGATTCAATTTCTCGGAAACAGCAGGGGGCGCGGTTTCCGGGAATTGACCCGTGTAGTCTTGAGCTTTAGTCACTAAAGACGGATCGTCTAATTCTAAGTGAGCGATAAGAGTACCAGCCTCGAGAATGGCACCTGGTCTTTTAACGTAGAATACGCTACCAGCCTCGCCGGCTGTTACCGTCATTACCATTTTCATAACTTCGATTTCAGCGTACGCTTGGCCAGGATTAACGTGGCCACCGTCTTCGACGAGGAAACTGATTAGTTTTCCAGCTGACGGTGATCTCAACAGAGAAGGATCGTTGTCCTTTTCAAAGATGCAAGTTTGATTTCCTATAATAATTCTATAACGATCAACCTCTTCTCTCATGTAGGTGGTGAAACTTGCACCGTCCAAAGAAAGTAAAAGTCCTCCGTCAGATAGGCGGTGTACCTCAACCTCTCTATAAGAACCGTTCATGATAAGGAAGTAACTATTAGGACCTGACTTAGCGGCTTGTAGCTTATATTTGTACCCATCGTTGATCAATTCAACCTGCAATGAGAAATGGTTAATCGAACATCTTAAAATTGCTTGAAAATCCACCAGTGGTAGAAGCAACAGACAAGTGAACTTACGTCAATAACATTGTCTAAGTCATTGCTAGCTTGTATCTGTCCTTTTTCCAAAGCCGTTTGGAATCCAGAGAAAGCGGCAGTGATAGTTCTATCAGCGATGTGAAGCGCACCGCAGGTTACAGCCAACAATACGTCCGGTTTATCGCTCTTAACACGTTCAGAGATCAATAAATCTAACCATGCTGTGTCTATATTATTATCTAGGAACGAATTCGTCTCCAATAACGTGATTAGGTACTCGACGGTGGTTCTAAAGTCACCCCTGATGCTCAGTTCTTTCAAAGCTATAACTAAATTCTCTCTAGCTTGATCACGATCCTCGCCCCAAGAGAAACAATGACCGAATTGAGAATCGGCGAACTCGTGGAGACCGCCGGATGCCGCCACGGAGAAATAACCCCAAACATTCTTGGAAGAACGGAAGTTCAATTCTTGCACGGTTCCTGAACTTGGCTTGAAACCTATGGAATACATTGGTAACGTATCGTTTACATATTCATCCTCCTGGTAGTTTCGAGTAAATTTTTTTATTATTCGCTAAGTTTTACCTTCATCAGGATTTTCACTAGTAATTCTAGCAGCTATAACGTGACCCCACGGTTGAGGCTTATGCCGTGGTTGATCGAAATCGATGACACTGTCGCCCCATGGACTTTCACCGTAAAGAAGACGGATATCTTTGATATGGTGAAGCGGTAATCCCATGGCAATTTGAAGTTGAGCAGAGGGTAAATTGACATCTGATACCATCTCGGTACAAGGATGTTCCACTTGAAGACGTGGATTCAATTCCAAAAAGAAGTATCGTCCAGACGTGTCATAGAGATACTCGACAGTACCTGCGCTGACATATCCGACCATTTTGGCCAATCTTACAGCAGCCTATCGTAGAAGTAATCATTTCAAATTCATTCTGTTAATACACACGATCAATTTTCTATTAAATTAAGTACTATTTCTAATTACTTTTTCCATCTCTTCGAAAACTTCAGGTTTGGCGATCACAGCCGGAGCTTCTTCTATAATTTTCTGATGCCTCCTCTGAATAGAGCAATCACGACCGAACAATGATATCGCATTTCCGTAATTATCAGCCAGTAATTGAACTTCCAAATGGCGTGCGCACTTAGCCAGTTTCATAATGAATATCGGAGATCCAGGTATTTCAGTTTGTACCTGCCTAAGAGAATTATTTAGGACTCTTAGTATGGATACTCCTTAATTTATAGATTTATTTAATAGACATTTTTTAATCGAATATTTGTAAGATATCCGACGTTACGTTTACCTAAACAACGTAGGCAATTCTTCAGCATTCTCCACCTTTCTGATACCTTTACCACCACCTCCTTCGCTCGCTTTTACCATAATAGGAAAGCCGATTTTATTAGCAGCAGCTAGACATTCTTCTACCGTGGAGACACAACCTTTTTTGAACAGTTCCGAGGATATCTTTATCTTCTTTCCACTGTACTGAGCTTTCAACTCTGATCCTGACCAAGGGAGCGTCGGTACCTCTGCGGTTTGAGCCACTATACTCGATGCAATTTTGTCTCCAAGTGCCCACATGGCTCTCTCAGATGGTCCTACAAGATTAGAATTACAATTAGAATGAAAATTATAAATCATCGAGAGGAACACTTTACAATCTAAGCGTTCTCCAGTATCTCACCAATGAAACTAATGTTATTTTTGTGAAGTAATTCTGGTAATTTTGGATTTTCAGAAGCGTGACCCCATCCAGCCCACACAGCCTGCACCTGGGTACGTATAGCTATGTCCACGATCAATTCCACGTTCGCGTAGTTGTTGTTGTTCGATCCACCTGGTACCGGAACGTATTGGTCTGCCATTTTTATATATTCCGCGTTCGCTTTTAGATCTTCCGGTGTGACCATCACGACGAACCGTACCGCTCGTTCGTTCTTGAACATCTCGTAGGACCATCGTCGAATGGAACGCATACATTTTACTGCTGCTATACCGTTGTTAGCGATCAACACCTACGAAAAATTATTTTTTATTAATATTTTAAATTTTGCAAATTTACAAATTATTCAAATTTTAAATTAGGAAATTTAGAAATTGGTGTATGCAATTCATTTTAACATATTACTACCGACGGGAAACGAGAATTCTCGTTTTATTGAAATACACGTTAAAAATGCCCCGTCGGTAATATGTTAAGATAGTATAATACCTGATCGATGAGGAAAGGATGAAATAAGAATCTTTCTTCAATGATTATATATTCCAGTGAAAGACGATGAAACAGGTGTAGCAACGTACTCAAGGTCGGCCAAGGACGTTCAATGTCAATTATGGAGGTTACTGATATTGTTGCGATATTGTGCGACGACTGGTTCGTGACATACTCGAGCGGAACGCGAATCGTGAGTACGTCGTTGAACGACCTTCTTTCATTTTTCAAATACCTGTTTCACTCTTTTCCAAGTTTCAACGTAAGGAACTTGTCGAAGGAATTCCCAGTGTACCATCATTCGATTGAAAATAAATTATAGCCTCTCGGTTGCTTCTTGCATACCGATCAACTTTCATTCAAAATTTATTTTCTTTTAAAACGTAACGTTTTTCTTTATCTCGTTCGCGATTAATCGATTCCGGAAATCCAGAATGACATTTAAATTCAAAGCGTAACGTTCAAGGTACTGTTTTTCATTTCCACGATACCGGAGGTCTACCGTTTTTACGTCAGAACTACGTAAAACGGATATTCCGCCAATGAGAATCTCATTCTTAATTTTGAATTGATTACGAAAGCGTTTAAAATGCCATAAAGTAACTTGAATTTTTCAATCGAAGATATGACACTTTACCGATTTCATTAGGGAATCTATTAACACTTTAGCGACCGTCGTGATTCGTGGAATTTTTGATTCTTGCAAGTCTTACCTTGTTAATAACTTTGGTACCACCGAAACGATGAACGAATTCTTCTGGTGTTGCGATAGTGAAATCTTTTTCGTATAGCCGATTTTGCGTCTGAATCATCACCGTACCCTGCGACATGCTGGGCCTATGAAATTAAATCAAAGTTTTGAGAATGAATACAATTTCTTTTGAAATACTCGTAGGAATATTTTCGCGCCAATTTTCAAATCCACGGAAGCGCGGGAAAATATTCAAATTTAAAAATAGTATATCGATAAATTACTGTGTTCAGATGGAAAATCGGGGAACAACCGTTTTCCCGAGTTTCTTAAAAACAATTTTTCTCATCCATTAACGGGGAACACGTGAATGACAGCAGAGAAAGTATATGAACCGTTAATTTAACCGGCTCACGCAATGGCATTCCTACAACATCGTAACGCTTTCTGAACCTTCCATATACCAAAGTGTATCTCTGTTAGATATGCATACACATTTCCTATTTATCTCACTGTTTCGTACCTCGTCTAACTCAGCCCCATTAATATAAATCAGAGCCGGTATCAGCGGACGTTTGCTTGGATTTTTGAATTGTTTCTCACGAACGGATTTCTTCCGATGTAGACAGGTATTTTGTAATCGCAAGAACACAATTACAAATTTGTCGACTTTGAAATTCCACCGACGCATTTCTTATTGCTTCATCGCTGAACACGTGCATATTTTTCGTAATATCTCTAAGTATTTATATGTGTATCATATAATAATTTTAATTTCATCAGATAAATTTTCCATTTACATCTCTAATATTTATAAATACCATTTAATGTCATCTAACACTGAAATATTATTTCTAATGACAAGGAAACTTGTGCGAGTATCTTCGCAATGACCAAAAAGCAAAGTTCATTTTTACTTTCAGATCTTCAAGGATCTAGCTTCGTGACGCTTGTTGATCCGTCAAAAAATTCAAAGAACCTTCGGTATCCAAGATAAACGCGAAAATAACATCCTTGGTAGATTGAATTTTGAATAAAATTAATTCTTAATCGTTACCTTTTTTTTTAACACTTTTTATAAACTTTAAAATCACTGTAGTTTAACCCTTGAACAGTGGAGTTTGGATCGGTCGTAACTCAAACTAACAAAAATAAAAAATTTAATTAAAATTGCGGCTCTCTCCATGGTCCGCCGTTCCAAGGTTAAGTATCACGATTCTCGTCGAAACTATTATCCTTTTCGATAATTTCAAAAACACTGGAATGATAGGATACACGATAGATAAAATCACAAAGCTTATTACGTCAATCCAGGGGTCGAAGTTTGCTGCTCCGTCTTCGACGAATCCTCCTTCGACGGATTCTCCTTCGACGTCGACTCTGTTGACGTTTCCACGTTCATTATCGATATGCCAGCCATTAAGTTGTCCGAGCTCTTCCAAATCGGGTCCTTCTCCGTACTTTGAGCCAATACGAATCTTTTCAGTCGTCTCATTTCGTGGGCCCCTACTATTCACTCTCTTCTACGTCCAAGATCTCACAGCATTCTTCTGTTACACCTTGAAGACTGTACGTTTCCAATAAAAAAAGACTGCTCTTCTTAATTTTCTTCAACTCTTTACTTCAAGATATGAAAAATCTCTATCTCGAGGATGAAACCTCGATTGTTCCTGTTCCTTTTAAATTATCCTAAACAACTCTGCGGCACGACTTTCTTTCTCCAAAACCAGTTTAAGACTACTAAATCTCTGTTTTCGAGATGGAATTCCGTGTTTTCCTCTTTCCAGCTGATCGTTTAAATTATGCAGTTACTCCGTGGCGGTGGTTTTCTCTTTCTCCGCCAATCCGAGACTTGGAAATCCTCAGGAATGCCTTCGAATGAGTATTTTTCATAAACGTGCTTCCGGATTTCGATGGATTTCCTTATTGCGTCTCGCGAGTCAGGTGAAACACGGATCAAAATTCACGTCACATGCTTTATCCCGCAATATCTGACAGACCAGTTTCCATCGATCAGGTAAATATCTTTACCAGAAACGACGAGAAACACGCTAATGACGTAGCAGCTTCATTAACATTGATGAGATTACATCAGGACGCTGGGAATCAATGTCAGGATGGACTTTCGATGCAAAATAACAAGTTTTTCATTCATCTTCGAATAATATTACGCGAGTTGTGAACTGACGTTAGGAGTAGAACACTTTTCAGGCGAGTTTAACGGTAACGATCGAGTCAACTGTCGATTCACTCTGAACGGTTTCAGACACTCTGACCGGAAACACGCACCGTATCTTGAAATTTTCAATTTACAGGTAGATCGAATTGTATCGTTTCGATCGGGGATTCGGTAAGGTATTCGAATAATTAAAGGATCGAAATTCTCCTCCTTCATTCCCGAATGACTAGTGGTCACTGACAAGCTACACACCGTGGACGATACCTTTCGTTCAACGTTTCCCCTACCTTTTGTATGGAACTCGAGGAAGTAGCGTGCTTCTTTCAGAAAAGAGATCACGGCACGTACAAAGTTGGCTACGTGTTTCTTTTTTCACTTTCGTGCGGTATCTCTGATACCCCGAGTGCCTCGAATAATTGCAAGAAATTGAGCAGTGATAACGTAGGGCAGCGATGGGCAGGAAGAGTGCCCGCTGAGGAGCTCAGGGACATCGGCGGGCACAGGTCGTGCAGTGGTGCCGGGTGAAAAATATCAAACATTCCAAGTTTGAAATTTGGAAATTGGTAACTATTACCAATTTGGAAATTAGTCAAGGATGGTGCACGCGTTTTGCATTTAGAGATAGCAATTAATGCTATAATACTGAATTGTTTAACGAATAATAGTTATTGGTAATAATTGAAGATTAAGAGAGTACAACAATTATTGTCGATAGTTTATTATTGGGCGTTTAAAGTCAATTACTGAAATTTTTCTTTCAAACTGGTTTCTGGTTTACTTTCCTATTTTAAATATCCATTATGAATTACTACATATCTAATCTTTCGATGATTATGTCATGAAATCTGATAATCGTATGATTTTCTGGTAAGAAACGCGTCATCGGCTTCGGTTCATTTAAAATTTAAAACATTGAGATAATAACTGAAAGCATCATTAGGAACAAAGTTACAACTGATTTTATCTAAGAATTTAATCACGCGATACAACGTAAACTTTATAACAACTTTTTATCGAGAGAAAAGAGTTTTTGTATGTCTTTCATTTGAATTTCAATGAATTGAATATTTTTTTCAACAAGGACAGTTTCTTTATCTAATACTCATAATTACCGAGGTTAATGCCATTAAAGTTAATCGTTCAAGGTCCGCTCGAGATCGTTACGAGAAATGTTAATTTAACAACAAAGGAAGAGTGTACATAATGCATTCTTATTCGTTTGAAATTTACAAGAAAGCCGTTGGAATAACTCAGAATGCACTTGTCGTAGACAAGTAAACCGAGATATTTTGTGATAATTACAAATAAGGAAAAAGAACTAGATGAACGTCATACGATAGAATGATCGTCCGTATCGCTGAAACTCGTGAATATTCAACGATATCGAAGGTGATAAGACAATAAGGTGATTCCTTGTACACGTAAATGAAAATTTTTCACGATCATGCTTTACCAATAGGAGTCGGTTTAGATCGCGCGAAACGGGCTAGAAAATTATGTATACGAATCAGCAGTGTAATATCCCTTTTTATTTATCTATTAAAAAAACAAGCTAATAAGAACATATAGATGAATGCGTGGAAAACGAACGATAAAAAGTGCATGATTATTTCAGATCGATTATCTTCGAGAATCAAAAGCTTAGAAGATCAATGTCCCTGGTTAAGTATCTACTCTGATATTATCGGATGGATACTTAAAGCATTTTTGGAGGAGGTGGGTGCTAAGTGCAATTCTAGGAATCTTGAAATTTTAATAATTTATGATCCCAGAACCTCTCAAAGTGTCGATCGCTGATCAATACCTCAACACTCGAAACAACAACGTTCGCGACACCTAATCATGATTATCAGAGGATAATTCACACCTTCTTCAGGCCAACTTTTTCCCGACTCGTAGCTTCTTTCAAGTCGATCAATTTACCTGTTCAACCGTGACTAGAAAATAATAAAAAAAACAAGCTAATAAGAACATAAAGATGAACGCGTGAAAAACGAACGATAAAAAGTGTATGATTATTTCAGATCGATTATCTTCGAGAATCAAAAGCTTAGAAGATCAATGTCCCCGGTTAAGTATCTACTTAAACTGTGGATTAAACTGCATCATACTACACTGATATTATCGGATGGATACTTAAAGCATTTTTGGAGGAGGTGGGGGCTAAGTGCAATTTTAGGAATCTTGAAATTTTAATAATTTATGATCCCAGAACCTCTCAAAGTGTCGATCGCTGATCAATACCTCAACACTCGAAACAACAACGATCGCGACACCTAATCATGATTATCAGAGGATAATTCACACCTTCTTCAGGCCAACTTTTTTCCGACTCGTAGCTTCTTTCAAGTCGATCAATTTACCTGTTCAACCGTGACTAGAAAATAATGAAAAAAAAAAAACAAAAAGAAAAACAGAAATGTGTAGAAAGGAAGAAAAATCACCTGAGTCGCTTGCGACGTTCGACCAAGCCCGGCAAGATATTCTGCTGCGCCTGGTTAAGGCCCATATCGCTTCCTTCGGATGGGAAGCTATCCTCAACCTCCAATTCCTCGGCTAGATCGGTGTCGGGTCCACCGACGACGAAGCTTACTGGATTTTCCGACATCGTGCCGTTGATCGTAATAACGCGAACGTTATCAGCCTCTTTCGATCCCTGTTTCCCTGGATCACTGTCTACGCACTCGGCGTTACCTTCAAAACATTCGATAGGTTGTGCATGTGAAGTTCGTGTGAAGTTACGTTTTCTTTATCCGTCATCATTTTCCAAAAAAATTTCGCGTTCTCCCCGTATACAGACGCGTTTCATTGTTCAGGGTAACAGCACCCAAGGGCCACTCGATTTTATTTATATTCTAAGCTTAAATAGATCCTTTTCGTGTTAATATTACTCTTTTGCAATCTTGTTTATGTTATTGCTTTAATACTGATGAGGGTGATGATAGAAGACGCGTATGGTGCGTCATCCGGTTTTGAATATAATAATTGAGAATTGATATATTTTTTCTTGTTGCATTTAATTTATATTTTTTTTTCAATCGAGGTTCTTTGGCGAGTGGCCCTGAATTAGTGGGTCGTGCGAGCTACGATTAAAAAATTTCCGAGATATATAGCCGTGGTTCATGCGAAATTTTAAGCCAAACGCATGCAATTTTCCCAAGCGAGCTTTCCTGCCGGAAGAATCCCCTTTCGAATTTTTCTCATTCCGCAAGTTTTGTTACACCAAGTGATTCCAGTTGACCAATCTTAGAATTCCTTAAGCCCAAAACGAAGGACAGGGCATGCAAATGAGTGACACGCGAGGTGCTGATGAATTATTTGATGAGGAAAAAAAAATGATGATTGATAATCAATGATCGTTAATATTATTATTATCGATTCAATTAGCATTGAATAATATTATTTACTTATTTTTTTAAATATGAATATACGTACATAATACTGTTGCTTTATCAATTATATAGTCTTTCGAACCACAACAACCACAACAGTGTAAATTAGAAATTAAGATTTTTCTAATACATTAACGCACGATACTTGTAACATACTATTACGTAACAATTTCTTTTCTTCCAAGATAAGATTTATGTTTAAACGCGAGCATTAAGACTGACTAGCAAAAGTGTAGAATTTTTAATTTCAACTTCAAGTGGAATAATGGGTCTTTGGGTCGATGTAACCCGAATAAATTTCCCATTTATTATTTTCTTAGACTAAAAATCGCAACATTATACAAAAGCTTCCCTAAAAAAATTCTTCCCCCAATGGGGTGAAAAATAAAAATTAAATTTTCAATTAGCACACGTGATTTATGAATGAAGGTTAGTCTCGTTGCTTCCAGGATTTAACCAAAGGATAAAGACACACAAGTACGACTGATCGTGAAGTGAAAAGAATCTGATCAGAAGAAAAGTCCCAATTGCTTGCAACACCGTGGCTAGGGTAACCCAAAAGGAAGAAGCGTTCGCTAGAAAATCCCAAAGTTTTTCTAAATCCTGGTGTTACTCACCCTCGATCCTCCTACGACCGTACACCGAATGAAATGCTCGTGAAAGGTGAGACCACCACCACCACCCTTGTTGGAGCCGATCGGTGAAAATGTGTCCAAGGTGAACGTATCGGCGTATAATCACGGCGAACGAGAAGCCGAAGAGAAGAGGAGCGAATAGAACAACGGCGGACGAAACACTTGGTGTGTCACTTTGTTCAGCGTGATTGAAACCTTGAAAGAATTCATTGGTAGGCTCAAGAATCCTTGAATCGAGTCGAAGGGAGCTCGGACTTAACACTTGCACCCTTACTTAACACGGAACACGGCACAAAACTCGAACTAGCGTGGGAGATGGACCGAATAGAATACATACGAGGATCTTTTTCAGTCTTTTGATACAAAATAAAAAAATAAAAAAATGATTGCCGCGATGGTCATCGGTGATTTGCACTCCAAATTTAATTTGAATTTAAAGTGAAATTTTTCAATTAAAAATTGCAAGGATATTTTGAATAATTTTAAATTGTTCTATTTCAATGATAATCACAAGTGGCCCATCGATGACCCCCACGGGGAAATCAACATGTTAGTTAAATCGACAGACTATCGGAGTATCCGAGGGAGAACGCGTATCGATTGACATAGAAGGATCCAAGGAGATTTATAAAATTAGTAATGTACCGAGAAAAGTGTCCAGAAGACCTCGAAGCATACCAGACACAGCTTTGTACCTCGGGATTGTCCGAATTTGTTTAATCGGTTCTTGAGAATCTTCGATTATCTTCTTCCTCTTCGAGATTTACGCCAAGAAACCGAGGAGAATAATAGAAGAGAATATACGTAGACACAGGTGAACGCGTCCTCGGTAACACTGCTTCGCCTTTGTTTACTATTGTTATATAGAAATCCCCTTGAGGCACACACGCGCTCTCTCGTTACCCCGCTGTTACTTTCTTGTTTTCGGATTTAGCCGCGCGATCAGGCGTTCGAACGACGAGCCGTCGTCGTCGTCGTCGTCATCACGATCATCATCATCACTTCAACTGTCGTTCCACCACGACGAGGAGCACCAAAGGAGACACGACGACGCACTGGCCGTGCAATAGGCTCGCTGTTGCGATACCGCGCGCGCTACTTCGTGAACGCTCCGATCGAGGAGAGGAAATCGCCGTCGAAATACGACGAGACGGAGTACACGTGAGCAACGATACAAGAACAGAGTAAAAGGAAAAAAAAAGAAAAAAGAACAACCGGACGACAGGGTTCAGGGGTCGTCGGACACCGACGACATTACGTTTGTTTCCACTGAACTGCTCGGTTCGTCGCGTGGTCGAAACCTACCGATTAACGTCGGAGCTTTTGCCATCGGACTTGCGACTTGCGCTTACTCTTTCTCCTTTCTTCGCTCACCACGTAACGCGTATTACCTTATCCGACACCGTATTCGTTTCGTTCTATCTACTTTCGAGATATCCTCGTCATTTTCATTTTACATTGTTAACGATGACTTTGAAGATAATTTAACGTTTACCACATGCATTTCGTATTTTCAGAGAAAATATTAATATATTGCGTTTCAAAATATCTCTGATTTTTATATATTATCTGTTTTTTGGTTTTATTTCCCACCATCTTCGTCTATGATCATTTTGAAGCGATTTTTTTCTTCTTTTTTTTTTATAATCTTTAGATAAGGGGTCAAGAACCTTGGTTATTTTTATTTAACCAGTATGTTCTTTGCACTTGTTACGATTATCCATATAGGATTTATCTTGTTCGTTGGTCGAAAAATCTATGAAACTTTGGATCGATTTCCAATGGCTACTTCTACCCTTTCCATTCAGATTCAATTTTCAGCTGTACGTTGTTTTCAAGACGTCTCACTCTTTCTCTCTACGTCATCTTAATGAATTCCAATCGTCATAAACATATTTGTCCTTCTGTTACGTGCTGCAGTCCAATGTGGACGTTACTACCACGAAGAGGAAGAAGGACGCCAGTATCGTTATTCACACGTTACGGTGACATCCGTTCGTGTAAGTAGACGCGTACACACGAATCGTGCAGTGGACACATTTCTACATAGTATATTGTTATGTAACCCGTATTATACGCGATGGATTATTGCGCAATAGTAACAAAAACTTTGTTTAAAAATTCCACGATCCAATACGACGAGGATCGTTTTCATTTCGGATAAGGACCCATGGGAGAAATGATTGTTTTCAAATAAAATACACGGGCAAGTTTCTTCAAATTGTTACATATTTGAAATTTCACGTTGGAAAGATTTTCGTTTCTTCACCTTTGACAATTTTATCCGCGGATCACCTTCGTCATTTGTATCGACAATGATTCCCCCTACTGTGAAACGAACCGTTGCGGTTTATCGGTCGAAATAAAATTCCTTCGTTGATAATGAGGAGCAGCGAACCATTTCGCTCTTGACCGCGTGCTCGATTCGTGACTTTTTTCAGAGAACGTAAGATATCGTGTCACGAATCGAAAATTGGCCGAGAACGTGGCGATTGGTTATCAAACGACACGCATAAGTGCTATCTGTCGAAGCACATCGCGATAAGAATTGTTCAAATATAAACGTAAACGTGTATGTATCACTTTTTCGAATTCGCCAGCGTCACGTGCGCGACTTCTTTGTTACAGCTTTCCTTTTCCCGCCTTTTTTCCGCGCGTCGAGATTACATTCTTTTCTCTCATTTTCGTGATTTCAGCGACGCGCGTGGAAGGATAAAGGATATATCACGTTATCAGGAAAAAATTTTATTATATTTTTAAAATTGCCGCCCTTTTTTAAACATGCAACACTTTTGGCGGGAAATTGTATTAGTTTAAAGTAGCTATGGTAATTGCATTAGTTTAGTATATACATTAAACACAATCATGTTACGGTGTCATAAGTTTTTTAAATCTATAGCGTAAATATCAAGAAAAGACTTTCGTTAACACATGATCCATACGGACGATTTCGTGAAACTGATAAAATATGACCCAATAAGCTTCTCATCTCGATGAGATTTGAAAGCACGTGCAGAAAAATACTCAATAATAATTGTGAACAAACTTCGACGTAATCTCCAAGCAAGCTTCCGCAGACAACGACCATTAAAATGTTAATATTTGTGACAACATAGTATTCCCCACCACCTTGTGTATTTTCCAGTTTATAAACCTGTTTCTGTTTATTTTCATATGTGAGAACTATCTACCAAAACTCTAGAATACAAGTGATATTTGAAACTGAATTGAATAATGATATGAAAAAAGAAATGACCCCTACTGGCTATGTAAAAATTTGAATTTCATAAAATAAGAAGATATCTATATATCGTTCATTGATAACTGCATTATCGCTGATTGCATAACAACGCGCATTTTACGATTAATGACAACACATGTTACACTCACTCGCTAATGTACGGAGCAAGCAAATTCTTTTCATTGCACGTTATCTGTATTGATATGTAATTGTTATTATGTTTTTTTTCGTCTTTATTTTCATTTCTTTTTAATAATGTGTGAAATAGTAATCGTAACTACGATAAATGATAACATATAAAAAAAATACAAATAAAAAATTGAAAGGAAACGCAGAACAATTCTTAGAAAATTATATTTATATAAAAATCCTCTGTCGATAATATTACCTTTGAATCGTAAATACAATTAGGGATAATGACGTTTCAAAACGCTAACAGAGTCAAACATCAAATAAACACTAATAATATAATTGAAAATAAAGAAATTATAAATAAATTCACTTCCCACTAATGAATTTAAATCACAGCTATTATTGTACTCTAATTTCTCGTGAAGCATCACTTAAATAGAATAAAAGAGAATAGTTTTCTATGTAACAAACAAATTAAAGTTTCATCTAAACACTGCGTCACACAGATAAATAGTATTTTCTTTTGTTTTGTTTTATATCGTAATTATTTACGCATATTTAATGACCGCGTACTCTATGGATTTTCACACAGATCAATCAAAAAATTGACAGAGTCGCCTGATTGGTTGATTGACGAGTCAGGCGACGAATAACGTGTTTTGATTGGTCCGTACAAAGCGTGCGGTGTATCCAAGGAACACGCGTCACCAACTGATGTATACCGAACAGAATGATTTTAGATAGAAATATTTTTCTATTCTTTCAATGATTTTTTATGAAATACTGAAACTGCTGTATCACTTAGAAATGAAAACTCACCGGTGACGAATCTTACGCGGTGGAGTAGCACGCTCCTCATTGAGGTTAGGTTCGTTTGTCCCTTCGTGTTCTGTCATTCGATTCACTTACGTTCACTATTCGATGCTAAGAAATATTACACGAAACTGATTGTGTCCTATTATGACACGGGAATGATCGAACACAGTCGATCACAATGTAGTAAACTATTGTCACCTTTTAAACATGAATTTTTTTACTTCCGCTAAAGCAGGTTCACCATGGCGTAACATGAAAAGCGCATATACCGACACCTCACTACCTTTGAATTTCACTGTTGATTTCTGCTAGCCAAGGTTCTTTTATCGGTAGGGAAGAACCTTTTCAGTAGCACAGACTCTACCCAGAGGTCAGGGTTCGCCAGGTTCGCCGGTAGTTTCAAATCAGTCTTTGCAAGGTTATGGACGGAACAGTATTGGAGACAAGTTTCCTTGGAAATGTCGTTAAAAGCGTATGTTTCGTTGTTATCAGTGTGTTCTAATCTAAGATTAACTATTTTTAATTTCTCATATTCTATAAAATAGATATTACGAGGTTTCGAACAATGGCAGTCAAAAAATTCGTTTATCAATATGAAATACACGCACATCGATGTTACGCTAACAAAGAACAATTGTATGTGCTATATAATACAAGTTACAAACTATGGACAATCTATAAATGATATTTCATCGTTTGCAAACGAAGCGTTTATCGATTTTATTGGTATAAATTTTGTTTCTCGAAACGTAACGGTCGCTACAGTGTATAACAGGAACGAATATCATAATTGTCACGAAGTACTGCATCTATGTCGTATGAAAAAACGCTTATCATTAATTAAAAATGCAAATGCTGAAAGTTTTATGAATTTTCAGCATTATAAAAGATATCTATCGTTTCAATTAAAGGTATGCTAGATCATTGTGCGTCATTACGTACTTTCTCGCATTAATAAATATTATATTTACATACATACATATGTACTTCAAATATTACAGCATACATTAATTGCTTGTGACGTAGAAGAATTTACAAAAACTATATTAGACGAAATAATTTTATTGCAACGATTAAATCCCCGTATAAAATTCACGATTCATCACGATCGGAAAATGATATACAATAATTATATTCCATTGGACAGTGATTACAAATCATGCTACGTGGTTGCCAGTGCATTGACAAATGTGATTAAACAGAGTTCAGATATTCAATTTAAAGAAAACTGCTTTTCCATGTTGAAAGTAGACAATTCGCATCAAGTAGAAACTGCGCTTATGGTTAAGCTATTACCATTGATACACGAAAATTACACTTTCATTAATGATAATTGATAAGTTAACGTATTACGAAATTAACGGAAAGAGATAATATAGAATTACTGTACTGATGTAATAAGTTTTTATACTAGAACATGATATCAGTCGCTCTTTGAACATCTAAATTTAAAGTAAACAGTTTTTTTATCAAGTGTGATAGGTTTTTTTCTTGATATCAAGAAGAATAAACCTCCCCTAATACTTATTTCGCGCAATATTGAATTTTTTACTATCCTTCTATGCGTATTTTTATAATTACTTTTCGAAATACGAATTTACGTATATTTAGGATTCAATTATTCCCGCCATTGGTCACATGTAACCGGCAGAATCCTGCGCAAGTGTAGTTGCGCATAACAAGCGTAGTATTCATTCTTCCCCCCAGTCAAGACGCGAGGGTCAGGTTAGGCAGGTCGGGCTGACAGTAGAGAGTGGAAACATCGTTTTGTTGTAGTTCGTAAATGAAGACTAACTTTGTCAGGAAGTTTGTGAAAACTGTGAACAAGAGGGAAGAGGATGCCACAGCGAAACTGTCAACAAAATCCATCGTATTGGAGCGTCGCGATGAATTAGCCAAGGCAAACATGGCTCGCGTTCCGGCAGACGTGTGTTTTTCTTCGTGGTGAACCTCCGTCTTTCTCTGTCTCACCAGGCAGGGATCCTCAACTTCGGGAGTGGTGATATATATTCACGCAAGTACGTAACCCATACATCCAATTGTAATGCGCGTATACACGCGGCTTAACGTATATTAATATACACACGTCGAGGGAAGAGGAGCTTCCCGCTTGTTAGTATGCAAGTGCCGTTTCGGTGCCCCTTACGTGGCCTTATTTGCACTCGCGTACGATCGGCGCGCGAAACGAATCAAAATGACCGATCTCATTTTCTTATAATTTTTTTTTCCGAGTCCACCCCACCTGATTCGTATAACGCAATTTTAATTATCGCATAGTTGTGTAAACGTCGTGTCTCTTTTACACGTTCATCGCGGTGTACGTTCGTGTGCGTGTAACGGTGCAGTAAATGGCGGAGGATGTAAAAGGGCTTTCCTAGTCTACGATGTGCCAGCAGAGAATTATCGGTATTGTCGTTCCCCTGACATAACCGCCGTTACTTCCCTCGTTTGTGGTTTCAGGTGAGAGTCGATATTCCACTCGTTCGTTACTTACTGCTTGTTTGTTCTCTGCTCACTCGATATTCCATCGGCTGTACTATCAAACTTTTTTTGTACGATCCAAATACTCCTTTGTGTGTTATTTATTTGGTTCATTATCGCTGTGCAATTTTGTACGCAAAGTTCATTGCACTTAACCCGGTGTTACCGTATGGAACCGAATTATCGATGCTTTTACATCATTCGACAAATCTTATAACCTCAAACTTTACGACCATCGCTACGGTCACCCGAAGTTCGCTTTGAGCGTCTCTCGCAATACGTACGTATAAGCAGAGAATTGTTATGAAACCATACGAGATATTTGCCTCTTCATTGTATTTTAATAACAGCATCTCGTTTAAAATGAACACAACTGTTACTCTTACGGTACTATCGTACAACTTTGAAGGATCTTAACCTTAGATTCTGTACCGTCGGAATAAGATATTGATCTCGTGCATTTATGACATACCTACACTTACACTCGGCACCTCTGTAATTTCATGTTACCTTCTTGATCGGTAAACGTATCGAATCGCTAAATGTTTAACGGTAGCGTATCTGATACACTCTGCGGCCATGAATCCATCGTAAGATGAATACTCGTGACGTGCAAAGAAAGCGTGGTTGTATCAAGTGTAAATAACAACGAGTCGTCCCGGTAGGAAGGTTAAAAATGAGAGTTTAGTTACTATGTAGGAATTGAAGTGCTTGTAACACGATAAGGGCTTCTCGTGTGTACGATGCTTAATTAAGTTCTCATTGTATATACGTTGCACAACCGGAATAGAGGAAAAACAATCCGTGCGGGTTGCAATTAAGCAACGGGTGTATACGTGGTTACGGGTGTAAGGGGCATCGCGATGAGAATAAGAATAACGTAAAGGAGGCGGGAATCGGTTGAAAGAAAATGAACGCATTCCAGCGGCCATACCACGCGAAAGAAGATAATGTAACCTTGGCATAGTGAAGTTATCGGAACGTCTCCCTATTGAAAAAACCCTACCTTGACTCGTTTCCATCAAGCTCGTTAAACTCTATCAAGTAGCGTGTCAACGACTTCGTGAAATTATTTAGTTTTGTCGTTACGCTCGTGCGCCGTATCCTTGACGGTGTATCATCTTATCCGTCGCAAACACGCGAACGGCGTTTAAGCTTGCAAAATCGTCTCGATGACCGGCTGATTTTTATGTCAACTTTTGGATTCTCCCTTAACCGGGACTAATATTTCTATGCAAAAATTTCAGATACAATTTCTTTTAAATAAAGACGGTACTCGAACGGGATACTCGCAAGTTTTGACTTGCACGACAACGAAGCCTAAACATACACGTGGATCGACATTAACTTGTAGGGATTCTTTATCGATCGAATTCACTATAAAACTCTGACTCTGTACTTAACATAATTATAACCCTTAACTTTTATTATGTATCTCTATTACTTCACTTTTGTGTAATAAATTTTTCGGTAAGTCAACTTTTTCATATGACGCACCCGGCGCGTCGCCGATTTTTTAGTAGACCCCCAAAGGACGCAAACGGTGCGTCATCGGTTCAGAATTCAATCGAGCCGATCCAAGCCCCTGAGCGTTTAAAAGCACAACATACGGGAACGGATGTGGCGTAGACTTTTTACTTGTGGCTTTGTTACACTTTTATTTTCGTCGTTTCTCGACCGTGCCACTGGTGCACGCTCTCAGCCTAAGTCAACGAGAAAGAGAGAGAAAAAAAAATAAATAAATAAAATAAAAAGGAGTAGACGAAGAAAACAACTGTCAGTTTCGCTGGCGAATGTGCAACCGGATGTTCAGTTCGCCATGAAAAACGTTATTCC